TAGGTTAGCTATCTTGAAACATCTGATTATCTTTTTCTATGGTTCTTATATGCAAAGTTTTGTTACCTTTCTTTTATCAGAGTATCAAGTTTGTTATGATCTTTATGTTTTGCCACTTGGCTTCATCGGTCGTGGGGATTTTTGTTTGAAACATGGTACTATGAGTTTTGTATTCGAAAAGTGCAGAAAATTAAAACACAAATTTCATTATAATGTAGAAGATTGTTTTGCCTTGTATTGAACTCTTTCTAGTTGACCCGGAATCTTGAAATATTATTGAGAATATTTAATAATTAAAACAAATATTTCTTTTAATAATTAAATACACTTATTTCATATAGTCATAAATCATATATTTTATATTTCTGTTAAAAATTAATATTTTTAATTGGACCTTTCCAAATCATCCCGTTCTAATTCGTCGGGGCCACGTGTCAAACTTCATAAATGATGTAGGAAGTGGTGTAAGATTATGGTGTAGGAGATTTTTTGCCTTGTACTTAAACACTTCCTAATCGACCTCGTTTACTAAAATATTATTGAGCACATTGAGTAATTAAATTAAATCACACAAACATTTTATATGTACCCAAAAATCATACATTTTATGATTGTGTTAAACATTATGTATTTTCGATTAGCCCTTTCCCAAATAAACCATGTTTCTTGAATTATAATTGAGTATATCTTTTACGTTTTTTTCTTTAGTTGAAACTTTCCAAATGAAACATGTATTTTATATAGTCATAAAAAGTCAAACTTTCATATTTTTGTTAAAAATTATTTATGTTTAATTAGACATTTCCAATTGATCCCGTTCTATGTCATATTGTATAAATATCTTCTCAAGCTATCCTGTTTATTAAAGTAGTATTGAACATATAATTTTTTTAAATTTTTCTATTCAGTTATTTCTTTCCTTTTTTTAAAAATTTTTCTAACACTTTAACCCGCCATTGAATAAACCCATTTCGTCCCGGTGCCAAAATCTTGGTAAAGAATGTAAGAATTGGTGTGAGATTATAGTGTAGAAGATTTTTTGTCTTGTAATAAACCCTTTCCAACTGATCCCATTTTTTAAAATATTATTGAGAATATTTAGTAATTAAAAAAAATCATACACACATTTCCTATAGCCATAAATCATATATTTTATATTTGTGTTAAAAATTAATATTTTTAGTTGGACCTTTCCAAATCATCCCGTTCCAATTCGTCGGGGTCATGTGTCAAAAACTTTGTAAATTATGTAGGATGTGGTGTAAGATTATGGCATAGGAGATTTTTTTGCCTTTTACTTAAACTAGTATGTGTCCAGCGCCTTGCGCGGGTTTGTCAATATTGAAAATATTTTTTTAAAAGAATTAATTAGATAATGTAGTTATTAATATTTCTTAAAATCGTAAAAAAAATTTAATTAATCAATTTTAGATCAAAATGAGAGGTATTGATATTATTTATGAGATGTATATTTGTAAGATCTGGCCAAAAATATTACAACAAAAATTTTGAAAAGTTGTATAATAAAAATTGTCACCACTAACCAATGTTATGTTTGGATTAAAAAATATATTAAAAATGCGTAAATTATGTCTAGATGCCTATGGCTTATTTATAGGCAAGGGGACTTTAGGAATTAGACACAATTAATCGTCCTTAAAAATGTAAAATCGATAAAATTGAAGACAAAGTAGCACATAAATAGAACTTTAAGAGCTAAAATGATAATAAGTTAAAAGTGATGCTTGATGGCCTCAATTAGCGACACGTGTCGATTATCTTTCTTTCCTTTAATATATATAATGATTCTTCCTAATCGACTCCGTTTATTGAAGTATTATTGAGAATATTGAGTAATTAAATTAAATCACACAAGAATTTTATATGTTCACAAAAATCAATATTTTATGATTGTGTTAAACATTATGTATTTTCAGTTAGCCCCTTCTAATTCATCCTGTAATAAACCCTTCCCAAATAAATCTTGTTTCTTGAATTACTATTGAGTATATCTTTTACGTTTTTTTTAGTTAAAACTTTCCAAATGATACATGTATTTTATATAGTCATAAAAAGTCACACTTTCATATTTTTGTTAAAAATTATTTATGTTTAATTAGTCATTTCCAATTGATCCCGTTCTAAGTCATCTTGTATAAATATCTTTTCAAGTGACCTCGTTTATTAAAGTAGTATTGACCATATAATTTTTTAATATTTTTCTATTCATGTACTTCTTTCCTTTTTTAAAAATTTTACTAACACCCTAACCCGCCCTTGGATAAACCCGTTTTGGCCCGATGCCAGAATCTTGATAAAAGATGTAGGAAGTGGTGTAAGGTTATAGTGTAGAAGATTTTTTGGCTTGTAATAAACCCTTTCCAACTGACCTCGTCTTTTAAAATATTATTGAGAATATTTAGTAATTAAAACAAATCATACACGCATTTCATATAACCATAAATCATATATTTTATATTTGTGTTAAAAATTAATATTTTTAGTTAGATTTTTCCAAATCATCCCATTCTAATTCGTCGGGGTCACGTGTCAAAAACTTCGTATTTTCTTTTTAATGATGTAAGAGTGGTGTAAGATTATGGTGTAGGAGATCTTTTGCCTTGTACTTAAACCCTTCCTAATCGACTCCGTTTACTGAAGTATTATTGAGAATATTGAGTAATTAAATTAAATTACACAAGCATTTTATATGTCCACCAAAATCATACATTTTATGATTGTGTTAAATATTATATATTTTGAATTAGCCCCTTTCAATTCATCTTGTAATAATCGCTTCCCAAATAAACCTTGTTTCTTGAATTATTATTGTGTATATCTTTTATGTTTTTTTTAGTTGAAACTTTCTAAATAATCTCGTTCCAATTCATCCTGTTTCTTGAATTATTATTGAATATATCTTTTACTTTTTTTTAGTTGAAACTTTCCAAATAACCTCGTTCCAAAATTCATCTTATAATAAATTCTTCTTAAGTGACCGCGTGTATTGAAGTACTATTGAGCATATCTTGTAATTAAAACAAATAATATATACATATAATATGACCATAAAAATACATACATTTTACATTTGTGTTAAAAATTATTTTTTTAGTTAGACCTTTCTATATGATTCTATTCTAATTCATCTTATAATAAACTATTCCCAAGTGATCCCATTTATGGAATTAATATTGGGTATATCTACTAATTTAAACAAAATACATTTTTTTTATATAGCCATTAAAAATCATACATTTTATTTTGTGTTAAAAATTGTTTATTTTTAGTTAGATATCTCTAAATGATCCGTTGTTCATTTTAGTGTCATCGGAAGATACTTGTTTTATACTTTCGAAAAACAAAAAATTGAGAAAACTTAAATAAATGTAAGAAAAGAACCTTTAAGATATGTCTGAAAATAATCCCGTTCCAATTGATCTTGAAATAAACCCTTTTCGAGTAATCATGTTTATTGAAATACTGTTGAGTATATCTAATAATTGAAACAAATCTTACATGCATTTTATATAACTATAAAAAATTATACATTTTATATTTGTGTTAAATAAAATTATTTTTAATTAGACATTTTCAAATGATTTATTTGTCATTATAATGTCATCGGATACATGCGAAAGTAAAATACTTGTAATTTGGTTTCTGGTGTCCCCATGATATCTTAAAAAAAAAAAAAGGAGGGGGAGGGGAATAGTGAATATGCAAACTTTTCAGTTTAGTTCAATGATTTGTAGGAAATTTTAGTCCTTAATACCTTTCTATCGAAGGAAGGAAATTCTTAGATTCTTCACACATACAATAATGATACATCAAATTATTTTATTAACTATGGATACAATAATAGCTGCCAACTTTCGAACTTCTCCGCGTCAAATTAAATCAATAGATGTGATTACCGAAATTAACTCCACCAATTTTGTCACAGTGTTTTACCTTATATTTTCCGCAAAATATGGTTGTTATTATCTAGGGGGAGTGAGTATTGAGCATCCTCCTTCCTTAACCCTACAAATCCCCAAAAAGACCACTACACAACAACAAAAAAATCCCACCAAATTTAGCAAGAGCTTTCTTTCAAAACATATCTGTTTCTCACCAAAAAAAAAAGAAAAAAAAAGTGAACGAAAATAATAATCCTTAATCAAACGTAAATAAAAAGAAACGATGAATACGATTATGTTTTTCTTTCCAATAGGATCATGATTTATCAACCATTATGTAATTGTATTTACCTTCTCAAAAATTTTCTTCTGCACCATTTGAAACCCAAAATGAAATTAAAAAAAAAAGAAAAAAGAAGAAGAATTCAATAGAAAGTAAAACATCCTTTACATTATCCAGGAAACTGATTCAAGAGTTGCAAATAAATTTAGTTATGTGACAAAAATAAAATCAAATAAAATTCACAATCAAAAGAGACATGACATTGTCAAAACATGAAAGAAAAATATTGCTTTACACATCACTATTAATTTGCAGCATCGTCGTTTACTACTACTCCTCCGGAATCAAGATATTTAAGCATTAGAAAACATATCTGTTTCTCACAAAAAAAGAAGGGGAAAAAAGTGAATGAAAATAATAATCATTAATCAAACGTAAATAAAAAGAAACAATGAATACGATTATATTTTTCTTTCCAATAGGATCATGATTTATCAACCACTATATAATTGTATTTACCTTCTCATAAATCTTCTTCTGCACCATTCGAAACTCAAAACGAAATTAAAATGATAAAAGAAGAAGAAGAAGAATTCAATAGAAAGTAAAGCACCCTTACCTTATGAGAGAATAGTTTTTTCTAGTCATTTGTGTATGAGAAAGTAATACCAATGTTTGTGTGAATATCGTACTCAATCGAAGGCTATATTTATACGGATGGATTGACATAATCCGGATTAGGTTTGTATTTGCAGCTACATTATACTATTAGCACAAATTGATTCAAAATTTAAGCGATTGAATTAATTTTAATTATGAGGTTTATTAACAATTTAATGTATGTAATTTCAAAATTGAGATTGTACTAATATTTTCCATATATGTATTGTATTTAAATCTTAAAATTCATTTATTTATGGAAATGTGTGATAAAAAAATCAATCGAGCTGTTGTACCAAAAAAAAATCAATTGTGCGGGAATGATTTTCGTTTACTAGAATAAGAGAGATACGCAAAACAAAAAGCTGAATAAGGTAAATAAGATTTGGGTTCATGGCAATTTGTTTAAGGAAAGGATTTTGATCCTTCCGTGATGCGGAAAAAAAATAAAATTAAGGCAATTTGTTTTTACCTTTTAGTTAAAAAAAAAGATTGATATTAACCGTGGTAACCGGCCAGCGGTGGTCAGGCGGCGGCGACTAGCCAGGTGTGATCCAATGGCGGCGGGTGGTGGCGCTAGCGGTGGTGGATTAGATAAATTCAAAATATTGTTGAAAATAAGTTTTAAATTAAAAGTTAAAATATTGTATAGATGATGTTTATTTTGTATTTGGATTTGGGTTTAATAGGGAAAAGTAAATATTTTTTGGGCCCAAGTGATTGCGCATTCAAGACCTTAGTTAGTAAAGGTGAAACAGATTAACTATTTTACATAAAGTTTTAATGGTTTAATGATGAGTCAATAATAAAAGGACATATGTCAATGATTTAATGATGAGCCAATTAAAAAATAATACATATCAATTGGACTTATTGATGGCCTAATTGAATGATATGTGTTTAATAATCAACTTTCCTTATATATATATATAGATACTTGCCTGAAATAAAAGATTATCTATTCAACGTTGTACTTGTACACCTGAATTTAGCCCAAATGTGAATTATTGTTTTCGTACCAATAAGTCAACAACATGTATTATATGCACAAACCGTAGGTGGGCTTAGAGGCAAGGGGCACAAAGCTTGGCCGGGAGTTAGCCGGAGAGAGCCCATTCACAGCTAAGGCTTCATTGATTCGTTTACTGGAAAAAACAGGTCTCCACAAACTCGCCGCCAAACTCCATTCTCCTAGACAAAGCATCCCCATTGGATGCTGTGGAGTTGGCCACATTTTCAAGACTTGCTGATCAAAACTCACTGTCTACCAAACTCCATACTTTTTGCAAACAAGCAAATCTATTTTGCTTCCCCGAAAAGCACAACAAAGATGTGAATTTCGCCGTGTATGAACGCCAGAACTTCACCAATTATGGAAATGACCCTCAGGGCGCAGTTGACTCTTTCAAGAACTATACCGATTACGATGCCCTTCCCATCGACAGTTTCCGCCGCTACAGCCGTGGCTCATCCGGCCACGACGATCAGTTCACCAATTACGGCCTCTTCTCGAATGAAGCCGACCAAACCTTGAGCTCCTATGGCACAAAAGCCACCGGGGGAATTGGAATTTTCAGTAACTACAATAATAACACCAACATCCCTGGCCTAACATTCACTTCTTATTCTGACAGCACCAATGGCCGCACCCAAGATTTCCAATCATATTCCTCAGAAACAATGTGGGCTATCAGAGGTTTACCAGCTACGCTAAAAATGGAAACGGGGCAATAGATAATTTACCACCTACACAGACATCAACAACGTCGTCAGTTCAACCTTCAACAATTACGGCGAAACCGGCAACGGAGCCAACGATTATTTCACTTCCTACGGAGGCTTTGGAAACTTCCCAACAACTACATTCAATACTTACGCCCGTGATGGTAATGGTGCAACCGAAACTTTCCCCAGTTACGGCTCCAAACAATGTCCCAACAAACAATTTCACAAGTTACGGTTCCGGAGGTAATGGAATCAATAAGAATTTCGTTAGTTACCGCGATATATCCAGCTAAGGAGACGACAGTTTCCAATTCTACGCACAAGGCTCCAACGCACAGGCTCTGGGTTTCACTAATTACGGTCAGTCGTTCGACCAAGGGAGCGAGACACTCAAAGGATATGCAAAGAATTCAACGGGTGGCACAACCATAGATTTCAAAACATATGGAATCAACAATACATTCAAAGACTATGCCAAAACAGGGATCACATTCTCCGACTACCGAAACGGCACCGGAAGCCCTTTGACTGCCATGGCGACCAGCTCCACCAAGAAGATAAACTGCCGGTGGGTAGAGCCGGGAAAATTCTTCAGGGAGAAGATGCTGAAAACAGGGACCGTGATGCCAATGCCTGACACTAGGGATAAAATGCCAAAAGGATCATTCCTGTCAAGAACAATTCTCTCAAAATTACCGTTTTCCACCTCCAAGATTGATGAATTGAAGAAAATATTCTATGCTGCTGATGGTTCTAGCATGACCAGGATGATGACTAATACATTGAACGAATGCGAGAGAGCTCCCAGCCCGGGGGAAACGAAGCGGTGTGTCGGCAGCGCAGAAGACATGGTTGACTTTGCAACCTCTGTTCTGGGCAAAAACGTTGCCGTCAGGACTACCGAAAACACTCAAGGATCAGGTAAAGACATCATGATTGGGACGGTGACCGGGATCAACGGCGGGCGGGTGACGAAATCAGTGTCTTGTCATCAGAGTTTGTACCCGTACTTACTGTATTACTGCCACTTTGTTCCCAAAGTCCGGGTTTACGAAGCAGATATACTTGACCCGAGTTCCAAGGCCAAGCTTAATCATGAAGTCGCCATATGTCACATCGACACATCAAGTTGGAGTCAAACTCATGGAGCCTTCTTAGCTCTGGGCTCGGGTCCGGGTAAAACTGAGGTTTGCCACTGGATTTTCCGGAATGACATGACCTGGACGATTTCCGATTGAGTTTTTGTGTATTTCAATATTTATAATGGCAATTTGATATCAAGTGTGAATTTTATATGTGTGCGCTTTAGTTTTGGATCAGGATGAGATGTAATCCCTATAAGGAAGAATGTAAACATTCTTAGGTGAAATCAAAAGTTTCTTCAATGTGTTACTGTTGGGATGGGCTCCCAACTATGTGGGTCAAAGCCTAAGTAATTAAGTAAGCTTGGCCCAACTTGTTTATGTCATCAGTCCAAGGTTTGAGTCTACTAACGGATAGTAATAAAAATGTAGCCAAAATCAGGATAAGGAGTGTGTGCTATATACGGGAAACAGAACCAAAAAGAGATAGAGGGAACCGAAAATTTCCAGCAAAGATTCCACTGTAGCAGTGTCTGAAATCTTCAAGTTTGAAGGGGCAATCGTTGTCCGTTGGTCCTAAAATTTGGTCTGGAGTTACAAGACTCATCGATCTTCATTTCTACTAAAGGATTTTGGTGTTCGTCGGCTAGATTGTGAGTATTGTACTTTTGAAGTTGCTACTGGTTTTGTGGATGTCTAGTTGATCTTTTGATCTTGTATTGAGATTCTAGTGTCTTTGTAGCTTGGTTTAGCTTGGGTGAGGACCATATATCTTTTTTGTATTGTTGGATTGGTGTACTCCTACTCTTATTTGGTGATAGTAGATTTGATAGACCTTTTGGTCTCATAGTTTTTACTCCTTCACACCGAAGAGGGTTTTCCACGTAAATTGGTGTTGTGTGTTACTTTTACTTTCTTGTTATTTTATTGGTAGCTTTACTTCCACTGATAGGTTATGCCATCGCCACTTTCCTCATCACAGTAGTTACGTTTGAATTATTGGAATTTTTTTAAAAGAATTTTATCTCTTCTAAGAAACTATCCCTGGGATATGTATTCCAATAATTATTTTTGAGCACTTAGTTGATTAATTAGATGGTCAAATTGGTGAGGATTTTATAGTGAATTAGGATTAATTATGTTGGATTTCTAATGTTTTTTATATTTTATTCAGTGAATTTGAGATAATATATGTTGATGAAACAAGGTTATTGGTTCATCGAATATATTAGGCGTATTGAAAAATTTGCAAACAAGAGAATCAACCATGGCTGGAGCCTAGAAGCCTGAAACGATGTTAAATGGATATTGTACAGATGAATATAAAACTTGAGAGAGAGAGAGAGAATCTTAATAAATAATATAAGGGCACTGTAAGATAATCATAAAAGAACAGGACGAGGGAGGAAAATGAGGAGCCCACTTGCGGAAAAGGGTATTAACGTCTGTTCACATATTTTATTTTGATGACATCATTATATTGCATCACTTTCCGGTCACTAGAGTTTATTTTGTAAGTTTTAATTTTTTTAATTTTTTTTTAATTTTTTTGCATATTTGCAGAGTGTCCACCGTCAACGGTGGACAGTGACTAATCCCACTCGCTGAATTGTAGGCGTTTCGATGGGTGGGACAGCTGGCCAAAGTATTTAAGGTTGCTACATGTTCATGGCGAGGTTAGAACTCTCGACCTATGGTTAAAGATGGATCAGTCTCTTCCATTCCACCACAACCACTTTGGTTGAGTTTATTTTGTAAGTTGACATTGGGTCAAGAGGATATTGGTAGTATTTTTATTTTTTTTTGAGGGCATTGGTAATATTGTTAAAATTCGGGAGATTTATAGTGAAGTGGCCAAAAGGGGGGATGTAGTTCGCCTTTTTTTTACACGAAATACAATGCAAAAGGCATAACATTTTTATGAATAATGTACAATAAACATTGGAGAAAACACTATTAATTGAGTTTGGCCATAAATTAGATGCATGGATAATGCTTCGACCATTTTGGAAAAGCTCACTTATAAGATTCTGTTAGAAAATGACACTTTCCGTTCAAATTTTAGCTCGAAATTTTTTAGAAGGTCCTTAGTGCCGGTCTTACTTCATGATTTTGTAAAATCAACAAAGCTTTGCTTTCTTTTTGGTTCTCGGTTTATGGAACAACGTTAAAATGATCATCATTGCATGTCTGGTCTGACACTTCTATTAAAAGTTCTTTTGTTTTGAAATAATGTGTCCTTTATCAGATTTTGAACTAAAGTAATCATATAAAATATGAAAGTAATAAAATAAATAGCCACTCACCGAAACCTTAGTGCTCTTCGGATTCAACCAGCACCTCAAAATTTTAATTATTTTTTCAATACAATAAAAGTGATTAATACGTTAATGAAAAATTAAATCATCGTATTACAGGACATAATACTCTTATTACATCACACTCTAAGTAAAAACTACTGATAATGAAGTATCAAACCAAAACAAACTGCTCGGAGCCATGTGTTGCCAAGTAGTTAAGGGCTTGTATGGCTCTCATTTTGCCCTTTGGTCCCATTTTCCCTCTTAAATATAAAACCCAATACACTATCTAAACAAGATTTTAACTTACTTTTGAAAATATTTTTTTACAACATTTTTCATGCACCACCACTTGACCACCTCGACTACCGGCCGCCACCGCCGAGTCGCTCATTGCCACCATCGAACCACTGCCGATGGATTTTGGCGAGTTTGCCTTAATTTGACTAGAATCTGGTCGGTCGGCCGGCGGCCGGCAGTTGTCCGGCGGCGGAAGTGGGCGGTCCGACGGTGGCGCAGGTAGTTCGATGGTGATATAAAAATATTAATTTTTTATTTAAAATATTACTAAATAACTTTTAAATTTACTCTCAAACTATATTTTAGATCACATCTCAAACTCAAACAAAAAACAAACCAAAAACTAAAGTAAACCATTGTCCATACAAGCCCTAAATATTTTGCCATGAAGTTAACCTCCCTATGCTCAGAATTTTAATTATAAAACTGCGACTCCATTCATTTCCATCCAAATCCACCATATTCATTCTCATTCCTCTCCTTTCCCTGGCCATATCTTTTGTGGAAATCATGATCAAATGCGCCGCGCCTCCGCTGCTCCGCCTTGTCATCCTCTTCACCATTTATTCATCCTTCAATGTAAGTACTAACTATATATATATATATATATATATATATATATATATATATATAAAGAAACAATAGGATCAAGAAGTTAGAGTTGATTCTTCTTACACAACTCTAATCCGTTTTCTTGAGAGCTTCGATGAATCTATAGACAAATAAAACAGAGAACTGTGTTATAGCGGATATTTGTTGTTCAAATTCAAATTTAAGTTTTAACAGCGACTCATATTTAGTTCAATCGTAATTTTTTGGAAAATTGTTCAATGATTGAGGTACTTCCTGACTACTACTACCACCTTTGAACAGTCCCCACGAGTCAACAACCTGTCAAACAGTCCAAGCTACTCAATTTTGTACGAACAATTCTAATATGTGGTAGTAAATGCACAATCGCAGGTGTGCTTAACGGCAGGGGGGACAGAAAGTGGACAGAAGTTAGCCGGAGAGAGCCCATTCACAGCCAAGGCTTCATTTATCCGTTACTGGAAAAAAAAAGTCTCCACTAACCTGCCGAAGCCATTTTTCCTCGACAAAGCCTCACCGTTGGACGCCGTGCAATTGGCCACATTTTCAAAACTCGCCGATCAAAACTCACTCTCCACGCAACTCCCGACTTTTTGCAAACAAGCAAATCTCTTCTGCTTTCCCGATGTGGGAACAAGCCTTGAAAAGCACAGCAAAGATGTGAATTTTGCCGAGTACCAACTCCAAAACTTCACAAATTACGGCACCGACCGTCAAGCCGGAGTTGACTCTTTCAAGAACTACTCCAACGGCGAAAACGTTGATGCCGTTGACACTTTCCGCCGCTACAGTCACGATTCAATCGGTCACGACGATAAGTTCACCAGTTACGCCCTCGACGCTAATGTTGTCGACCAAAGGTTTAACACCTACGGCACAGGAACCACCGGCGGAAACGGAAAATTCAGCAACTACAACAACGAGGCGAATGTCCCCGGCCTCACATTCACTTCCTATTCTGACAGCACCAATGGCCGCACCCAAGATTTCACAACATATACAGAGCATGCGAATGGAGACGTGGAAACTTTTACCAGCTACGGTAAAAATGGTAACGGAGCAGAAAATAAATTTACCAGCTACGCAACTGACAGCAATGGCCAGGCCTCCAATTTCAACAACTACGGCGAAACCGGCAATGGAGAATCCGACAACTTCACTTCATACGGGTTTAACGGGAACGTCCCTACGAATACATTCAAGAGTTACGCCCGTGGTGGGAATGGAGAGACCCAAACATTCAACAGTTATGGCTTCGACACCACTTTCCCGACCAACAATTTCCAAAGTTACGGCTCTCGCGGCAATGGAATTACTCAGAATTTTGCCAATTACCGAGGTCAATCCAACGGTGGGGACGACAGCTTCCAATCCTACGCACAGGGTTCCAACTCACAGGTTCTGGGTTTCACAAATTACGGCAAGATATACAGCGGAGGGAGCGATACATTCAAGGAATATTCCAAGGGTTCCAATGGGGGTCCGACTGTAGATTTCAAAACGTATGGAGTTACTAATAGAGTTTTCAAAGACTATGCCAAAACAGGGGTCACTTTCTCCGATTATCGAAACGTCACGGGAAGCCCTTTGGCTGCCATGGCGTCCAGCACCAGCACCACCAAGAAGAAGATGAACAGCCGGTGGGTGGAGCCGGGTAAATTCTTCAGGGAAAAGATGCTGAAAACAGGGACCGTGATGCCAATGCCTGACATCAAGGATAAGATGCCTAAAAGATCGTTCCTGCCCAGAGCAATTCTCTCAAAGATACCATTTTCCAGTGCCAAGATTGGTGAATTGAACAAGATATTCCATGCTGCTGATGATTCTAGCACGACCAGGATGATGACTAATACATTGAACGAATGCGAGAGAGCTCCCAGTCCGGGGGAAACTAAGCGGTGCGTCGGCAGTGCAGAAGACATGGTTGACTTTGCAACCTCTGTTCTTGGCAAAAACGTTGTCGTCAGGAGTACTAAAAACACTCAAGGATCAACTAAAGACATCTTGATTGGCTCCGTGACGGGGATCAACGGCGGACAGGTGACGAAATCAGTGTCTTGTCATCAGAGTTTGTATCCTTACTTGCTGTATTACTGCCACTCTGTTCCGAAAGTTCGGGTATACGAAGCGGATATACTTGACCCGAAATCCAAGTCCAATATTAATCATGGAGTTGCCATATGTCACATCGACACATCAAGTTGGAGTCAAACTCATGGAGCCTTCTTAGCTCTCGGCTCGGGTCCGGGTAAGATTGAGGTTTGCCACTGGATCTTCCAGAATGACATGACTTGGACATTTGCTGATTGATTATTTGTTGTAATAATTTGTAGTAACTCCAATCCATAATGGATTCGATGAATTATCCAGGTACATAATGTACCCTAATCAAGGTTTGTGTCTTGTACAATAAATGGCTGTATGTATATTAGAGTGTCTCCAAAATGTTAAAAAAAAAAAAAAGTGTGAAAAAGAACTTCACATTTGAAAAAGTTTGTTTCTTCTGGTGGTGTTGTGACCAATAAATGGAAAAATGTAAGTGTGCGAATGCGGTTTTGTTAAATGATAAAATAGCCTCATGTTCCCTTCTCTCGCATGCATTGATGGAAATTCTTGAACTCAACATATATATTCCATGTACTACTCCCTTATTACCAATTGATTTTGAGGTGGAATCACATATGAGCTTATATGGACCTTCAAAATGGTATCAAAGCGGGTTTTATCCGCAAACCTGTGGGACTTGTGGGACAATGTTGAATAACTGATATTGGACCTTTGACTTGCCCAGATTCGAGCTTTGACTTTAAAAACTTTAGCCAACCCGTGGAAAAAATACGGGGTTTGACTTTGAACTTTAATTGGCCTGGTAGGCGACGGTTTATCCGGAAAAATAACCGATCACAAGACTGAAAAATTTTAAAAAAAAACATTAAAAAAAGAGTATAAAATTACCCGTCCAAACCTATTGGGCTTGAGAGCGGCGTGTTAAATGAAAAAATAGCCTCATGTTCCCTTGTCTCACATGGATGGACGGAGACTCTTGAACTCAACATATATACCCCATGTGCTACTTCCCTCATTGCCAATTAGTTTTGAGGTGGAACTACATGTGGGCTTATATGGGGCTTTAAGAGGTTTTCATCATTTTAATCTGTGAAGGTTTAGCCATTCTTCCCTACCTCTAAAATTGGATTTGTGATGTTTCTCTCTCTTTCACGGTGACATACTGACATGTGAGGAGTGAGGACCATTTCAATTACTATCCCCCTTTTACATGTGAAGGAACGAGGCACAGTATATGTCAATGGACTAAGCCGCAACAAAGATAGAAGGATAGACGTATGAAACTATTGATTAATGAAAACAAGAAACACTTTTTTATATGTCTTTGTAGAGAATTTATCAAAACCAAGAACACATTAATTAATGTAGTTAAAATACATAAACACCTTTATTTATTTTTTATACTATTCATCACAAATCAATAAAAATTCATTATAAATATTGTTTTATTTCCAATGCATGTGTAATATTAGTAAAAAATAGTCAAATATGTCTCGATTTGTGAAAACGGCATATATTTAAAAAAAATTATCAATCCCTAAAACGACATATGTTTCGAAATAGAGGGAGTACTCATTGTGTTGCAACATAATAGTTCATATTAAATTTCGTGATTTGTAGTACTAATCACAAAAATTAAAACAGGTTATTTTGGAGACAAAAGTATAATGATTTCGTCCTTTTTTCTTTGTGGGATGGGATAAATATATGATTGAAAACAAACTTCACCACAAACTTGAATACGAATAAAATAATTTTTATTAATGTCTCAAGTTAATTGCTTGATGCAATTTGTTGAACTAGTTTTTCTTAAAATGAAAGATGTCGAAACCTTAGACCAGAGCTGCATTATCACAATAACATGATGATCATAAACTAGCAAGTTTGATTGTAAATAACTTTTTTTTTTGTTAAAAAAAAGAGAGAATAGATTATTCAAAGAGCACAACACACTCATACTATTTCTCCATTTGAGTCACTTTTGGATCACATTCTATCAACAAATAGTCTAGCCTCTATGTTGTCGGTCCTTGTTTTAATTTGGTTCTTGTTATGGTCCAAATTTCCAATACTTTTATGCAGATCGAAATTATTGATTCATTAAACTTGAAATCTTTTAGTTACCCCTCCTAATTCTGCTCACGTAGACTCACAATAACCAGATCCGCAGCCCCTTAAATCATGAGAAATCACACAAAAGCTCCATGAATCCACTTGGTGCTTAACGATTGATTTCCTCTGGCTGACCTAAAATAGAAATAGGATATCATTCGTTATCCTGTTTCCCGAGACCATCTCGAGGAAACTACTTTGAGTGTACCCAGAACCACAATGGTCCTTCTCCTATTTTTTGCATTATTAGACTTTATTGTACTTTTTCTAAATAACTTCCAATATTTTGTAAATTTAGTCCATGTTACTTTTTTTCTCTCTCCTCTAGAAAAATATCTCTAATCTTTAAATGAGCATAACTCATGATTCATGAAGAATTTGTGAATGAATAATGTATGAAATTTATAGTAGTCGACGAGATCTATCCGATAAGATCAATATTGAATATTAAATTCGAAAAATAAAAAAATTAAAATACTCTGGGCAGAAACGAAAAAAGTATTTGTACGTCCATTTTTTTTGGTATTGACTATCCAACCTTTTTGTATTGGTTATCCAATCATTTTCATGGATTATCTAAATAGAATTTCTTTTCTTTTTTTTTTCTTTTGAAAAGATATCTGTCCAATATATTCATACTAATTATCCAACCTTTTTTTCTTGTTTTATTTTTATAAAAATGATTGTTCAATTTTTTGTACTGCCTATCCAACCAGTTTATATTACTTATCCAATTATTTTTACTGCTTATTCAAATAGAATTTGTACTGCTTGTCCATTGGTTTTTTTGTTCTATTTTTTTTTTTTTGAGAAAAGGTATATCCAATATATATGTTCGTACTGATTATCTAACTCACCGGTGATGGTTATCCGACTTTTTTTTTTGCTTGTACTTTTATGAAAATGATTGTCCAATTCTTTATACTGATTATCCAACCAGTTTGTACTCATTATCCAATTATTTCTACTGGTTTTTCAAATGATTTGTAATGGTTATCCGATCATTTTCTTTTTCTGAAAAATGGTTGTCCAATGTTTTCATACCGATCATTTTTACTGTTTCTCTAACCATTTTTTTCTTTTTTTTTTTATGATAATCCTTGTCCAGTGTTTTTTTATTGACTATCCAGCTGTTTTGTATTTGTTATACAATCATTTTTATTGCTTATCCAAACATAGTTATGGTAAATCCAATGCTCTGTATTGCTTATCCAGCATATTTGTACTGGTTATCCAGCCAATGTATATTGGTTGTCTAAATATTTCTGTAAATTCTCAGAAACATTGGATAAGTAATATACTACAACAGTACTGTCAAATACTGGTTATCCAACTGTTTACTGATGATTATCCAATCATTTTCTACTGCCTTTCTAACCCTTTCTTCTTTTTATAATGGAGGTAGTTTCTGATACTTGTCCATAATCTTACTTTTGGTTATCCAACCAGTTTGCACTGGTTATCCTAGAGCTCTCTACTTCTTATTCAAATGTTTGTTAGTGCAACATTAACGTCAAATAAAAGAGGTTAGATAAGTACTAGGAAACTGGTGGATAGGCGGCGGCCTGATTCAGATTCACGCTCACATTTTTTGCTGATGGAAATAGGTACATTCGGAGGCGTTGAATAAACACTACAAAATCAATGAATAGCCGCCACGATTTGAAGAAGCAGTAAAAATGATTGGATAAGCAGTACAAACCGGTTGGATAATCAGTGTAAAAAATACGGACAAGGATATCCAAGAAAAATATAAAAGGAAAAGAAAAAGTTGGAGAAGCAGTGGAAATTGGTCGATTGGATAATCGGTATGAAAACATTGGACAGCTATTTTTCAAAAAAAAAATAAAAGAATAAAAACGATTAGACAAACAGTACAAAACCTGTTTGGATAAACCGAGAAAACGGTTGAATAAACAATGCAAAACGGTTTGGATAGTCAGTACAAAAGGCCGGATAAGGATTGTCACAAAAAAAAATTAAAAAAAAAATTGGTTGGATAATCAGTAGTAAGCAGTTGGATATCCATTAGTTCATAACTAATTATCTGAAAGCTTTATACTGCTTGTCCATATATTTTAACTGGCTATCTAGCTAATATGATTATTCTTTATCCACCATAAATTGGAGTTCAAATCTTAACCAAACTCTGTCAATATCTCAATAACAAAGTTTAAATGAATGGAGATCAAATTAAATTAGATTTCTGAAAATTCAATCATGTTATTAAGGGTAGGGCTGACAATCTCTGACACGACTCGGTATTTCGACACGAACCCGACACGAAATGACCCGACACGAATACGACACGCATATTAAACATGTCGGGTTAGGGTTGAAAATTTGAACCCGTTTAATATACGGGTCGGGTTAGGGTCAACCTGACGGGTTACCTGGGTCACCCGTATGTATGTAATTTATGTATTTTCTAGGGGTAATTTGGGAATTTTACCACAAGAGAACCCTATTTTCACTCCCATATTTATACATTTTATACTGAACACTTTGACAATTTCACTACCTCTCTTCTTCGTGACGGCCTCCGACCAAAAATCTCTTCTTCGCGACAGCCTACGACCAAAAACACAGCTATTAGCCGTAAAATTAAATACAAAAATAAAAAATTCTTCCCACTCTTACTAGATCTCTCTTCTTCTCTTCAGATCTGATAATTCGAGAGTAGCCTTTGCTATGGGTTAGTCAATATAATGGTCTAGCCGTCGATATGGAGTTGTTGAAGTGGATGGCAGTGCTAGAGTAAGGGGATTCTGTTTGGATTTCAAGTATGTAGCAGGGAGGGTGAGGGATCTTGGGGTTTTATAGGAATCGGTAAGATTCGGGTATGAATTTTCTCCTTGGATTGCGTCTTCACCCGGTTCTTGCGCTCTGACGATTGCAGCATCACCGGTGTGGCTGTTCCATTTTGCTTTTAGAAGCTCCAATTGGCCATGAGAAGCATTTGCGAATTGCCATGCTTCATACTCCTTATTTACCTTTGTTCTTTGTCGAAGAAATTTTGCATATCCAAGGCTGTAGAACAACAGTGAATAAAAAATTGTGTTGCTTTTCTTTTCCATGTTTCTTGTACTCAATATATAGTGTGTTTACGTATGTAGCTGAATGTAGGCTTTCTTAATTAGATTTTCTATTTTGTGTAGTTGTGTTTTTACTGGCTAAAACGAGTTGGGGATTGTTGTTAGTAAGGATTTTTTCTTTGTGTTGTTGATTTGTTCAAATTCAACTTACTCGTCAAAGGAAATTGATTAAATTTTGTTATTTACTCCCCTCTGCAAATTTTAGTTCTTTGTTCATCTTATTTTTTTTTTTTTGGGTTAAACAGGTCGACCCGGGTCAACCTAGATTTTAAAAGGTCGGGTTAGAGTTGAGAATCCTGACCTCTATAATTAAACTGGTCGGGTTCGGGTTAGTTATAATTTTCACGGGTTTGGGTTCGACCCGACACGCCAACCCGAACCCGACACAAATTGCCACCCCTAATTAAGGGTGGGGGCGGTTATTGCTTATTGTACTTTTTTTTCTCCAAATTCTTATATTTTGCAAGTTTAGTCCTTGTCACTGTTTTTCCTCTCTTCTCATAAAATATTTCTAATTTCAAACGAGTATATCTCTGAATCCGTGAATAATTAAAAAACGAATTATATATGAAATTGATAGTATTAATCGAGATCTATCCAACAAGATCAATATCGAATTTTTTTTCGAACTTAAAAATGACTAAATTTTGATGAGCAGAAATAAGATGGATATCTAGTTAAAAATATGGATAACCAACTTATTTTTATGGATATTCTTATATTGCACATATTTCTGATCCGTGAAGAATTTTTAAACGAATTATATATGAAATTAATAATAGTCGACGTGATCTATTTAATAATGTCCATATCGAATATTTTTTCAAGTTTTAAACACATTTAAATTTTATGGGCAGAAATGAAGGAAAATACTTTTTTTTAAAAAAAAAATGTTTATCCATTGCGTTCATACTGATTATCTAACCAGTTTGAAATGGTTATCCATTTTGTTTGTACTGGTTATCTAATTAATTTTTTTAAAAAAATCATTGTCCTATATGTTCCTACCGATTATCCATTTTGTTCACACTGATTATCCAATAATTTTGAACTGATTATTCATTTTGTTTTTACTAGTTATCCAACTTTTTTTTTTAAAGAATGGTTGTCCAATGTGTTCGTAGTGACTATCCATAAACTTGGTACTGGTTATCCAATCATTTTTTTCTTTTTTTTTACGAAAATACTTGTCCAGTTTGTTTGTACTAATTATCCAACCGTTTTGGATTGGTTATCTAATTATTTTTTTATTAGTTGTCCAAATAGATTTGTACTGCTTGTCCAATTATTTTTTTTTTCTCTTGGAAAAACGTTTGTCCAATGTGTTCATATTGATTATCCAACTGCTTGATATTGTTTCCCCATGTAATTTTTTTTAATGAAAGATTTCCAAATCGGTTTTTATTGGTTATCTAATCATTTTTTTTATGAGAAAATGCTTATCCAATGTGTTCATACTGATTATCCGGCCGGTTTGAACGGATTATCCGTTTTGTTTGTACTAGTTATCCAATCTCTCTTTTTTTTTTTGAAAAATCATTGTCCAATATGTTAATGCTGATTATCTATCCAATTAATTAGTACTTCTTATCCAACCTAGTTTAAAGTGGAGGGAATGTCAAAGAGAATCTAAATCGAGATGGCTACCCGTTTGTTTTTTTTTTTGTACTTATCGATTGTCTTTCTACTGAATATCCATTATGTTTGTACTGCTTATCCAATCGTTTATTTTGTAAAAAGTGGTTATCCAGCGTGTTAATAGTGGTTATCCAATTGAATGGTGCTGCTTATCCAGACGTTTTTCCTCTTCTCCAGCCATTCTCTTCGTTTTAGTTTTTACGAAAGTCCTTGTCCAGTTTGTTTCTAATGACTTTTCAACCTACTTGTACTATCCAAATATTTTCACTCCTTATCCAAATAGGGTTTGGATCTGATCTTTTTTTTTTTTGAGAGAATATCTGTCTAATATGTTATGTTCATACTGAGTATCCAATATTTCAACTTCTTGACGATGGTTATCCAACCTCTTTTTTTCCTTGCTTTTTTTATGAAAACGATTGTCCGATTTTTTATAATGGTTATTCAACCAATTTGTACTGCTTATCCAATTATTTTACTGATTATCCAAATAGTTTGTAATGTTTATCCAATCATTTTTTCCCTTTTTTTTGTTTTGGAAAAATGATTGTCCAATGTTTTCATACTGATTATCCAACCGATTTGCACTGTTTCTCCAACATTTTTTTTCTTTTCTATTTTTTTTGAATATTCTTGTTTGATTTTTTTTATGCTGATTATTCTTCTAATTTATAATACTTGAACTGATTAATCATTTTGTTTGTACTGTTTATCCAATAGGAATATACGATCACTTTGATGTTTTTGCGGGTGATAAATGATTTTGGATGTAAGCATTTTTTTTTTTTATGTTAAGCATCTTTTAGCGATATTTTTGAGCATTTTTTGTGGGATATCCAATGCCGTTAAATGTACCTATCAAAGCATCCTCCACTATCACATCATCCCCAAACAAGTTATCGTCGTTGTTATGTTTTCCAGAAGTTGAGAAAAACAAAAAGCAAAAAAAATGTTGGATACACCAATACAGTATAAACAACTCAAAACGTTTGGATACTCAGTATAAAGAAGTTGGATAATCAGTACGCATAAGTTGGATATGCATATAAATCTGTTAGGTAATCAGTACACGAAAGTTGGATAGTCAACAAATAAGTTGGATATGCATACAAACACGTTGGATAACAACTACAAAACAAGTTGGATAGGCATACAAACCAAATGGATAAGCATTTTCAAAAAAATATATATATATTTTCTTCATTTCTGCCCGTAAATTTAAATGCATTTAAAGTTCGAAAAAAAAAATTCAATATGGATCCTATCGGATAGATCTCGTCGAATATTATAAATTTTATATATAATTCATGTTCTTATTACTCACGGATCAAGAGATATAAGTAACACAACACTATGAATATAACATAGTTGGTTACCCTTTTTTTAAAATAGGATATCCACCTTATTTCTGCCCATCAAAATTTGATCATTTTTAAGGTCGAAAAAAATATTTGATATAGATCTTGTTAGATAGATCTCGACAAGTACTATAAATTTCATGTATAATTCGTTTACAAATTTTTCACGGATCATGAGTTATGCTCGTTTGAAAATTAGAAATATTTTTTTAGAGAAGAGAAAAAAGTAACAAAGACTAAATTTACAAAATATAAAAAGTTATTTAAAAAAAAAGTACAATAAGTACTAATAATATAAAAAAAAAATTTGATGGGGACTATGGTGGTTCCGGTCCCAAAAGAAAATCATAAAATTGAGGCCAATCCCATTACAATCATATTGCTTACTCTTTTCCTCTTTAGCATATACCTTTATTCTTTCAGAAAAAAGAAGATGAAGCCGGCGCCGACACAGTCCAATCCTCCCTGGACTTCGCTACTCCTCTTTAGCATATACTACAAAGTTAACAGTTCCTAAATCACTTGGAAGTATCTCATTTGTTTGTATTTTTCCAACTTTGTTATAGGAAACAGTTATTGAAAATCTTCCACAAACAATATGCTACTTATCAGCTTTGCTTTAGGTTGTTCTAACTTCTAACATCTTGTCGGTCCGATTACACTTCCAAGTTGCACGCACGCATGAAATAGATTATTTATTTACGCTAATATTCAAAACATTCACGAGTGCAGATAGGTTTTGCGGCAGCGGGAACAGACATTGGCCGGAATTTCGCCGGAAACACTCCATTCACAGCCAAAGCTTCACTGATTCGCTACTGGAAAAAGAAAGTTACTACCTCTAATTTGCCAAATCCCTTTTTCCTCAACAAAGCTTCCCCATTGAACGCCGTCCAATTGGCGACATTTTCAAAACTCGCCGGTCAACAGCTGCTGTCTGACCAGCTCTCCCGCTTTTGCTAGGCTGCAGATCTGTTTTGCTTCCCTGATGTATCATCAACCAGCCTCACAAAGCACAGTAAAGATTCGAAATTTGCCGAGTATAAATTCCAGAATTTCACCAATTACGGTACTGACCGCCACGGCGGTGTTGATTCTTTCAAGAACTACACAAACAACGAAACCTTCCCCATTGACACCTTCCGCCGTTATAGTCGTGGTTCAGTCGGACACGAACGATCAGTTCACCAATTACGCCCTCACCTCTGTTTTCGCCGACAACACCTTCAATTCTTACGGTACAAAAGCCACCAGCGGCACCGGCGACTTCAGCAATTACCAGGACGGAACCACCGTCGCCGGCCTCAACTTCACATCATATTCCGACGGCACCGGCGGCCGCTCCCAGGATTTTACAAGTTATGCAGAAAATACAACTGCCGGGGATGAAGGTTTCGCCAGCTACGGTATAAAAATGGTAACAGAGTAACAAATCTGTTCTGCAACTACGGAAACGTATCCAGCGCCATTACTTCCAGCTTCATCAATTATGCCGAAGGTGGAAAACAGGGTAATGATAATTTTACTTCTTACGGCCTGGATGAACGTATCCCTGAAAATGACTTCAACAATTATGCACGGGATGGCAATGGAACGACCGAAACATTCACTAGTTATGGCCGTGACGGGAATATCCCCTTGAATAATTTCAACACCTACGGGTCTGGAGGCAATGAAATCACTCAGAAATTCGCAAATTACCGTGATCTTGCCGTCGTTGGTGACAATCGGTTCCGTTCCTATGGAGAAGACTCGAAAACAGAGTCTCTGGGTTTCACAAATTACGGTCAGTCATTCATAACTGATACTTTCAGGGAATATGGTAAAGATTCCAATGTCAAGAAAATGGATTTCAACACGTATGGAGTTGGAAACACTTTTGTTGAATATACCAAGACAGGGGTCAAGTTTTCTAATTATCTTAACGAAACTCAAAGCCCATTGAAGATGAACAGCCGGCGGGTGGAGCCGGGGAAATTTTTCAGGGAGAAAATGCTGAGAACAGAGACTTTGATGCCAATGCCGGACATCAAGGATAAGATGCCTAAAAGATCTTTCTTGCCGCGCACAATTCTTTCAAAAATACCGTTTTCTAGGGCAAAGATTGATGAGTTGAAGAAGATTTTCAACGCCGCTGATGACTCCAGCATGACCAGGATATTAAGGGATGCGTTGACCGAATGTGAAAGAGCTCCTAGCCCCGGGGAAACTAAGCGGTGTGCCGGCAGCGGGGAAGATATGATTGACTTTGCAACTTCTGTGCTCGGAAGAAACATCGCCGTTCGGAGCACTGATAATACTCGAGGATCAGGCGGAGACATCATGATTGGAACAGTTATCGGAATCAACGGCGGGCAGTTGACGAAATCAGTGTCTTGCCATCAGAGTTTGTATCCGTATTTATTGTACTACTGCCACTCTGTCCCTAAGGTTCGGGTATACGAAGCGGATATACTTGACCCAAAGTCCAAGGCAAAAATTAATCATGGAGTCACCATCTGTCACATTGACACGTCGAGTTGGAGTCGGAACCATGGAGCATTTGTAGCTCTAGGTTCGGGTCCTGGTAAAATTGAAGTTTGCCACTGGATCTTTGAGAATGACATGACTTGGACGATTTCAGATTAAGCTCTTACCTTCTTCTCCTCCTTGTTTTTGATAAAATGAGCTTATTTTCCTACTAAGATGATTTGGGTGAATAAAACCGAGTACACCATCTCGACTATTGTAGCAGTTCATGTAATATTGTGCTGTTTTTACACAGAATCAAAAAGAGTATTTAAAGTTAAGTACGTAATCATTGTCAGATATTTTGGTTTGAGAAATTGTTTCTCTCAGTCACATTGTAATCATAAATTAATGACTATTAGATTTTAGTATAAATTGTTACTTTTTGGAGAGATTACTTTGAAGTTTGAACTCCACTCAACATGTACTAGGTCAAATTTCATCATTAACATTTTTCATTCGTATTCAGTATTTACAAAGCCAAAGGCTAGTAGCAGCTAAATCTATTGTATTACGAGATTGGTAACGCAGTAAACCAAAGTGAGCCATGTAAGTTTTGTGTTTTCTTAATCTTATTGCTGAAAATGTTGGCATTTCGACTGTTTTGTCTCTTTTAATAAAGCCGATGAAGGTCGAATCTCAATACTTTGTTTCAATTTCATATTATTTTTGAGGGTATTCTGGCAAATAATTAATCGGTTGCATCAAAATGTTTTAGTGTTACAGAGTATTTACATGAATTAGGAAGTTTTTTGGCTTTTGATAAGCAACTATGCGCTAAACAGAAATGCGCAAGATTAATCATGGCTAAGTTTGGTCAGTACTGCCGACGCCATGCTGCGCTCATGTTGATGTTCTAGACTTTACCACTCTTATTATTGACAATAGCCCCCATGAGTTTGTTTTGGGCTTCTGTCCCAGACACTCAGTTGTGGTCACTTTCTCTTTTGTCCTCCTTAATCCAGCTCAATCTCTAATGTGTATTATTATGGAATGCTCAGTCAAATTCAAGCAGAGAAGTTGGCGAGGTCATCATAATAATAGGCTGGAATGGGCATTTATATGTAAAAACAAAAGAAAATTCCGGCGTTTTGTTCTGAGATCCTTAGTCATAGGCTCTTAGCTCTCAGTAGCTCAGTAGAATGTCCGAAACCATTTGCTTTTTAGTACTCCATCCGCTCCCACAAAAATAGTCTACATTGAGTTTTCAAATTTGTACTAAAACTAGTACAAATCTCAAAACTTAATGTGAATTATTTTTTTGAGACAGAGGTAGTATATGTTATCCTTTCAATGAATATAAAAAACCATATTCGTGAGTCTCGGTACTACAAAAATATTCAACAAATGAACACTGAAACAAATAACGCATCTGCCTTTCTTTTTTCTGCTTTTTCTTTTTTTTTAAAAAAAATAAAAAAACTTACCAATAAAAAAGAGAGGAAGATGCCTGCTTGCTGACTGACTGACTGCAAAAACCAAAGGAATAAAAGGTTTTATAAAAGTATGATTAGAAAAAGCATTAAAGATCTGTGCACGTCATCAGTCCTCACTAACTGAACCGACTCACTTCAAACTAAATATTCGCTGCTAAAAACACACTCGATTTAACCACGCCAATCAGTTCTCATATTTATCGGGGCCAAAAAAAAAAAAAAAGAGAAAACAGACAAAGAAATTAAAGTAAAAAGAAAAATACTGTTTTGGAAAAGTACAGCTTATTTCTCAGTGGAACCATTACAGAAATGGTAAATGAATATTTATGACTCATATAATACTAAAAAACAAAAACAAAAAGAAAAAAACGCGTTACGACTATACTATATGAGCACAAAATTATCCAGTTGTATTTTCCAAAAATAATATATCTCATCTCTTTTTTTGGTATATTCATTCTCATCTTCTTTCTCACATATATATATAATAATAATATAATTTTATTAGGAAAACTTATATTCAAGAAATTGAGAGATAAGCAGCAAAAGAGTAAAGTGTCTAGTCTGTAAGCGACAAAAACTACCTAACTAAAAAAAAATTCAAAAGCCCAACCAAAAGCCCCACAACCAAAATCCATCTTCCCACATCACACCCACACATAAAAACCCTCCATCTTCCTCTCCTCTTCTCTGTGCCTCAGAAAATTTCAGTATAAACACAGAGCAATCTCCATCCAAAAAAACTCACAAACTCCACACACACACACACACACAACACAAAACATTCTCACTTCTCCTCTTCCTCCGTTGCCACAATACATTTCATAAAGGAAAATTAGAGAAGTAATGCAGAAGCACAAAAAGCCTCCACCACTCTTCTTCTCCTTCATCGTGGTCCTCCTAACCATTTCTTCATCCTTCAATGTAAGTATGGGTAACGTTAATTATGCTAATATTTTACCATTATCTATTATTGCCTTCCTCCATTCTGTGATCGTATTCCTTTTTTTATATTGTCCAATAACGATAAACACTGGTGTTGTGTGTGTGTGACGGTGACAGAATTCCCACCTAACCGCAATGTGAAATCTGCAAAAGTTCTACAGCGTACAAATTTATTATTTTACGCGTAACTTTAATTGTCTGATTAGTAAATTCAAATCTTGCATTATTTGTTGATAATTCATTTATTTGTCTTCTTAGAAAAACACACACTCACACACTAGTTGGACACTAATCAGAGTACCTTTACTCCGTGAATTTGTGTAAAGTATTTGATCACACACGATTATGTGTGACAATGGTAATCATGATAATTGAATGCTTTTTTTTTTTTGTAGGTTGGATTAGCCGGCGGAGGGACAATCGGTGGCCGGCGGTTGTTGTTGGGTGGAGATAATCCGTTCACTGCCAAGGCTTCATTGATTCGTTACTGGAAGAAACAAGTATCGAATAATTTACCAAAACCATGGTTTTTGCTCAACAAAGCGTCCCCATTGGACGCCGTGCAATTAGCCACATTCTCAAAACTCGCGGATCAGAACACCTTGTCCGCCCAGCTCCTCAATTTCTGTTCCAAAGCAGATCTCCTCTGCTTTCCCGATTTGGCTGCCGGTCTCGAAAAGCACGACAAAGACGTGAATTTCGCGCACTACAGCTTTGAGAACTTCACAAATTACGGCAGCGGACACGCCGGCGGGGTGGACTCTTTCAAGAATTACACCAACGATGAAAACCTCCCCGTCGACACCTTCCGCCGCTACAGCCGTGACTCCGCCGGCCACGGAGATCAGTTCGCCAATTACGCCCTCGACGCCAATGTGGTCGACCAGAGCTTCAACACTTACGGCACATCCTCCACCGGCGGCGCCGGAGATTTCAAGAATTACAATAATGATGCCAATGTACCCGGCCTCACATTCACCTCGTACTCCGACAGCGCTCTCGGCCGGACCCAAGAGTTCAAGGGATACTCGACCGATGCCAATGCCGGCCAGGAAGGTTTCACAAGCTACGGTAAGAACGGCAATGGAGCAACCAATGTATTCACCAGCTACGGCAATGAATCCAACGTCATCACTTCCGGGTTCAAAAATTACGGCGAAACCGCCAACGGCGGCACTGATAATTTCACTTCTTACGGAAGCAACGGAAACAATCCGGCGAATAATTTCAACAACTACGGCGCCGGCGGCAATGCGGCCACAGAATCATTCGCTAATTACCGTGACCAATCAAATGTGGGAGACGATTCTTTCAAATCCTATGCAAAAGGGTCCAATGCTGCCAATCTGGGTTTCAGTAATTATGGGAAATCGTTCAATGAAGGAACTGATAAATTCTCACAGTACGCACAGGATTCAAATGCTCAGAAAGTGGATTTCAAGACTTACGGCGTCAACAATACTTTCACGGAGTACGCCAAAAGTGGGGTCACATTTTCAAGCTACACCAACGAATCCTCCACCGCAGGCGCCGATATTACGGCGAGTTTGGTGGCCGGTGGCAAAAAGGTAATTAACAGGTGGGTGGAGCCCGGGAAATTTTTCCGGGAAAAGATGTTGAAGGCGGGTAACACAATGCCAATGCCTGACATTAAGGATAAAATGCCTAAAAGGTCGTTTCTGCCCCGGACGATTCTCACCAAATTACCATTTTCCACGGCCAAAGCAGACGAGCTGAAGAAGCTCTTCCACGTCCGGGAGGATTCCAGCATGGCCGGAATACTGGGCAACGCGTTGAACGAGTGTGAACGGCCGCCCAGCCCCGGCGAGACGAAGCGGTGCGTGGGGTCCGCGGAGGATATGATTGACTTTGCAACTTCAATCCTGGGACGAAACGTCGTCGTCCGGACCACTGAGAACACTGAAGGATCAGGTGGTGATATTATGATTGGTACTGTAAGAGGGATCAATGGCGGACAAGTCACTAAATCGGTGTCTTGTCATCAGACACTGTTCCCGTATTTACTCTATTACTGCCATTCCGTTCCTAAGGTTCGGGTTTACGAAGCGGATATACTTGACCCGAAATCCAAGGCTAAAATCAACCATGGAGTTGCCATCTGTCACGTCGATACATCGACTTGGAGCCAGAATCATGGAGCTTTCGTGGCTCTGGGTTCGGGTCCGGGTAAGATTGAGGTTTGCCACTGGATTTTCGAGAATGATATGACTTGGGCCACTGCTGATTGAGTAGGAAATTAACGAACAGACCCGGAAAATGTGGGCTTGTTGTTTGAAAGTTAGTTTTTTCTCCTGCAAGCATGTCTTTTTCTTTTTATAAGATTCAATTAATGTGATGTTTGCTCTCAAGAAGATGAGAGTTTGTCAAAGTTTGAGTTTAATGTCAATCATTAATCACATGGATATTGATTTACTCACTCACAAACCTTACTTTGATTTAAGTGTTCACAACCCATATACTGTAATGCTTTTCCCTCATGTTGTTCGGAGACTGATTTAGGTCAATAAATAGGACACTTCTTTTCTTCTTCTTCTTCTTCTTCTGTGGTGGAGAGTGGACTGGTGAGTGGCTTACAATAATAAATGTGATTCACTTGTGTGAAATTTTGGGGGTACCAGATTGGGTGAGAAGTTAAAGAAAAAGCAGTTATAATGAATGAATGAATGAATGAATGATTCATTCGACGCAGACAGAACACGCAACAAGTATGAAAGTGAATATAGTGTGGAGTGTGTTGAATACACCTTATTCTCAGTTAAATGCATAATGCATTGATTGGTAGGCTGCAGTTTCGGCATGAGTGATTGATGAATGATCACAATTCACATGTCCGGACACATACTTTTGTTGCTTAGCCCCCTTTTTTTTTCTGGCTCCTGTTCGTTTATTGGTAAAGGTAATTCTGTTGCCTACGATAAATCCAAGCAAATGAAGTAAAAAAAAAAATAATAATAATCTGGTGTCTCTGTGTGTGTGTGTGTGTCTGTGTTTTTTTTTTAACAGAGAATTAAGGTAAGAGTGTTGCAGTACAATCTCTGGGGGGTTGTTCTGAACTGAAAAACCTGAGTAAACTGAGAACATGAATGTTGATGAATGTCTCATTCGGAAACATCCGAGGATTGAAACTAGAAAGGCCAAAGGAAGAAGAGAACAACTGCAGTAAATTAAATTTGGGGAGCGTAACTTTTTTATTTTTGTTGCTGGGTTTGTCTTTTTAATTTTTGGTTTAAATTCGAAGACAAAATGATACAAACTCCCTCACGTGTATGCAATCTTTTGTGGCAACAATTCGGTGGTCCTCCGAACGCCGGCCCAATGGCAAATGGCGTGCTGCTTCCTGTATTCCCTAGGGATAGGTCAATTTTCCAGCTGTTATTTCTTTTATCATTGTATTTCTCATATTTCGCGCCAGATAATAAAAAAAAAGCCTCAGTTTATTTTGTATGTGTATAATATTGAAAGTATATATTTCTGTCTCAAAAAATGATCCATATTAAGTTTTAAATTTGTACTAAAAATAAAATTAATACAAATGTCAAAACTTAATATCAATTATTTTTTTAGATAAATATACGTAATATATATTATTATGAGGAGTTTCTGGAACATAGGGCTTACCTTTTTCTTTCTCCCATTGTAAATATTATAATACTCCCTCCATCCTAAAATTATTTTCGGATAGGAGTACACATAATTTGAAAAATACAAAATGCAAGTATAGAGAATGTCGAGGATCTCACTAAGAATCGAAACTTCAAGCCTATTTAGAATAACCATGGAACTGCAGTGAAAATAAACTCCCCTAGTCAAATGTAACCAGCGAACAATATATGACTATGGTAAGTTGGTAACTAATATTTACATCACGTATAGAAAATTACGAGAGTTGAAAGAAAAAGATCTAGAAGATAAAAATCAGTAACACAAATAGAAATAGAGAGTACGCAAAAAGAAGTTTTTGCTTTATTTTTATAGTACAACATGGGAAAGATGTTTTTTTTGCTTTTAAAAATAACCAACTTTTGTGTTCCTTTTCTATACAGTCTTGTTTGCTCTCGAGTCTTTCCAGTTTCCATCCAGTTTCCACCCAGCGCACCTTTGAATTCCTAAAGCCAGCTTTCATCATTGGCAATTTGGCATAGATTCAATATGTGGGTCTTACAACAAAGTTTTCTTTACGTAGCTTTTGCATTCTCAGTGCTATTTTCTGTTTGATCAGAGCAAACATCATTTGCAAGCATCAGTCACGTTTTCGTGCAGCCTAGAAACTGCAAAGATATGGTGGTTCAATGGCAAATTAAAGTAAGCTTTCAATCAACCGAGTAAAACGTTGTCTTAGACCAAATAAGCTAACATAAACAAACTTTCTTTCCAGAGGCTAAGCTGAAATGGGTTTTGTTAATTACATCTCTGAAGGTTTAATTGAAGAAGTGTACCTAGCTAGTTGGATTGATTAATGGCTCCATTATCCATCATTACTTCCACACTCGTAGCCATTATATAGTAGTGGGTTCAAGCCCACGATAAAATTTTAGGGGTAGTAAATATGTATACATAGGCCCTCTTCTCCCGTGGGATAAATCAATGGCTGTCTATCTTGTTTTCAACAACCATTTTGATCTCGATTTATTCCAAAATAATTGTTTCATTTTTAGCAAAGTAAAAAGTCATTAACAAAAAAGAGAACTGGATCCATATTCATGAGAGTAGTAAAGGATTCTCGTGTTGATTATGGTTTGGAATCAACAATTATAAATCTTGAACAACTCGCAATATTGAGGAGTTTTTATAGCAACTCCAACCATATTACTAAATTTGATATTTTGGTATAGAGTTTGCACTCTAACCAAAGCACTAAATGAGTGTAGTATTTTAGTACAATAAATAGTGTTACACCAAATTTTGTATAAATTATCAATTACACCATCTTTGTGCAATCTTTTTATTTTGCTCTAAAAATATGATTTGCTATATCATTATTTATAAAATGAATATTGTTATGAAACTTATGTCATATTAAAGATCTTGTTGAATCTTCAAAATAAGATTCATATTGACTGTAATATTTATTTTATCTTTTTTTAAAAAAAATTTAGTTATCATTAAACTTAAATATGAAATCAATTTTAAACTATAACATTCAAAACTTTGGTGCATCAAGGTTGGAATGCAAAGACGTTTGATGCCAATTACTCCCTCCGGTCCGTATTATAAGGCATTTTAATTTCGTCTTAGGTTTCACTTAGGATGTCATTTTAATTGAAATAAAAACCCTTAAAATATTTTATAATAATTAGGAGAGCACAACGAATGTGAAACTATACTTTTAAAGTTTTTTTTCAATTAAAAAAATATCCTAAGTTAAATTTAGCACGAAATTAAAATCACTTATAATAAGGACTAGAGGAAGTATAATGTAATGGTTTGAGTTATTAATAATGTAGGTTGTTTTCACCCCTCATTTAAATCATTGTAGAACGGCAATCTTTAAAAAAATAAAACAAAATGAAAATTGAAGCAACAATAATTTTTATAACTCTGTCAGACTGATTAAGGATTAACGTTGTCACACCTCACATAGGGATCATGGAATCGAAAATGGTCATTTCATATGAACATTGGACCAGTTAATAAAAGCATGCCTGAAGTTAATTTAATTATGGAGTTTATTGTTTTTGATCTGTTATAGTACTACCCTACACCGTAGACTGAAATGAGCCCTCTTCCACTATGCAGACGTCAGTGGACGCAATATATAATGCCGATCGATTCAATCCCGAAAATAAAACCTCCTTTTTTTATATATATAATTAAAACAAAAAAAAAATAATAAAAGGTATGAAATATAACACCACGATGACGAACATCATACGCAAGTAAATGACCTAGGAATCAAAACAAACGATCACTTTCACAGTTTAAAGTGCACCATAGTAGGAGTCTGTATTGGGTGCACAGCACGACGCACCTCCAGTCGAAATCGACTGATTCGGCAAAAGAAAAACGAATCCAGCACCGAAATCGATTCTCGTGGCCATCTCTTCTATCTCGTTCAGCACCGCCGCCACTGGAATCGACTTCCGTGGCCACCTCTTCCTCTTCGTCTTTCTCGTTCAGCACCGCCACCACCGGAATCGACTCCTGCGGCCGCCGGAATCACAGGTCACTAATCCACCCCGACTTTGCCGTCCCGCCGAACACGCCGATTTATATAAGGTGAGTCATTTTTTCGTGTGTGTGTGTGAGAGGCGGTTGGGATTTTGGCCGGAATTTGCAAAGACACCGGAAATTTGCAGGGGGTACACGGTGCCCCCGGGTGCACCAGATAATTTGCCCCATAGTAGTAATTCAGATGATGATACATGACAGAAGGTTTGGCCTAAAGTTATAAAGCTTTCTTTCTCATGATCACGATAATTCTCGGAATTATGCAAATTCCCAAATACTGTAATGTTCGTAACTACTGTATAACAAATTAAGCTCATACCAAAATTACTGGAAACGTTAAACGAAGACATTCTGTATTTTACTATTTAGAGTGTACTTTGGCCTTTGGTAAAACGGTACGTTATTGTTGTTCTAGTATACCTTGTTTAATTATCCCTCCTTTTTTGCATCAATCATTGATGCAGAAATCACAGTGTGGCACATTTCAAGCTCTCACCTACTACGTCGGATCAGCACAAGAAAGAGATGTCGAAATCATTGCCTTTCAAACAATTTTATAACTGATGGGATTTTTTCCAAATAAAAACTCCCACCTTTTTTCCGCTGCCATTATTGCTTAGAATAAGCCTTACTCTGCTCTATAAAAATGTCTACAAAATAGAATGGTTAACTCACAATTCTATGCACTTAGAAGCATCAAAATAATAATCGTTTCTTTATCTCTTCCTGGTTCATGCAAACCTAACAAAGAAGGATGCCAAAGGATACCAACAACATTCTCATCAGCTTCCTCCTCCTATGGTCAATGGTACGTACTGCTATACTCTTTTTAATCATAACAATAATAAGTTCCTTGGTGAAATCGACTACTTTTCTATGATAGGAAGTATAAATAGGAAAGAAAGTCGTTAACAGTCTAGTCGCTATCATTTTTCAGGTCAACTGCATGCATGCAAACATCTATACCTATCAAGATTTCCAGAAAACTGGGAGAGACTTTTTGCATTATTTTAAATTCCAGTGTCGTTGTTTTCTTTCTTTTCATTTTTATTTTAAATTTGAAAGAGGCATAAAACCCAAAAAATTTCATAACTACATTGTGAGAGTACGATATCCCTATAACATCATGCCTAAACCACTGGATAAGTCTTAATTATGGTAGGCTTTATTTTCTTTCTTTCTCTCTTTTATTTTTTTTTTTTAAAATACCATCATAAATATTTTTTCCCTTTATCATAATGGTGTGTGTAGCTTACCATCCAAAAGTGGGTGCAAAAGTGATAAAATCATAGCAAACCAGTTTTGGTGTACTTATTTATCGTGTTTTCGAACACCGGATGCATAGTATATATATATAAAAAATGTTAGTGCCGTTTGAATGATTTCAGGCTGGACTAACCGGAGCAGAGAAGAATGCAGGAGGAAACCCGTTCACGGCAAAGGCCTCTTTAGCCCGTTACTGGAAATCCCACATCACCAATGACTTGCCAAAACCATCATTCTTCTTCAACAAAGCATCCCCACTTAACGCCGTGGATTTCGCCGTTTTCTCGAAACTCCTAGTTGAACAAAACACCACTTGGTCCACCCTTTTCCAAACTTTATGCATCAAGGCCAACCTCCTTTGCTCCTTCCCCGACGTCGTATCACCCAGCCTCCAGAAACATGCCGGCGACGTGAATTTCACCAGTTACACCGGCCGGAGCTTCGCCAATTACGGCACCGACCAACTCGGCGGAGCTGACTCCTTCAAAAACTACACCAACGATCAGGCTCCTTCGAACAGCTTCCGCCGTTACAGCCGTGACTCTCTCAAACACGACGATCTGTTCAAGAACTACGCCCAGGATGCCAACCTCGGGGATTCGATCTTCAACACGTACGGCGGTTCAGCCACCGGGGGCGTCGGGACGTTTACCAACTACCAGGACGGCGTCAACGATCCTCAACTCACGTTCAGTACCTATTCCGCCGACGCCGACGGCCGGATTCAAGGCTTCACCGCCTATTCCCATGAAGCAAACAGCGGGAAGCAAGATTTCAAGAACTACGCGAGAAACGGCAATGGCGGAGAAAATGATTTCACCAGCTACTCCAACGTGTCAAACGCCGTCGTTTCTTCATTCATCGGTTACGGCAATTCCGGCAATGGGATTAAGGATAGTTTCATAAGGTACGGTTTCGATAACAATGTCCCACAGAACAGCTTTTCGAGCTACGGAGATGCCGGAAATGGCGCAACGGAAATATTTAAGAGCTACAGTGATCAAGCTGACGTTGGCACGGATTCGTTCACATCCTATGCTAGGGATTCCAATGGCGTCAAAGCCAACTTTGAAAGTTATGGGTTCTCTACTAAACATGGCCCGGCCCGATTCACGAGTTATTCGGAACGCTCCGAAAATCAGAAGGTTGGATTCACTACTTACGGAGAGAATTACGGTTTCAAAAGGTATGCCAAAACGGGTGTCACGTTTGATAATTACCTCAATAAAAGCTCGTTGGAAAATAATAATATTGCCAACACAAAATGGGTCGAACCCGGGAAGTTCTTCAGGGAGAGCATGTTGAAGACTGGAAATTTGATGCCCATGCCGGATATCAAAGATAAAATGCCTAAAAGATCGTTTTTGCCTAAGATTATTGCCGCAAAATTGCCATTTTCATCCCTCAAAATTGATGCAATGAAGAAAATGTTTCATGTGAGTGATGACGATGATGATGATTCCAGGTTGGTTCATATGATCACTGATGCTTTGAATGAATGCGAGCGGGCTCCCAGCCCAGGGGAGACGAAACGGTGTATTGGATCTGGAGAGGAAATGATCGACTTTGCCACCTCTACTTTGGGCCCAAACATTATGGTGAGGACCACTGAGAATACTAATGGGTCCAATGGTGACATTTTGATCGGGCCTGTGACAGGGATTAATGGCGGGAATGTCACCAAGTCAGTTTCTTGTCATCAGAGCTTCTTTCCCTACTTGTTGTATTATTGTCATTCGGTTCCTAAGGTTCGGGTTTATGAAGCGGATATACTGGATCCGACTTCTAAGGTCAAGATTAACCATGGGGTAGCTATATGTCATGTCGATACGTCTTCGTGGAGTCCGGGTCATGGAGCATTTCTGGCACTGGGTTCGGGTCCGGGAAAGATTGAAGTGTGCCATTGGATCTTTGAGAATGACATGACATGGACTATTGCTGACTGATTTAAACAGTTAGAGATATTCATTATGTGCAACTTTAGCTTTTCTGTTTTGTACTTCGGAAACAATCATTTAATAATTAATTTTTGTGTTAAATTTATATTTTGCCCATTATTAATTGTTTTAGAATTATAACCAATACTAGATGACAAGTGACTAACATTATTTATTGGGGGTAAAATTAGAAAGTTAGTCTTTAATGTGCTTTAAAATCCTAAAACGACCTACATTTTGAAATATTTCTCCAAACATGAAACGACCTACATTTTGAAATGAAGTGAGTAAGTTTTTATTTTGTTTGCGCTTATAAACTTAATGGTTTTTTTTTTTGGATTCTTTTTTGAATCCCAAAAATAATTCTATTGGTCATTCATGATTGATTATGCTTTGTTTATTATCCATTTTTAAGTTATGTAATATTCTTTTTCTCTTGAAATGATGGTTTAGTTTGGAGTTTTACTTCTTATATGTGTACCTAAATCAATATTCAAATTAGATTACATTTTTGGGAGGAAGGGATCATTACAAATAGGGGAACCAACTTATGCATGCAACTAAAGCTGATTGATATTTAAAGTTCATTCTTTTGTTAATTTTTTTTGGCCGAGTCGACCAAACTCTCCCTCCATCTCCTGCGACGGCTTTTAGAGGATTAATGATGTTATGATAAGTTTTAGCAAGTTGTCATAATTATGTTGATAAATTCCAGCTCAGATCGAGAGGATTCATGCTGAAACAGTTTTGACTTTCTTCCTTTGCGTAAACGATGTGCGCGTACCTCATGTGATTCACAAATGTTTCAATGAACCTTAGTCGTCGTTCAATTTCGAGTCTACGTACTTTTGGTTTTGTCGCTGGTTTTAAACATTTTTTAATTTCACCTATAAATGTCTACTAATAATTTTTTAAACTTTGATGAATTCACTACTTATAAATGGCTGTGAAATGTACCATCCTTTATCAAGACACAGGTTATCGTGGAATTATAACTTCACTAGGGTTTTTTCGTATAATTTGAGCAATCCACTTGCCAATATGGTCCATTATCAATTTATCATCGTCCTGGAGAACAAAAACTTTTGACCATAAATTTTCCCCAAGAAATGCTTTTTAGATCCACGTACATAGCTAGCTACACTTCGAGAAGAAAGGATACTTCCTCTCCTCTCTTACTGCTATACCTAACCGAAAAAGAGATGCCGAAGCAGATCAACATTCTCCTTGATGGAGGCGGAGAAATAAAGAGCATTAGTGTTTTAATTATTTCATTGGGTTATTTTAGTAATTTTATTATTAGTGATTAGGGTTTATTTTCAGTTTTCTTTTCTATTTAAGGTTTTAGTCGCCGCTCATTGTAATTCAATTGTTGATTTTTATAAGAGTTGAGAGTTAATCTCAGAAAATCCCAAGGTGTTGAACTTTGGTCTCTATTTCCGGGTATTCTCAGAATCAACGAGATTTAGGATGGTCGTATTAGCAGGTATTCATAGAATCAACGGATCTATAACGGTTACTTGTTAGGATTCAAAATTAGAGGCTTCCGTGTGTTACATCAGTTGGTATCAGAGCCACGACATCCCCGCAGGTTTGTGACACCTAACAATATGGAGGAAGCTATACTAGATGAGGTTTATACGAAAATGGTTCTGGACAATTCAGTGATTCAGATGGTTAATGTTGAGGGCTTCTTAACATTTCATAGTGTTCGTGAGTTTCGGAACTCACCTACTCCACAATTTTCTCGTATTTGGATGTTGGTAATTCAGTGAGGGCTACACTAGATGAGGCTTATACGATGATGGTTCTTGGCAATTCAGTGATTCAGATGGTTAATATTGAGGGTTCCTTAACATTTCATAGTGTTCATGAGTTTTGGAACTCACCTACTCCGCAATTTTCTCGTATTTGGAGCACGAAATCACACCACTCGTGGCTGGGTATTGTCGGATTTCCTTTCGATCGTGGCAAACAAGCAACTTAATGTGAGCCAGGAAATGGTTTTATTAGGTTTCTTTTTGTTCGTGGTAAACCTACATCTAAACTCGAGGACGAGTTTTTCCTACCTTGGGAGAATGATGGAGGCGGAGAAATAAAGAGCATTAGGGTTTTAATTATTATTTCATAGGGTTATTTTAGTAATTTTATTATTAGTGATTAGGGTTTATTTTCGGTTGTCTTTTCTATTTAAGGTCTTAGTGGCCACTCATTGTAATTCAGTTGTTGATTTTCATAAAAGTTGAGAGTTAATCTCAAAAAATTCCAAGGTGTTGAACTTTGGTCCCTATTTTCAGGCATTCTTAAAATCAACGAGATTTAAGAAGATCGTATTTCCGCATATTTGTAGAATCAACGGTAACGATTACTTGTTAGGGTTCAAAATTAGAGGCTTTCATATGCTGCATCACTCCTCTTCCTCTTCTTATGGTTGTGGCTGGTATGTAATTTAAGTTTCCTAAATTATTGTAATCTTAATTACATGATTTGTACAAACTAAAACTCTTTTAATTACTTTTATGTCTATTTTGTTATCCCTCTTATCATGTTATACTAAGTGATATTCCCGCCATCTAGAAAGTATTGTCCAATTTAGATTTTTATTTTTAATTCAAATTGTACTAATATTGAAAATTACGAAGTGGATAATTATTTTAGAACAGAAAGAGCAGTAAAATACGCCATTAACTTAATTTGTATATTTATCTATTTTTTCGAATGGTAAATGTCAAGTTAAGAATTTCACTAGAAGAGACTACATTTTCCAACAAGGTATCAAATTATGATTGGTGTAAGCATAGCTACACAAATTCAACAATTAATGTATAGTATTAGCTGACAATCTTCATGGTGACGATGTTGTAGGCAGCATGGTTTGCCGGAGCGGAGGCGGCGAGGGTAGAAAAAAACCCATTCACGGCGAAGGCATCACTGATCCATTCCTGGAATAACCAAATCACCAGTGACAAGCTAAAACCCTGGTTTTTCCTCAACAACAAAGCCTCTCCACTAGACGCGGTGGATTTGGCGACATTTTCCAAATTAGTAGCGGCAGATGAAGATCGGAGCTCCGCCACGTCAGCAAACCATTTTCAAACTTTTTGTTCCAAAGCCAATCTCCTTTGCATCCCGGAAATATCCACGAGCCTCGTAAACAGCAACATCAGGGACGCAAACTTTGTCTCGTACGGCACCGGCCGGAGCTTCACCAATTACGGCACCAAACAGACCAATGCGGGACAGAACTCATTCAAGAATTATCCCATGGAGCAAGGCGCCGCCATCAACAGCTTCGGCCGGTACAGCCGGAGCACCATCCGCCGCGACGACGTTTTCACCAACTACGCCCACCACGCCAACACTGGTGACCAAAAATTCGATAATTACGGATCGGCCGCCGACAGCGCCGGGAAGTTCAGCAACTACGGGATCGACGACAATGTCCCGGTTCTCCGGTTTAACTTGTATTCCGTCAATTCCGAACGACGGAATCACAGCTTCACAAGCTACTCGAGTAACGCCAACGCCGGAGAACTAGATTTCACGAGCTATGCTCGGAACGCGATAAATTCCAGAAACGATTTCAACGCCTACTCCAACGAGTCCAACGTCATCCACACGAATTTCACCAATTACGGCTAAACCGCCAGAGGAATTACCTATAGTTTCACAACTTATGCTCTGGGGAGCAATCAACCGCAACAGAAATTCGTCAACTACGGAGACAGAGGAAAAGCAGCGAGTGGAAACTTTCACAAGCTATAGCGATCACGGTAACGGCGGCGTTGATATATTTAAGAACTACGTCAAGAATTCCCAAGAGTCCGAGGTTAATTTCGAGAATTATGCTCACTCGATTTTCCGGGATCCGGCCCAATTCACCAGTTATGGAGAAAATTCAACGGGCCAGAAGATTGGGTTCAATAGTTATGTAGTTAATTACCATTTCAAAGAGTATGGCAAAAGCGGCGTCACGTTTAAAACTTACCTGAATGAAACTTCACCGGCGGCTACTTTGGACAACGTCGGAAGTGAAAAACAGGGACGAATAAAATATGGGTGGAACCCGGAAAATTCTTCAGGGAAAGCATGTTGAAGACAGGGAATGTGATGCATATGCCACATATCAGAGATAAAATGCTCCCAAGATCGTTTTAACCCAGGGTGATTTCCTCAAACATACCATTTTCGACAAGTAAAATTACTCAACTCAAGAAAATATTTCACGCCGGCGATGATTATAACTCCATCATGGCCCATATGATTAGAGATGCCATGACAGAATGCGAGAGAGCTCCCAGCCCAGGGGAGACAAAACGGTGCGTTAGCTCAGGGGAAGACATGATTGACTTTGCAACTTCCGTTCTGGATCGAAATTTGGTCGTTAGAACAACTGAAAATACTCAAGGCTCCAATCGTGATATTCTGATCGGGTCGGTGAATGGGATCAATGGTGGGAGTGTCACCAAGTCGGTTTCTTGTCATCAGAGCTTGTATCCTTACTTGCTGTATTACTGTCATTCGGTTCCTAAGGTTCGGGTTTATGAAGCGGATATATTGGATCCGAATTCTAAGGTCCGGATTAACCATTGGGTGGCTATATGTCATATGGACACTTCTTCCTGGAGCCCCGGGCATGGAGCATTTCTGGCGCTGGGTTCGGGTCCAGGAAAGATTGAAGTGTGCCATTGGAAAGATTGAAGTGTGACTTGGACCATTGCTGACTGATTTAAGCAGCTGGATTTAATTATAGTTTCGTCGTTTGTCATGTATTGTGAGAAACAAATTATGTTTTGTAAGTTTTTAGTATTCCATTTGTCAAAAAATTATTGTCTAATTTATATTTTCAATTTTAGTTTAATTAGTACAAAAAATGAAAGGTCAAACTGACAACTTTTTTCCCATCCTTCCTCTCAAAAGACTATCCTATTCATGATATAGACCTGAACTTGACTCCGAATGGTCGGTTATCTACTTCCAAGTTATGTAATGGTACTATAAATTGGGGGATCATGGTATGAAAGTCATATATATGTATGTAAGACTTGTAAGTAACGCTAATTGTTGATATTTTGTAAGCTCGTTTTTAATTATTTTTTGGCCGAGTCAACCAAACTCTCCCTCCTGCAATGCTCATAAAAAACAACCGGGAAGGCGCGGGGTCTCATAAAAAGTGAACAAAGAAATTCAAATTGACTAAAACATGTTACAAGTGGCCAGAGTGAAATCCACTGGATATTAAAGCGAGCAAAAGTTTTGCTTCAATTCATCAGTTGAATCAACTGCATATGCACGTGAAATGTTCAGACCTTGTTGATGATCATCCTAAATTGCGTAAAAAATTCGGTAAACACTATTCTACCAAGAACATATGTGATCTATTTAAATATTATTCGTAAGAATCTTTATTTCTATTCTCAACGATTAACCTAAGTTATATAAATAAATCATGCTGCTGAATTTCACAAATTGAATCCTAAGACCCATATAACCGATGTGGATACATGTACATGCATGCTCGACATCCTTGCTTCCTTTGGGGCTTCACATTAGCAGTTAATTAATGCGGTTGTGATTAGTTATTTAATGTATTTGTACAGAACATTTTATGTGATAATTCAATAAACAGAATATTTCTCTTCCAATTTTGGATTCAGAGATCCACCATTGTCGACATACTAATATTAATGAATGCTTACACGGGAACATATTTATCGATATAATACGGAGGAATTTTCCGCGTTGATGCTAAGAATTCAGATGTTCAGGGTACGTAGTTCGTACGTATTGAAACTTTTCAATTTTTTCAATAAGAAGTGTTAAAAATGGGTTCCAAATGCAAACTTGTTTCGCGCATTTACTAATTATAAGTGGTCAGCTTTGTTTATGCTAAGCTCAACATGCCTGGTACCACCCCACGTTGAGATGGTTTATTTACCAACGTTTTGATGAACTTCGAGAAACAATATTAATACAATCGTGGCAAATAATACCGGTACCAGATGTGTTTTCGAAACAAGATTTCCCTACGCTATAAAAGTTCTTCCAAAATGTTCTATGTGATATCGATTCTCTTCCTCCCACCGAGCATTTTACCGGAGAAAAAAATGGTGAAGCTGGCCATCATTCTCCTCAGCTTCTTCCTGTCATCCCTGATTTCGTCTTTTGTTAATGTACGTAAGTGAAAACCTTGATAACTGCTTGCATTTCAGATTCTGCTATTTAAGTATTTTATTTAATGTTTAGTTTTCCTCTTTGAAAATTGCATTGGTTCATGCATGCTTATATAGTAGAGTCTACAAAGTCTTACTTCTACAAAGTCTACATATATAAGTAATCCATCCGTTCCTAAATGATTATCCGGTTTGGATTTTCATTTTAAGTTCAAATTATACTAAAATCTCAAACCGAATAATAATTTTAAGATAGAGAAAGTATTCCTTTATTTTGAAATAATAGCCCAATTCGAATTTTTTTCTTTGTACTTATAACTTGTACTCCCTCCGTCCTAAAATTATTGTCCAGTTTGAGATTTTATTTTTAGTACAATTTGAACTAAAAATGTAAACTCAAACTGGACAATAATTATGGGAGAGAGGGAGTACTATATAAATGAAAATTCAATCTCTATCATTGTTTTAAAACAGATGGAATATAATTTATTTTTTGGAACTAACATAGGGGGACGTGGCCGCCGGCACAAGCAAGAAAATCGGGCAAAACTTCGCCGGGAAGAATCCGTTTACGGCCAAGGCATCTTTGATTCGTTACTGGAAAAAACAAATCTCCAACAACTTGTCAACGCCGTCATTTTTCCTCAACAAAGCTTCCCCATTAAACGCTGTGGAGTTAGCAACTTTTTCAAAGCTCATCGATCAGAACAGCACCTTAACATCAGGTCAGCTTCAAGACTTGTGCTCCAAAGCAAACCTCCTTTGCGCCCCGGACTCATCCACCACCAGCCCTGCCACTCAAGACGCAAAAAAAGACGTTAATTTTGATACTTATAGCGAGCAGAACTTCACAAATTACGGCACGAAACGACGAGGCGGAGCGGACACATTCACAAACTACTCCAACTTCGAGGGCTTACCAGTAAATAACTTCCGACGCTACAGCCGCAACTCGGTGGAACACGACGGCGCGTTCGCCAACTACGGCCTCGACGGCAACGTGGCGGACCAAAGTTTCAACGGTTACGGAAAGACGGCAAAAGGAGGGAGAGGAAACTTCGAGAATTATCAGGAAGCCGAGAACATTCCAAATCTCAAATTTAACTCGTACAACGAAAACGCAAAAGGCGGCCGGACGCAGGATTTCTCGAGTTACTCAAACGAAGCCAACGGCGGGGAGCAACATTTCAAGAGCTACGACAAGAACGGGGTGGGACCTCGGAGTGATTTCCTCACCTACTCAAACCATTCCAACGTCGTCGTTTCCAGCTTCTCGCATTACGGCGAAAACGGGAACGGAACCCAGGAACATTTTACTCAGTACGGTTTCGATTCCAACGTCCCGCTTAACCGATTCACCACCTACTCGGAACGGGGCGGTGGAACGGTAATTTTCCAGAGCTACACCGACGATGCTAACATCGGCGACGACACATTTTCATCCTACGGTAAAAAATCAACCTCGTCGACCCGGGCATTTTTCGAAACGTACGGTCAGTCGGCGAATCGGGGCGCGGTGAATTTCGTGAGCTACGGTGAAAACTCGACCGACCATTTCAGCGTGTTTAATTTCTACGGAGAGAATCACAATTTCAACCAGTACGTTAAAGACCGTGCCAAGTTTCAGATTTACGTCAATCGAAGCGAATCCGCGACTAAATCTGTGTCGGACGGTGAAAAAGTCAATGGAAATAATAACAATAATATTTGGGTGGAGCCTGGAAAGTTCTTCAGGGAGAGCATGTTGAAGACTGGGAACATAATGCCAATGCCAGATATCAGGGATAAAATGCCCAAAAGATCATTTTTACCGCGGGTGATTGCCGCAAAATTACCATTTTTATCTGGCAATATTGATCGAATGCAGGAAGTTTTCCACGCTGCTGATGGTTCCATGATGGGCCGTATGGTTAACGATGTGGTGGAAGAGTGCGAACGGGCCCCGAGTCCAGGTGAGACCAAAAAGTGCGTTGGATCAGGTGAAGAAATGATTGACTTTGCAAAATCTGTTCTAGGCCCAAACATTGTGGTTAGAACAACAGAAAACATACAGGGATCCAATGGGGAAATTCTGATCGGGTCAGTTGTAGGGATCAATGATGGGAATGTTACTAAATCGGTTTCTTGTCATGAGAGCTTGTTTCCATGGTTGCTGTATTACTGTCACTCGGTTCCTAAAGTTCGGGTTTACCAAGCGGATATACTGGATCCGAAATCAAGGGCAAAGATTAACCGGGGCGTGGCTATATGCCATGTGGATACCTCGACATGGGGGCCCGGGCATGCGGCATTCTTAGCACTTGGGTCGGGTCCTGGACAGATCGAAGTGTGTCATTGGATATTTGAAAATGACATGACCTGGGTCGTGGCTGACTCTTAAGCAGCTAGATAAACTCTAGATTGTTGTTGTATCAATAGGGTTTAGAAAAGCTCCTCTAGAAAATGCGAAAAAGAAAACCTCTTTTTCTTTTTACCTCTTCTTTATGTAATACCTTTATATAGGTTTTAGAAAAATTTATCATGTTCTCAAATTTATTGTACCCATTTTATTCTGTCAATCTCATTTTAATATTCTACTAATATCACTAATTAGTCATTAACAAATTTAGACAATTTAATCTTATAAAAATTGATTTTCTTATTCTGTTGAGCAAAGACGATATATTAATTAAAATTATGGGATTATAACGTTATGAGAAATGAATTGGCCCTTTAAAAATAATAGGTTAACAAAAGATCTAATTTATGAAGGCGGAAAATCTAAGCTAATAAATATCTAATTGAACTTTTAACATTATGAAATAAAGAAATAGAGCATTAGGTGTGTTTATCATTTTTATCATTCAAAAAGATAAAAATGATTGACCTTGATCAAAGGATGCACTTGATATTTCTTCAAAAGTTGATGATATCAAACATGTAGGGGTATTTGATATTAACCCTAAAGAGGAAAGAAAGAAAGAAAAAAAAAACAAAAAAAAAAGTAGAATTATGAATATGAAGCGTCGTGGGATGATCAAATTTCAAAGGAATATTGAGATAACCATAAAGATATCGGGTGTGTTGGCCAACGAGGGTGATATTGTTTTCACTTTTCATTCGCATACTGTATATCTTTGTCCCGCCAAAAGCCCAAAAGTACAATTGCTCAAGCATTCCATCACCCTAATCTGCATTCACCCAAAAAAAAAAAAAAGGCAATCCCCAAATTCAACAGATTTCCATTTTTTCGCTTTTAGTTTGTTGTTTTTTTCCCCCATTTTCGTGACCCCGTTTGTCTCTACTATTTGACGCGGGAACATTCCATTGGCGGGCCATTTCTCTCTCACTCTCTAAAATGTTACTCCCTCCGTTCCAAAATAAGTGTCGTTTTAGCAAAATGAAAAAATTTCAAAATAAGTGTCGTTTTCACATTTCAATGCATTTTTTGTCCAAAGTTTCCAAAATTACCTTCAAAAGAATTAATACTATTGGTGGACATTGTTTTAATGGGGTTAGTTGAGGATATTCAAGTAATTTTATTACCCTAATTAATAGTTTTTTAAACTATGTGCAAAGTGTAGGATGACACTTACTTTGGAATAGAGGGAGTACGAAAAATCTACGACAAGAGTATATCGTTAAATGCTTGATGCTAACTCAACAAAACCTCTCGGGCTAGGATCATTTTCTTACCCTTTTTTTTCCCTTTGTTTTTTCCCCTTATGGGTAGATTCATATACCTAATGTAATACAAACTTCTACAAGCCAAATTAAAGTGGCAAAAAAAAAAAAAACTATAATATCACTATACTGTATTTCAAAGGAGAAAGTCTAACCTACACAAAAAATTAAATGATAATTATAAAAAGGAAGACAAAATATTTTTAATTTCAAAATTGAATTATGCATAAATGGATTGAGTCACTGAAGGTATTCATATTCATTTCAAAATTGACATAACTCTTTTCTAATATGAAATCAAATAAACTTTGAGCGTGCATCGAATCGTGTAGGGTTGATTTTGGGAAATTAGTGTGAAAGGGTTGTAGAGTCTATCTTGCTTCAATATGTAAGAATAGTACTCCTTGTTGATTAAAGTTGTGAACAATACTAGCTAGTTGTTGCTTAAAATGGTGCATAACTAATCAAGTCAAAATCCAAACCGGAGCTTTCTGAGTAGAAAATCATCAGTTAAAAAAAGTTATAAACTTGTTCACATTTCAGCTAGTCATGTTGTCGTGTCCTTCCACCGACTTTTTTTTTCCCCATCATTACTGAGTCCTTTCATTTCACAAATAATAATGCACAAGTGTCAAAAATAAGTTTTTTTTGGGGTTGGAAAACGAGGCCCCTCTCCATATTTTAAACGTGTCTATTGTTTTGTTTTTTACCCCCAATCATACTGCAGCTTAATCAGTAGTCATTTTCTCACCAAAAAATATCTCATCCTTTTTCTAGGAATGAGGATAAAAAAGTTTAGGGACATCTTATTTTGTTCCTATTATTGAAATTGGTAAAATTACAATAAAGATTTTGATCCCGTGTATTTGAGAATCATAACTTGATTTCGGTCTTTTTGTAAGATTCTATCGATTTTGGTTTATATTAGAATCTAACTTCTGAGTCGAGATCTTACAAATGTTTGCTAATAGATGGTCTTTTATCTTACATTCCGAATTAAAAGATTGTTGTTTTTGGTGGTTCAATGCAGTTTTAAGTTGGAGGAAGTGGAATTTTTTGGGGATGACATGAATATTGTTGTTATCTTATTAAAACAATAGTAGAACTGGTGTGTTATGTTGTGATTAAAAGTTTTTTTTTTCTTTTTGAAATATATTATGTTTGTGATGTCATTGATAGCGTTCGCTTGATGGTTACATGTATTTTTTTTTTTTTTTTGTGATTTCGTGATTTCATCAATGTACTGTATTCGACATCATATTTATAGTTTGGAATGTAATATTTCAATCATTCATATGGATAGTTTTGCACATGTTTATTCATATCAAATGGTAAAACTATATTATGGTGGTATGTTGTACATTGTGTTTCATGTTTTCTTTTTCTTTTTTTTTTAAAAAAAAATTTCGTTGCATCATCATAACAGTTTTGGAAGAATGGATGAAATTTATTATTATAAAAGAATACCTCAAAGTTCATATTGTACGCACAATAGGTCTATACATTAAAACAGTGACCCTTGCCAATAATTTGTAATAAATCTTTGCCATTTTAACAACGGTAAATATCGGAGGGCCTCATATGCTATCTCCATCAGTTTACTTGTTCTCTTATGAGTTTATTTTGTTGAACCATTATTTTATTAATGAAGTGATATCATTTGATTTACATTCTTGATGCTCCATTTAAAGATGAATCAATTTAAGCCATTCCACGGTAATTAGTAAGCAGTACATATATATAGTATTCCATGTAACGGAAAATAATATATAAATGAAAAATGTATAGTAAAATTGAATAATGACTGAAGTGACAGATATATAAATGCATAATAACTCCCGTTTTTGTTGAAAGTTATTGAGAGGGTGGTGTATTTTTTTTTTTTTAAAATCTTTTCATTTTACTCTAATGTAATATTGATTATTCATTAGAGATCCTTCTTTCCGCATTTTTTTTTACTTTATTTTAGCATAACAAAGTAGGATTGAATCTACTGATGAATGGATAGAGTACAAAAAAGTATGACTGACCCAAAAAAAAAAAAAATTATCCAGCACCGGATGAAAGAAAGAATTGTGTACTTAGCATAAATCTATCAACTCAATCTAAACAGCATGTGAGGAGGAGACAACGGAGCCTAATACTGAGAAAATTTCATCAAGGTCAGCTTCATCACATGTCCATCAAAATCAGCATTAATCGAGGCGAAATAGAGCCAACCTAATAACTTGGATCGGTTTTGAACTGGATTTTTGTCGATAATATTCTCATCTATTACGCATATTTTTCAAGATCAGTCAAAACAATTTAATTACTATTAAACCTCGTGAGAGTTATTCCAGCTCAAAAAAACAATATGGCCAAGAAAAAATGATGTACACATGACGATGATGGTGAAAGATGACTTTGAAATTTCTAGCCACCAAATGTTTTTTCTTTTCCATTACCCTAAAAAATGATATGGCCCTCCTACGAAATTCCAATTAATCGTCCTAAGATGAAGAGGTCCCCGTCGCCTGGCCGGCCGGCGAAACGGAACTTATACCCGATAGTAACTTCAACCTCTCCCGCAATTTTGATGTGTCTATTCCAATTCTCGGATACAAAGCCTACATTTTATTCAGTCAAAATGAAATCAGCGTTAACAAACAAGAATTCCCACAAGATAAACTCAAAATTCTCAAACAAATAAGGATCCTTACCTGACGAATCTCTACACATAAGTTTGATAGCGACGAAGATAAGCTTATATATTTCATGAACAAATTGTAGCCATTTTTAACTCGTATGTCCTTTAATAGTTCCCCTAAACGACGGGCGATAACAGTGGACATATACGAGCATCTTTTTTATTCTTTTTTGGGAATTTTTTTGCGGGCTTTGGTGTAAAATAAACTCATATATGATTAAAAATTTGGATACATGGAAGATATATTAAGATTTCAAATGAATAATGAGATTAAATTCCAAAGAGCAAAAAAAAAAAAAGAGAGAAAGGAAAAAGAACCATATATATGACAGCCCGAATCCTCATTAGATTAGGCCTGGGTGACATCTATATCATTGCAAGGACATACTGAAGCTAGTTTAACCTTAGTGGTTCATATATAATGTTAACTCACTGGAAAAATGCTTCTTAACTATCTACTTCTTCTTATATGATTCCTGTAAATTATACTACTAAGTTCCCTAGTTTGTTAGCCCACATTCTTCATCAAGAGAGCTAGCACCATTTCAGCATATATTAATCAATGTGTCATAATGTTAATTAGTACTCCCTCCATTCCATAATTATTGTCCAGTTTGGGTTTTCAATTCTAATTCAAATTGTACTAAAATTGAAATCTCAAATTGGACAATAATTTTGGAACCGAGGGAGTACTAGTTAGATTGTATTCTTCTAAAAAGATTGTTACATATATACTCCCAACCTAGAGATCTAGAAGCGCTAATGATAATATCAACCAGGATATTCTATACCTGAGAAGTGATGGAGTAGAAGATTCGATCGGTGGAGCTGGAATAATTTGCACTCAGAACTTGAGCCCCTTCTTCTTGAAGAACTCGGAGAACTTTAGGTAAAAGGAAGCCCTTGTTCAATCCAGTCACTAGATTCACCTCTAGCTCCGGACCCCTTTCGTGTAGATCTACCGCCGCCACCGCCAGATCTTCTTTCAGCCCTTCTCTCTCTGTTTTCAGCTTCTCAACCCTTTCTTTCAACTGCTTCACATACTGACAAGAACGGTTTAATAAAGCCGGCAACGGCATTTTCTCCTGCACTTAAAATTATTTTCTCCATTATTTTTCAATATTCCTCACCATTAATCATTTAATAACCAGTTTTGTATAATGACCAAAACCTTTACTATAATTCTTAGTACTGACCCATAAAATAATATTAAGCTAAAATGCTAGTTTACCTTGGAATTGAGAGGTGGGAGAAGAGAAGCAAGGTTTGAGTAAAGATTTTTCATTTGTTGCCTTCGGTTTTTCTCTATAACACCTCTTCCAGCAGGTTTTTGGGGTGAGGTTTCGGCCGGCATTTTATTTGCTTTTCTCACTGAGAGTTGCTTTATCCCATCACCTTTTGGGGTTTTTAGTTTGCTTCGGGGTTGCATGAGTGCTCCCAATGATTTTGCATATAAAGTCGTAGTGCAGTAGTATAAAGCCAGCAGTGGAAGTGAATGAATTGGATGATGGGTTCACATTTATTTATATGTACAAGACTACAAATAAATTTGGAGATGGTCTTCAAATGAATCAAATCCACATACATTCTGGATAGGGCGATAATGGCTTCCACCACCGTTTAGACTTTGATGAGTAGTATTCTTTTCGTCTCATAAAAAATAATATACGTAATAAATTGTAATTGTATTAATTCTAATATAATTTTCTTTTTTTTTCTAAAATTATTGTTTATTTTATGATTTAATTTTTTTATTATATAATTTATACTAAATCTGAAATTTCATACTGAACAATCATTTTAGAATGGAAGGAGTATAATTTATAATTTGATTTATTTTTGAAGGACAAAGATAGTACAAACGATTCTTTATCCGTGAAAAGAATTTTAGTCTAATGGTAAAAACTTGAGAAGACTGCAAGAGGCATATGTACCATTCACTATATTTCTTTTCGATAATTTTTAATCAATATATTCTTTACCTCAACATATATATATATATATATATATATATATTCTCACAGTTTATATTATTTCTAACAGAAAGAACGCACATCCAAAAAAACGTTAGGAACAGAGAAGTAGTATAACCTAATACGGCGAAGGAAGGTCAAGGTGGTATCTTACTCCAACTTAAGTCATTCAGTTACTTTTACATCTTGTTAATCTATATAATTGATCAAGGCTAGTTTTTCACGGCCACATAATTTAAGCTAGAGCTTCTTTGAACTATATAGATATAGTTGAAAAGTATTCAGAATTTTTGTGGGAATTAATCATATGTGTTTGAATGTATGGTTGACCGTACTTTCTTAGAACATCAATAATTTGAGAACTTAGATGACATACATGCTCAGAAGAACCTAGAAGAGAATATTTTATTCGGGACCAAAGTGGAGGAGAGATTCATTAAAAAAATTGCGGGAGTAACAGAAGAAGGGGAGAGATCCAAAATAAATAAATAAATAAATAAAGGATGGAAAAAACAGAACAAGTAACACAAATAAAGTTGAAACATGTTAGAACAAATGGATATATGTCTCCATTTGTTAGAAGAAAAAAAAAAGAAAAGAAAAGAAAATATGTCGCTTATTCCCGGTGATTGTAAAATTATCATTAGAATTAAAAATAAAAGCTTTACGTATTCAATCAAGAGTGTTGTGGGGCCGCATTGAACTGTGAAAGGTTTAAAAGGATAGATATTATAACTTTTAAAAAGTGTTTTGAGATATAAGAGAAAAAGAATTGTGATTATTATGAAGAGCAAATTTTATTGTTGATTATTTAACACCATTGGCATCAAAAGGACCAAGAGAATTACAATGGTTACAAACTTCTCCATCGGGCGCTTTGCCTTGGCTGGAGCATGACCTAATCAGGGTTGCATACCTTAGAAATGTACTAGTTTGATTTTAGTCGTTTTTTCGTCTCTTTCTTTGTAACCAAAGAAGGGGGGATTGTAATAATTGCCCTATATATATAGGACCAATAACTTAGTTTGCATAATTTTCAACCACTACTCACTACCGTCGAATCACCACCAATAGCAGTTGGTGTTGAGAGGTGGCAGCTGGTGGTTCGATGGTGGAGATGAGAGGTCCGGTGATGATAGATAAATTAATATTTTTATTCAAAAAAATTATTCATATATGATTTTAAATTTTTACTTAAAAATATTTTAAACCAAATTTTAAATCTAAAACAAAAATTAAAATAAAGTCGTTCTTCATAAGAGTCCATACTTTTTTATAAGATATCTAATAAAATTAAAATGGAATAAGAATACATTTAGAACTGATTCAAGTTCTTGGGTTGCAACATTTATATATCCATTAATAATACCTGTTTGGAAAAATTATGATGATTAAGGGAATTGAATGACAATCTAGTAATTAGGATATTGTGCTTCTTGGTATTAGATTTTGGTTCAATTCCCACTAAAGGATATGTAATAGAAGTTTTACCCACATTTAAGTGGATTCACTTGGGTGGATTTTTTTTAAATAAAAGAAAAATTATAATAAAAAACTTTTAAAATGATGAGTAAATTATCTAAATTATCTCTCTAATCTGAAGTGTATAAATTCAAATGTAAAGTATAGAAAATGAACGAATATGATCATTTTTTATCACTCATACTTGTAAAATTTTTCATGTACATATCATTATATTTAGCACTTAAACTTAATTGATTAAGTACTTAATTGATTGACACTATTTGTTAATATGATCTCATAGTAACTTAATTTATTAAAAATTTAACTAATTAAGTACTTAATTTTTAAGTACGTTTGATAACTAAAAGTAGGAAGTCGTAATAAATTAAGTAGGTCTGGGATGGAAGTACAAATTTGAGTATAAAAATAAGTGATATATCTATCACTTATTACTAAACTGAATTCTTGAGACTTTTTTTTTTCTCTTCCTAATTATTTACTTTTATGTTTATATTTTGTATTTTCTTTTATCTTTAACTCATTTTTGTTAATCTTGGTGTTTATTTAAAATTAAAAATTATTTTTTATTTTTTTATATGTTGATATTTATTTTAATAAAAAATTAAAATACGAATAAAGTCCATGATAAATATATATTTACCATAAGGATATACTATCATTATTATAATTATAAAATAATTACATAATCAAAAATAAAATTCATAATTATTATATTTACCATAAGGATATAATATCTATGTTGTTACTAAAATTCATAATAACACTATTATTTTTATTATCATGGCTTCGTACCTATCATTTATTTTCTTCAAAAAATTTATAAATGAAGATCTTTACGGATTCAGATTTCATTGTTCATACTTCAAATTTCAGCCATTCTTTTCAGCATTCAGATTTTGATTTTCATCAAACAAGATAAACTTAATTACTTCACTACTTATGGTTCAGTCTTTATATTTTAGATTTCATACTCAAATTAAGTTTGATCGATTTAATAGTTGTATAATATTCAGACACATTAATTATGAAAATTAAAAAAGAATCGAATTATTTAAATTTATGTTGATAATTTTTTGAGGTGGAATTTTTTTTCTTGTCCACTCTATAACTTTCAACATTTGAGGGAAACAACATTTGAGATAGGAAAAACACCAATTTAATCGTGCCAACAAAATCCCTTAGCTATGTACTCCATTTGATATTGTCACACATCCAAGGACACAATCTCAAAAACTTAAATTAATAGGGGAACCGAAATAAATTTAATCTAATAGAAATTGGAATTAAATCGGAACATAATAGTAACCTACTATAGTAAGCTGAATCAACCCAGAAACTAAAATAAAAACTTAGTACGTATTTTAAAAAAAAAATAAAATTGTCGGGGCATTGAAAAAAAAAAAGAGTGAAAGAGGAATGGTCCCAATAAGCGAAAACAGTCTCCCACTTCACCCAGCAGTGTGACTAATCATCCATCCATATGACCGTTGGACAATTCTATTCATCTTCTATCATATTTGATTCTTTTCTCTTCCTTTCTTCCTTCTTCTTCTTCTGTTTATTCACGTCAATTCAGATGACATCAGACATGATCGAGCTCATTTTTTCCCCCAAAAAAAGAAATACTTAAAAAAAAAAAAAAAAAGGAACACTGATATTAATTGCCAGCCTTATCAGGGAACGAGGTGTATCAATTCGCTTCCAAATATTGACATGTTTGTTTCGTTTTTAGTGTATGTTTTTAAGTGATTTTTTATTAAGAATGTAAAAATATGTATTAAAAGTGCAAAAAGTTATATTGTGATAGGACAGTTATTATTATTATATTACTCCCTTCGATTCTTAATATAAGGTATTTTGACTTTTCTTAGGTTTAATCTAGTACACGTTTTTAATCGACAAAAAAAATTTAAAAATTTATTTTCATATTCATTGTGTTCTCTTGATTGTTATGAAATATTTTTAAAGTTTTTTTATCGATTAAAAATGTATATTAGTTTAAATATAGAACAAATCAAAATGTCTTATAATAAGGACAGGAGAAAGTATTATGAAAAAACCATGAAAAAAAGGACAAAGACGATTCGTGGGTCAATTCAGAGTCGTGATAATTAATGAGTTAGTACTAAAGTAGTACGGGACAAAGACGATTTTTTTTTTCCTTTTCTTACAAATTGCTTCTGTTCCTTTATAAAATAATAAAAAATATTTTCTTGCACATTTTAAACGTGTTTGATCAGGTTTCGTGTGAACCACATGTGTGTCTTCGTGTTAGAGATAGGGTTTCTTTGGTTACGTACGGCTGCAGCACCATCCTGGATTCCTGGTCCTCCATATATATATATATATATATATATATATTTTTTTTCTCTTCTAGATGATAAACTTACGATTTGTTCCACAACACAATCATAAAATATGGTTGCCAACAAAATAAAATTCATTACATAAAATGACAAGCAATGACGGACAACACACAGGCGCCACGCCACCTTCTTCTCTGTTCGTTTATGCATGAAAATGTCCATGTTGGGTTTTTAATCAGTAATATATATCAACTATACTTCTCTTTTGAGCAACTCTTATGAACGGGTAGATATTTTACTCGCATGCAGTTTGCTCACTAATTGGAATTTTATAAACTATGGCATTGTCACGTGACTATAAAGTTGTAGAATATTTTTTAAATCCTTAAAATAAGAATTTCAATTGTGAAAAGGTTGATATACAGAGGTCAACTTTCAAATTTTTATTAATTAGCATACCCTTGATTAGTAAAATAAAGTCCATAGTTTACAGTAGAAATTAAGGGTAATATAAAAATTGGTATTCCATCTGTCTTTAAAAAAGAGCAATGATAGCGATAGTGAGAAAAAATAGTAAAAATACATAGTGATTGATGTGTCAATAATATTAAGGGTAAAAAGGTAATTTTGGGAGGGAAAAAAAATTTTTAACGGCAAAGTGGTAACAAAATAGGGGGTATACATCAGTCTCTATATTTTATCACTATATTATTTTACTAAGAGTATCATTTTCCTTTAAAAAAATCAGTCCATTTTATCGAAGTAGAATAATTCAACAAAATAAATTATTTTCTGAGAGAGACAATAAATAGTTAGTTTCATATTTTTGTACGCCCTCCTTCAAACTCAAATCTCAAAAAAAAAAAGAAAAAAAATCACTCCGGTCTTTATTTTAAAGCATTTGATTTCGTCTTATATTTAACCTAGGATGTCATTTTAATTGAAAAAAAAACTTTAAAAATATATTTTCACATTCGTTGTATTCTTTTAATTATTTTAAAATATTTTTATGTTTTTTATTCAATTAAAAAGACATCTTAACTGAAACCTATGACGAAATCAAAATGCCTTATAATAAGGACCGGAGGGAATATATTGTGGACTCCAAAATTTATTTTAAAAAATATTTTAAAATATTGATGTAAAAAAATATTTTGGATTTTTTTATATTGATGTAAAAAAATATTTTATATTGATGTAAAAAAAAATATTTTGGATGTAAAAATAAATTTTGGCGATATTGGATGGAAAATAAATTTAGTAAAAGTAATTCACAAAATTATCCAATATATGATGTAAATGTTTTTTTTTTTTAAATCCAATATCTTTTCCTAATTATACCTAGTAATGTCAAACACAATATCTAAATGTATAAAAGAAGAAATGAATATACAAATATAAGTAGGGTATTTTTACCCAAAAACAGCCCACTTTATCACCGCATTTTTGTCAGTTCACATTGAAATTAAGATGATATCAGCAGCTAATGTCATTTTCCGGTGAGAAAAGGTGGGTTCAGTTAGTAAGATCAAATGTCAAGGGGGTATTAGTCATATGACCAAAACTCGAGGAGAATTTAGTTAACGGGCTAAAATTCGGGGGGTAAATTGTAGTTCGCCCTTTATTTTGTTAACATAATTAATGTTAAAATTGAAAATTCGAATCTACAATTAGTTTAGAATAGATAGAGTATTAACAAAATTAAATCATTGGTAAGTGTGAGATGGAGTACTAACATATTATTGTTAAGTGTGAGCAATATTTTTTTGGGTGGGATATATCTCATTGTTTCAACATTTCTTTCTAATTCTCATTAGTTTTGTTTATTTACGTGAAAAGCTCCACTCTATTGTGAAGTAGTAGAAAGTAGTCGCAACAATTGGCAAATGGCTATACATGGAACTTGTTTTTTGAGCAAAAAGAATGATTGACAACATAATCTTGAAACCATTTAAAGCAAATTGGCTGTAACATGTAACCTGATCTAGTCTTCCTTTAGAGCTCTCTAAAACTAATATCCCTTCTGTCCCGAAATTATTATCTCGTTTAGATTTTCAGTTTTAATATAAATTGAACTAAAAGAGAAAATTCAAACTGGATAATAATTTTGAGACAAAATGAGCATTATGTTTAATTTCTTCCTACATTTGTTTTGTCTCAATCCGTATGATATATCCTTCCTTTTTTTATTTTTTTATTTTACAGTATTTGTAGTGAACAAGAACCGAATCGTGATTTAGTGGTTTGGACTTTCTATGCTCAATTGCGATATTTGAGATTTTAATTTCTATTGCGGTCATGGAAAGCATGCGAGTTGTGAAAGAATTAAGTAGGCCAGACGCCAGAGGCCTGCCGCTGAATACAAAGGACCAGACATAGTGAGTAGAGTCTCTCTTAGTAGTTCTATCATTGTACTAGTAGTTCTATCATCGTACTACTTCTGTTCCAAAAAATAAGTCTATTTTGAGTTTTGGAATTTGTACTAAAAATAGTATAAATATAAGAATTTAATGTAGATTATTTTTTTGGAATGAAGGTAGTAATAGTTTAGTTATTTTGAAGGCACCAATAGGTGCGGTCTAAAACAAATATTTGCAGGGATTTTTTTAAAAATATTTATTTCAGTCACTGTTGCAAAAAATATTTTTTCATTTTTTACGGCTTGCTTGATGCATCATCATTCATTTCGGACCTGGACTTGTAAGGCCATTTAATTCTGGACCAAAAGAAACTCAGAATTCTTGATGTTTGTTAGTAGTCCCATGATAATGGGCCTAAACTTTGAGCTGACCTTGTCCGGTCTGTATTAGTCGTTACTCTCTGTTGTGTTTCTGAATTTTTTTCTTTTTTTTTGTTTTTTTTGTTTTGTTTTGTGTTGTGCTTCTCACTTTCTTGTCATTGAAAAAAACAAAGCATTACCTTTTACCGTTAGATTTTTATTTTATTTTTTTGTGGGAAACAAAATGTAAATTGGATTTTTTTTTTGAAAGTAAAACATAATTATATTAGAATTAGAAGCATTAGACATAGATTGGTAATAGACAAGCCTATGTACCTCTTCTACTTTACTTCTATCTATCTTAACCAAACTACGACGGAAACTATTTTTTAACTGATTAACTCTTCCTATTTAAACTTATGACTCTATTGGGAAATCTAATTCTCGTAAGCACTGAGCTTCAAACGAAAATGCAGTCCGTATATGTACATTGGATAAATGATAAATAATATATTCCCTCTATCTCATAAAAATGAGCTTTTTGAACTAAAATAGTTTATCAAGGTGGACTATCTTTTTTAGAACCGAAGAAGTAGTAAACGTGTTATTTATGTGATCGGAATTACCGTCCTCAAATAAAATTTCTCATTACTTTTCATACAAAATTGTAAATCAGATTTTTGTTTTTAGGGATATACTTCATCAAATTTTAATGTGAAAAAATATTGTTGTTTATGTGATTCTGAAGGACTTTGGTGCAGCTTTATGAATCTTTTTCGGGTAAAAAGTGCAGTTTATGCTTAATTGTATCCTGATTTTTGAAGAAGTAGAAATCTAAGGCGAGTGCGTGACACTATGAGATACGACCGTTATCCCAACGTTCAGAAAAAGCAGTAAAATTTTAAAAAATTAGGGGGCCCACCCCCTACTTCCCCAACCTACCCGTTAGCTCCTCCTCTACAGTCTTCTTCATCCTCCACCATCATCATCCCTCTTCTTTAACTCCCACATTCCAAAACATTCACGAATTCACGAGTTCATTGTGAATTGCGTTAAACCCAGATTTAGTTTCCGTATTAATTTTTTTCCTTTAATGTTACCACCACTTCTATTTTGTTTTTAACTCTACAATTGTGTAAATTTTTACTTCTTTTTTTACCCAAGAATTGCAAGGTCGACTTTCTTGATTTTGGTCCCCCTTGCAATTCTGGCCATCTTGATTGATTGTTCTTGTTACATTTTTCTGGGCATCGTTTTCTTGAAGAAATTATGGCGGCATTAGCTCCCGGAATTCTGTTGAAGCTATTGAATGGGATGAATGCTGGGGTGAAGCCCACTAGTGAGCACAGAAGTTCGCTGTTGCAGGTTACCGATATTGTACCAGCAGATCTTGACGAGAAAGATCTTTGGCCAAAACATGGGTTCTTCATAAAGGTATCTGATTCGTCGCATTCAATATACGTTAGTCTTCCGTTTGAGCAAGATGACCTTGTTCTGAGCAACAAGATGCAGCTGGGTCAATTTATATACGTCGATAAACTGGAGCCCGGGTCTCCGGTTCCCGTCGTTAAGGGCGCCAAATTAGTCCCCGGAAGGCACCCTTTAATCGGAACTCCGGAACCCTTGATGGGTTTAAGAAAAAAGGGGGAAAACACCCAAAAGAATCCTACCCCAAGAAGAGGTTCGTGGGGAACAGGGCCTAATAGCAGTAGTACAGAATCTGCACCTTCTGCATCACCCCTTGTTTTGAAGCCAGTTCCTCTGGATTTTGATCAGTGTTTTACCCCAGTCAAAGAGAGGCCATCAAGCTTAGTTAAATTTGGGGGAAATTTTCCAATGTCGCCTGTGATTCGTGGGAGCAGGGTGAAGGATGGAAGTGCCAATTCTTCTGTTATGATGACTAGGTCATCTGTGGGTGGAGCTCTTTTGCCTAAAATGATGGATCTAAAAGGTGAAAGTCCATCAGTGGTTCGAAAGAGCTGTTTTACGCCTTCCATATCGAAGTTTCCCAGGAGCAAAAGTGTGAGTGACAGAGATCAGCAGCAGAGGATGGCACCAAACAGTCCCTTCAACTCATCTGTAGGTACATTTATCCTTCTTCTTTGTGCTAGTTTTAATGGGGAAAAGGCCTACCTTTTTTATCTTATTGTTTTTCAATTTTGTGAATGTTTTGTTTGCATTTTTCCTAAATTAAGGAAAAGAGAAGTGCCACACCACCACCAAGTTTAAGGAGTGTAAAAGTGGCTGCTGCTTCTCCTACTGTTGTTGGTGGACCTGTGAAGAAAATTTCCTCACAGCCACAATCTCAGCCTGATGATTCAGCCTCCAGTAGTAATTCTAGTCCACCAATGAACTTGCCTGGAAAGCTTAGCATGCTAGGAAAGGTACTACAGTGTTGGATTTTTCAAGCACTTTTGCTTTAATTAGACGGTGAATTTGTGCAAGGATTTCAGTAACATTGTGTGGTTTATGAATGGCAGGAAGCTGTGCAACAAAGAGAGACGGCACAGAAGATAGCACTTCAAGCCTTAAGAGATGCTTCAGCCACTGAAAACCTTGTTCGATCTTTGAAGTATGTGGTTCTAGTTGTTGTGAATTTGCATTTCTCTTCTTAATTCATTCAAATTGTTCAACTGAATTGATTGAATCCGTTTCCTGTATTTATGTAGGATGTTTGCAAACATGAACAAGTCAGCTCGGCCAGATGTTCCAGCAACCTGTTTTGAGAAATTTCTGGAATTTCACAACCAAATTGCTCAAGCAATAGCTGAGATGGCTTCTATTCAAGCAGCTACTGAAACGGCTCAAACTCCAAATGACATCAGTGAAAAGGGTCCTAAAGAAATCTTACATGAAATAATTCACAACTCAGTGGATGAATGCAGAAACTCAGACTCAACACCTGCCTCAACTAAAAGGAGGACAGCACTGCACAAGTCTGTTGCTGCATTTCCAGAAAGAAGTGATCAGAAATCAATACTTGGAAAGCATTTGAGATCATCCACTGTTCACCAAAAACTGTCCCTGGAGAGAAAGGGGTCCTCAGAGAATGATGAAAACCAGAAACCAGCTGCAGCAGCTGCTCCTTGCAAGAATAGTAGCAGCTTATCGAACACAATTACATTGGGAAAGCAGATTGAGACTGAAGCCGGAAACTGGTTCATGGAATTTCTAGAAAAATCATTAGAAAAGGGATTGAAGAAGACAAAGGGGGCAACAAAGGAAACAGATGCTTCCAAAGTTCCTCAGTCACTTATCGTAAAAGTAATCAACTGGGTAGAAATGGAGCAGTGTGACTCCAGTAAGCGGCCTGTCCATCCTAAGGCAGCACAAATAGCTAGGAAGTTGAGGATCAAAATGAGAAATCCTTGAATTTGTTGGAAGAACTGAATCTAAATATGACTGGCTTTTCTTTTTGTCCATAGTTTAGCCAAGACATAGAAGTATTCATATGTTTGTCACTGATGCTTCTTCTGTAACACTACTCTCCATACACTTATTATTGAGCTTATTTGTTCTTTCAGCTAGCCACTTTTACCATGCCTATTGGGTTCAAAGTTCAAACATTCAATGACTGTTTGTGAGCTCCAAGTGGCGCATATAAACCCAATTTTATTCATCAGCAAATATTGCAGATTGCAGCAAAAGAAGAATGTTGTAAACTTCATCTTGGATTCAACTGTTGAATAGATGGTTGTTGTTAATCAGTTTTTATACTATACTACTAGTGCATCTTACTTGGTGGAACAAAAAATTACATCTACTTGGCCTTGTCCCCGTGTACCACAACTAATAAAAGTGTAAAACAGTGGAACATCTTTGGATACGGGTAAAAATGAAATATGCGTTTGCCGGGAGTCGAACCCGGGTCTCCCGTGTACTACTACTAATAAAAGTGTAAAACAGTGGAACATCTTTGGACGGGTAAAAATGAAATATGCGTTTGCCGGGAGTCGAACCCGGGTCTATTGCTTGGAAGGCAATTATCCTAACCGTTGGACTACAAACGCTAGTTGCATGATTAGCCGGATTTATAATATAAGTATAGTAGACTTTGCAGCTTTTATAACCAGTCAATTGCCGCTGACGGGAAGCAGCATGGAGATGAGGCGAATGAATGGGTGTGGCGGCTGCAGTTTGCTTCGTATGGCCATTCGTTCTTCAGCAATCCTAACGATTCCACTCCAAACTGTACCATTGTCTCGTTGCCTTCAGAGATTTTCTGGCCAATCTCTATCCTTTTCTTTGATAGAAAAACGCCGCCTTTTGTCAACAGCCCTTCGATCCTCTTCTGTTCCTTTAAGCTCTGCTTCCGCACTTCACCAACATGATTCCTTTCCTGATTCAGGTTTCCACCCTTTTCTTTTCCTGACTTACTTGACTGATTTCATGATGTGGGTTCTGTGCTCTGTGATTTTCCCCTCCTTTTTTCCTGGTTGTAATTTTCTCAATTTTTTGAATTTTTTATTCAGGGGATGATACGAATGTCGAAATTTCGAAGACGGGCTCAAAGGTGATATTAAAAGGATTGACGTTTCCTGAACTTGAGGTATTATTTATATGGATTTCTTCAGAATGTTGCGATTTTTAGTGATGCCGACTTGAAGTGATTCCACTATAGCTACTAATTTTAGAATGAATATCCACGATGCTCTTCTTATCCTGGTTCTGTGAGAAAGATATGCTGATAAGATTGTAGAGCTCAGGTTTATTGGCTAATACCAGTGCCTGCTTTGGTCGCTTCTTTCTCAATAGTAAATGTTTTTGCCTACTACATGACTATTAGATGATCAATCTACCTTTAAATTTGCCTTTGATCTTATGCTTGTAGTTTGATTTTCTTGTTTCAGTTTCCCAATGTGACTTTTGCTTTGGTCAATGTAACTTCTCTTGCAGAAATGGGCTCAATCTCAAGGGTTTAGGTCTGGTCAGGCTTTGATGCTGTGGAAGCGAATTTATGGAAATGATATTTGGGCAAACAGTTGTGAGGAATTAGAAGGTGTTTTTTATTTCGAAATCTAATACTTATCTTATTTAGCTTCGCACGCAACTTGTTCATTTGTTACATCGCATGTTTGCATATTTGATGTCATATTGATGTCGCACTAGAGGTTTTTTATGCTTGTGATCTGTTTTTGTGCTTCTGCTCACTAGCAACTCCACTCTTTGCTTTTGAAGGGTTAAACAAAGACTTCAAGAGAATGCTAGGTGAGGTTGCTGAGTTTAAGGCGCTAGCCCTAAAAGATATACGCACGGCAGCTGATGGCACTAGGAAGGTAGAACTAAATCTTTCTATCTGGCACTGTGTGCTTGTGAATGCGAGATGCAAACCCCCTTCCCCAATTTCACACCAGCTTCATTCAGTTTCTTTGAGGCTTGTCTAAGCTGTGTATAACTCACAGGATTTAACAGATGCTGTTCACATTGGGAGATGGTCAAGTTATCGAAACAGTTGTGATACCTTGTGAAAGGGGCAGAAACACTGTTTGTGTTTCTAGTCAAGTGGGATGTGCTATGAATTGCCAGTTCTGCTACACAGGAAGGCAAGCTCTCTCATGACGGATGGTTACTTACATTATTAACTCACTTCTTTGTGGTGGATTATCTTGTTCTTATCAGTGATTTGTTTATAGGATGGGACTGCGAAGGAATTTATCAACAGCTGAGATAGTTGAGCAGGCTGTTTTGGCTCGTCGATTGCTGTCAAGTGAAGTCGGTGCTATTACCAATGTGGTTTTTATGGTAGGTGATTGCATTTTTGGATGCCGAATGAATAATATCAACAGTTACCTAATGCCAAATCAATTGACACTAATTTGGCACTCTTACCTGGAATTGTTTGAGCAGTTGTTTGCCATTTACTCTTGGATTTGTTGATAGACGATGTTCTAGTTCGTTATTCTTGTGTAGTTGTTCACTGCAGTTTGGTGTTTCTTGTCCATTAAGTGGAACTTGTTATCTCATCGACCTGCCTCCTGTAGTTTAACTTCTGCTTCATCAACTACAAAATTTGGTGTGGTATTTTTTGTTCTTTTTTTTTGAGGAGGGGGTTCAGGCTTGCTTTGGAGATGGTAAAGAAGAGAGACCTTTGTCTATCTCTTAGCTTTTCTAACATATGCCATTGTGGAGACCTAATACTTGATTAGGAAAATTCCAGTTGCATGCTCCTAACCCCTATCTCGCTTCTCTTTTTCTGTGGCTCAAACTTACCCTCTGTCAGTCTCTGGAAACATCATTGTTTGTTACGAGTTCCTTTTTTTGACTGGAAAGAATTTATTTCCTTCTAAATAAATATGTTTAACCACTGTTGAAAGAATTTTTTGTCCTTATTACCATGCTGTTACCCTAACATGTATATGTGGTTCTTTTCCATCAAGGAATGAGGAATTCATGTTACATTTTAGACATAATTGTTACGAAGTTTAGGCTGAACTGATTTTTTCACATGTTGTATGAAACATATACATTTTGCCCTCTAGCAAGCTATTAACTTCTAAAATTTATTTAACTAATGTGTAGGGAATGGGGGAACCACTTCATAACATTGAAAATGTGATGAAGGCTGCAGAGATAATGGTGGACGAACAAGGACTCCATTTCAGTCCTCGAAAGGTTACCGTCTCAACCAGTGGGCTGGTTCCTCAGCTGAAGCGGTTCCTTCGGGAATCTAAATGTGCTTTAGCAGTTAGCCTAAATGCTACTACTGATGAGGTTAGTTATTGAAGTTTCTCTAATTGTTGATTTGAACATGGGGAAAATTTATAGTTTTCGTGAAAATGTTTGCAGATCAGAAACTGGATCATGCCAATCAATCGCAAGTATAAGTTGGAGTTACTTCTTGGAACACTTCGAGATGAACTGCGTTCAAAGCGAAACTACAAAGTGTTATTTGAATATGTAATGCTTGCTGGTGTAAATGACAGGTAGACAGTCTCATATTCCTGGTCCTTGAGATTATTTGTATGTTGTCTATATGCTGCATATATACTTTTCTTTACTGCAAGACTTGTGTATATAGCTTAGCCATTGGTGTCCAGACATATCCACATAAAAGTACTAGTATCTTTTATCAAAAGCATGTTTAACAGTAAATTAACAAACTTCATTTTTGATCTTGTGATATTTTGACAGTGTTGAGGATGCGGAGAGGTTAATTAATCTTGTCCAGGACATTCCTTGTAAGATCAACCTCATCTCTTTCAACCCTCACAGTGGTTCACTCTTCAAACCAACGCCAGAGGAGAAGATGATCCGATTTCGAAATATCCTCGCTGAAGCGGGATGCATTGTTTTCCTTCGATGGAGCAGAGGTGATGATCAAATGGCAGCATGTGGTCAGCTTGGCAAACCAGGAGAGTTCCAGGCTCCCTTGTTGAGAGTGCCAGCCCAATTTCAAGCTGCATTGGAAGCATCCGTGTGAAAGGTTATTGCCAGATTTACGTGAGCACTCATGCACTCATGCACTCATGCACTCATGCTGTAGAGTGGTAGGGTCGAGGTGGGATGTTTGTAAAATCTTTCACTTGCCTAGTTAAACTTCATTTTGTGTCTGGTTATCGGGGTTTTAACTTTTTACGGCCAAGTTGAGGCATGACAATGTGGCATGATGCAACTTTCTGTTCCCATATCTTTTGTAATTTTCCAACTGCTAGCAGCAAAATTTAACAGAAGTGCAATGCTGTCAATTTATAGTTTTCTACTGAGGAAATTTAATTACATATTAGAATGTTTGCCACTCTTACTAAGCGAATCGGACTGGGCAACATTTACCACACAGAACATGTTATGAATTCGTAAAAGTCCCGTGTGCACGTAGCTACTTAGACATCATCAGCCGTTAGAAACAATACATCTATGACTTTGGTATGCGATCTTCCGTGACGTGTCACAGCGGACGCATTTTTGGGCGTTTCTTCCTCTCCGGAGTTGAATGGACTTGGGCCCTCATCCCATAGGTTTTAAGCTGAAAATTTTCAAAAGCCTCGGAAACTACCTCCACCTGAATAATGTTTATGGAGGATTCCAAAGATTAGAGCTATTCGACCAAAATAAAAATAAAACAAATAATCCAAACGAGGGAAAGAAAAAACTTGAAGGAAATAGTGGAAATTAGCACCAACCAATTCAGGTTTCTTGGCGTATACACGCACTATCATATCTTGATAATATGTTGGTAGCAGGTGGCTGACACGATCATCTTCAATATGGAATTTCTCATTGCAATCGTAGTCCTGAAACAATTGGTAACAAATTTGGATTGCTCCCAAAGCACAATGCCATACGGATAGTCATTGCTAAACAGGTTCCGACCAATTATTATTAAAAGATAAAAAACAATGTATGAAGATGATGAAACTTGCAGAGGCTGAGAATGCTTACCTTGAAGAAGTTGATGCTGAAGAAGATCAAGGCATGGAAAACCAGAGGGAAAAAGGAAAAGTGTAAGGACAACTGTTTCAAATATTAAGAAAATGTTCACTACTAATGAATTGGGAAATCTCCATACCTTTCAAGTGGATTTTTCCTTCCACAAGTCAAGTCAATCTTGACATTGGTCACATGAATATCATCCTCACTCAGGGAAATACCATCAGATTTCTGAAAAAAAAAAAAACTACTAACTCAGATATTGTTTGCTTCCTAAAAAGAGGTAACTATTGAGGAAACAAAGAATGACCTGGCAACAGATTATATCTTTGGGAGAAACCTTTCTGAAGTGATCAAGTTTGTCTTTTGGAACAGAAAACTCGTTACAAAACTGTCAAAATATTAAAATGGGCATCAGCAGTTAACAAAAAAGAAGTGAAGATCATCTTCATCTTGCAACATTAATTTTCTATCGCAGCTATTCGAAGACACACCTGATAAAGATCCCTTCTCCTGATGCGAAGAATCAAATCCCTGGATTCCTTCAAACCTTGGTCGGAAGAAGTTTCGATGGTTTTCAGTATCGTGTCATCCAACTGCAATTCAAAAAAAGTAGCATAAGATTTCCTATCACAGCCCGGAACATTATCATGCATCAAGAAGATTGAGCAATTAGATGACCTTCCAATAGTCGGCAGGATCCTCAATATACGATGCAATTTGAAGAGAGTCATTTGCTTTCACCAAAGCATCAACGAACATCAGTTCAATGGCCTAGTTAACAAAGCAAAAAATGAATTTCAGATACATGTAGCCAAGTAACGTGCCATAAACATCATGTTGACTGCTAACCATGAACAATCTAAAGCTTGGATACCTTTACTTTAGGATGCATGTAAACAGTCCTATGCATGTCAGCTCGAGTAGAGAATAACTTGTGGACAGTGAGATCTGGCCAGTGGAAAAACATCAGTCAAAAGACACAGGGAACATCATTAAAACATGTTTGCAAAAGTGAAACTAAAATCACTTACATTCCTTAGCTCGATAGCAAATCTCATCATCTATAACTCGCATTGTTTCAAAAAGCCTGAAATTCACAGAGAAGACCCCAGATAAAGTTACTTATGCGTGCATCACACAGCCTTCTTAGTCAAAGCCCTACTCTTATCTTCCATGAGAAACTCTCTTAAGCAATTTAGTAATGTCAAACTGAAAAAATTCAAGGAGCTGGTCAGCTAAAGAAAAAAAAATCTAATCATACCTTGAAAATTCAAAGCTGCAGCCGAGACCACAAGCACGGGAATCGCGAGTTATATAGTCAAATCTGTGGAACAAAAGAATCATCCTTTGTTCACTATTCTGTAACATTATATAAATATAAAATTTGCTCCAGAGAACATGTAAAGTTGCAGAACATACTTGTCAACATCTATGGAGTTGCGCCCATTTGCAACAATGTCATACAGGAAACTCTTTTCCTTTGAGCTCTACATGAGAGTATGATTTATAACAAAGCAAGAGAGAAGGATCAAGAGGAAAACAAGAGGACAAAAAGGATTGACGGATATGGCTTATTACTGCAAAACGGTGTACTGATGGATAACACTACTAACCCATCCCGTCTCATGACCTACCCTTGATGATGCAGATTTCTCAGACGCAACTACCATCTCCTGAAAGAAAGGTGGATACATTAAATTATAGAACTGAAGGAAAGAAACCAATAGAGAACAGTAATACTTGGTAACAACTAATCTAGTACTACTGATATATTCGTACATCATGATACTCAGTTCTGCTATTTAGTAGGCGAAGGTAACACATTTAACACTATCAGACCAGAGAAACACATAATTATATCAGGTTTATATCCAGATTCCTAGACATAGGAAATTGATTGATTAAGGTTCACAACTTTCACCGAGTAGAAAGAAGATAACTTGTACAAGTATACTTCTAAAGCATAACATTGATAAAAGCACCATAATCAGACCTATAAACTGATAAAGAATAACATATCATGGAGAAAGTTGTCGAACCTTGACTCTACTAAGATTCTCAGAATCAATATCAATGTTATGCTCATCAACAATATAGTCTATCATCTTCACAGACATTTCTTCATGAGACCTGCACAATTTCCAGTAAGATAAGTGAGTGTCATCATTACCAGGACCTCCAAGGTTGTAATGGTTATGACCTGAAAGTATATCAGAAGATACCAGAATAGGTAATAATTATGGTCCACAAAAAGACCACAAATTTGAGAGTAAGTTGTTACCACATTTTTAACACAATAACATTCTATACGCAGTTAATTTACTCAAAAAATAGAAATAAAATTCCATTTCCATACTTTTTGGTAAGAATATCAAACTCATCTATCCCATGTCCATAAAAGATGCACATACAAATAGTGCTGTCATTTCATAAGCTTGTACTTGTATGAGAATGGAAATAATCTAGAAAAACAATTAAATTAATGAAAATTACTGGAAAGGAATATAAAGGTAAGACAGACAAGGAGCTAATTCTCATAAATCATTCTCGGTCACTTCCACTAATCACAGCACTACAACTTCCATGCAATACAAGAAGTCATTGTCAGAGGGAAAAGAGAGAACCATTTGCAGCCATCAGTAACTCTTGGAAGAAACTCCCGTTCAAACATGTGACTGAACGGCCCATGTCCCACATCATGCAGTAGCCCTGCATATGAGGACAGACAGATAATAAAAAACCATCAAAAACAGATTATCAATGAGGACTGAAAATAAAAGCGACCGACAATTTTGATCACCTGCTAGTTTAACAGTCTGAACATCAATGGGTTCAATGCCAAGCTCCAAGCCCTACATGAATGACATGCACATGAAAACTACAGTGCACAAAATGCAAGATGTGAAATATCAGATAAGGATGTGTTTCTCACTTGATATTTCTTCAGTTTATCCATTGCTTCATTGGCCAGCCAATAAACCCCAAGCGAATGCTCAAAGCGAGAGTGAACTGCCCCAGGATAAACCATGTATGTTAGACCTGAAGAAAGAACAAGAAGATATTCATCAGGCATGCTTCAAAGATGGCGAGTCTATGAAGGCGCACTGGCGCACATAATGAATACAAAAGCAGAAGTAAGAACTTTGGAACGTGAATAAAATTAGAGAAAAGTTGGACATGAAAGACAAAGTGCAAACTGATGAGATAGAAAAGGCTTCCTAAAATCATAAATACAGGACACAGAGAGCAGAACCATTCTTCATAGCCTAACAAGGATCTTGATAAGGTATTTGTCCATTATCAAACAAAGTATGATAGAGCTAATTATATATGCAATTCACTATGGCATACCAAACATTTTAAATTCTTGGGTGCAATCAAGTCAAGACAATAGCCTAACAAGCATAAAACAACAGAAAATACACAATTTCCTCCAACTCTTCTTGAGCCATCAATTGGATTCATACTTACATTCCATAGTCAACCACTAAAATCTGGTACAAGCATAAATGGATGGAATAAATGAAGACAGAACCAAAATAGTAAGCCACATATTTTCCTTTTCTAAGCCAATAATCTGAGTCCTCTCCAAATCAGCATTTTACTATTTTAAGTGTCTTGATCAATTTCAAGTTTCAGCAGACTAAACACTGTACAAAGTAGTACTGCAATTCACAGAAAGGCCAGACTTACCAAGCTGCTTCAGATCTCGAAGCCTGCAGACATTATAATAATTGCACATTACAGTTTCAGTAGGCCAAAACTTTGGAAGAGAATAAGGAAAAACAGAACAGCTTAGGCTCTGACTGCAATGGAGTTTACCTCTGAAATTGTTCAGTATCGATAAACTTCAAGGAGAGCTACAAAAAAGAAAAGAAGCAACACGGTTCAATCCTGAAATTATTGTTGTCAGAAATCCTTTTCATAAAATAACAGTACTAATGGAATCATTATCTTTGAATTTATCAATTACAGTAGCTTTTACCTTTCTCACTAAGCCTATGAAAATTATATTATCTTAATGTGATTCATAGCTAAAGTAATTTGTTGGTGCATGCAAAAGTAAAGGACTAGGTAAGAACATGTTATCGAAATTCATCATCATAACTATAGACAAAAAGTTCTGAAGATAAAGCAACTAACTAAAATTACTGCAGCTAATATTACGCAAACGTCATCTTATTCAAAATTCAAACAATTAGAAGACGTCGCCCAACAATTTCATCCTAACTTCTCAAACTGCAAAGCCATTGTAAAACGAATTCAGTTTCAGTAAACAAAATTTCGAAATAATCAATGCTTGGAAAAGGAAACGCATCGAGAACAGCGACCTTCGGAAAACAACGCTTGATCGCATATGGAAAACAGAGTTCAAATACTAAAAGTAAGAAAATCAGAAATTAAAAAGACAGAAATTCAGAATCGGAATCGTTACAGGATCGACGAAAATATCTCCGTTCACATTATCACAGCAAATACAATTGCGAAAAGAGATGATAAATGCTTGTAATAGCGAACTCCACAAAGAAAAACAATGATTCAGAAAATCGCGTACGGAAAAAGCAGAGTATCAGAAGAACAGTTCAAATTTCAAATAATCGAACTTAAAAAACATCAAAGCCAGAGTAGGAAAATCGTTACAGGATCGAGGTAAATGTTGCCGTGGACATTATCGTGAACATGTTTCAGGAAGCGGCGATCGTCGCCGGAGAAAGCTCCGGCGCGGCGGCTATAACTCTCAACTCCGTCCAGAGGAGCTCCCATTGCGTAACCGGGAAGAGACATGATGGAAAGTTCCAGAGAAGTGAAACGACTAATGAGCAGCACGTTTATGTAGAAGTAACTAAATGAAGTGAGAGAAATTGTAGGGGGAAAGGGAGGGCTTATTTATAGGTTAGGCAGGGAGAAGGGCTTAGGGAGAGACGTTAGGTTGACGGACGGTCACGCTCTAAAAGGTGACAGTTATTGGACTCATTTTTAGTCAGTTCGTACTGTAATTTCGGAAGGGTGATGGTGTACTGTAGCGGTGCCGCCAATTTTCGTTCTGGCGTGATTATATTTCAACAATCGCAGTGATTAATGCGTGTCGTGCACGGTCCAATTTGATTGGACATTCTTTCGAAAGGATCAACGCTTTTTATGCTGTTCTTTTTTTTTTTCTTCTTCTGGGTTTGATGATGACGTATCTGGCCAAAAAAGAAAAGAGTAATGATGGGAAACTGCAGATTTGAGAAAATATTGAGCAGCATTAGGTTAGTACTTTGCAGAAAAATTGGCGTTCATAATCAAAATTTTGTGTTCATCGTCAATTTTACCCTATTAATTTTTAATTAAAAAATAGAGAGGTCTTTTTGTGATTTGGATGCTGAATATTCACTCAGGGCTAAAAAATAAAAGAAGAGGATTTGAGAGTTGAATGTTTACGGCTGAAAAGAATAAGCAGAACAAACTTTACTTCTTTGCCCCATATTGTAAATTTTTTAAAACAATTAAATAAAAGAAAATTAATACCTTCTGCTTCAAAAGTCTCTTCAAAGAAGAATTGGGTTAATGAATTTGAGGCAGAGAAAGCTGTTTATAATGAAGCTGTATAAATTTTGAGGCGCCATATTTTGGGCGGCTTTTTAATTTTTTTTTATTAATACAAGATAAATTAAGATAGTTTCTCATTACTCAATTGGGGTTATCTCATTACTTGGGAAAGTGAAATCTTTATCTTTATTTTTTTTTCACGAAATGCAGTAATGATAGGAATCGGAATCAAAGAACCATAACGTCCATTCCCATTACCATCAAAAGAACGCAGCGGCACAGCCTTAGTGATATTAATTCTTCTTTTCATAGAAAACTTTAATCACTTTTTGGGTCATTCCATTTAATCAAAAAAAAAAATCATTTGTCCCACAAAATAATCTTTGTTGCTATATGTTTGTAAAACAGAGGGAGTAGTTAATCTTTGGGGGTGGTTAAAAAAAATTAAACTAAATCCTAATGTTGTATTCATCCATCCACAAATGTTAATTGCTATGCTACACAACACAAGGGCAAAGGTAATCTCTAATTTCTCTCCATATATACGATGATGAATTAATTGTTGGATCTTATTAATTCCTCCATTCAAAATATGTACAGCCCAGCATTCCAATGGGCATGACAACAGCTCAATACTCGTCCCCCTTTTAACAAAGCCCAATGGATTTCTTCTTTGATAACGGAAAAGCCCAATAATAGTCGATCTTCTTCCCTGCGAATGTTTGGCCGAAGTCAAATCACCGTCACTCAAACACACCTCAATCTCAAAGCTTAAACACGTTTCAAGAATGGTTGTAAGTTCATTCTTTCATTCTTATTTTTTATCGGCACTTTCGCAATAAGGTCAGTTACTGGGTTATACAATATATATGTTCGTCGATTCGTTGCCCTTCCTTGACGTCGCCGGCCCGCACTGGACCTCCGGTCAACTCCTTCATATGATACCCTTCCAGCTCCGAATACTGGGCCGCTGTCACTTTTATGCTAGATAAAGTGAAGATTTCTCATTTTTATTATTGCTTCGGATTCCGATTGTAGAGGCAAACTATTGAGCATTCAAAATCACGTGGTGGATTCCTGGTAAGCTGTCAGACTCGTTAAACTGTTCAAAGAACAATGTTTGTTATGTAGGATGATGATTAAGAGATGTAGAGGCTGCTTGTAGATGGCGGAGGAAACTCAAATTGGTATGTTTCCGGGATATGATTTTGGTGGGGTTTTACTTCGTAAGGCATGAATAAGTGTTCCATTTTGCTGTCACCAAATTGTTGTCAGCTCTTTGCATCATATAATTCGTGCTTGGTTTCTGTAAAAACTCGATCTTCACTCTTTTTTTGTATTGGTAGATTTCTAGTTCGAAAGCTATCTTACTTTGGCACAAACGATCCCAGACCTTTCCCAGATTACTCTCCCAAAAAGCCTTCCATTAAAGACTCTGAACTGGTTCACCATATCTCCATTACTCTAAAGCAACGTCGTTGTGAGAACCTACTGCGTGCCCTGAAACCATTTGAATCCAAATTTAGACCTGATCATCTCATTTGGGTTATGATGAATATAAGGAATGATTACAAGTTAGTTTTGGATTTCTTTCAGTGGTATAGCTTACGTAGAGATCCATCGTTGGAGGCGTGTTGTATTGTCATTCAGATTGCTGCTGCTGCAAGAGATTTAGTGATGGTTCATGGACTCATACGTGATTTTTGGACAAAACCCAATTTAGACCTTAATATAGCCTTCTCAGCTTTCCTCGAAAAATTGATATACACATACAAAACTTGGGGTGCTTGTCCTCGTGTTTTTGATATCTTCTTTCAAGTGCTCCTGGAAGTTGGGATTCTTGAAAATGCTAGGAAAGTTCTTGATAAAATGTTGAATTATGGTTTAGTGTTATCTGTTGATTCATGTAACTGCTATCTTTCTCGTCTATTGGTTAGTGCTCATGGGCCTCCAATGACAATGAATGCCTACAAGGAATTGTCTGAATTGGGTGTCTGCTGGAATACCGCTACATATAACATAATAATCCATTGTCTTTGTTTGATATCTAAAGTGGAAGTAGCTCATGCCTTACTGATGAAAATGGAGTTGAAAGGCTGTGTACCTGATGTTATAAGTTACAGCACTGTGATTGATGGCTATGCCAAGGTACAAGAACTTGATGTTATCCTAAAAATGGCTGAAGAAATGCGAGTAAAAGGACAGAAGCCAAATAATTTCACTTTCAATAGCATTGTGGATCTTCTTTGTAAGTCTGGTAAAGTAGTGGATGCTGAGAAACTTTTGAGGGAGATGATACGCCAAGGTGTTACTCCTGACAAGGTAATTTATGCTACTCTTATTGATGGTTTTTGTAGAAGTAGGAATGTTTCTGCAGCGTTTAGATTGTTTGGTGAAATGCAAGAGCATGAACTATTTGTGGATTCTGTAGTGTACGCATCTCTCATTTGTGGTCTTTGTCATATTGGAGAGCTTGCAGAAGCCGATAAATTATTCAATGAAATGCTTGGAAGAGGGTTGGAGGCGGATGTCATTACATACACAGCATTGATTGATGGATATTGCAAAGGAGGCAAAATCAGAACTGCCTTCTCTTTACACAATCAAATGGTGCTGAGGGGATTGGTACCCAATGTTGTTACTTACACTGCACTGGCTGACGGGCTTTGTAAACAAGGTCAATTAGACACAGCAAATGAGCTTCTACATGAGATGCGTGAGAAGGGTCTCGAGCTCAATATTATCACATATAACTCCCTCGTGAATGGATTTTGTAAAACTGGGAATCTAGTGCAAGGATTAAGGTTGATGCGAGATATGGAGCTGGCTGGGATATGGCCAGATATTTATACATACACCACCTTGATCGATGCTCATTGTAAATCTGGAGAGATGTCTAGGGCTCATGAGCTTCTTCGTGAAATGTTGCATAAGGGGATTCGACCAACAGTAGTTACATTCAATGTTTTAATGACTGGATTCTGCAGGTCTGGGATGCTAGAGGATGGTGAGAAGCTACTGGAGTGGATGCTAGAGAAGGGTGTGATGCCAAATACCAGTACTTATAATTCTCTAATGAAGCGCTATTGCATTCAAAAGAATATGGGTTCTGCGACTGAAATATACAGGAGTATGTGCAGTCGAGGAGTTTCACCGGATGGAAATACCTACAGCATTTTAATAAGAGGGCACTGCAAATCTAGGAACATGAAGGAGGCTTGGTTTTTACATAGTGAAATGGTTGCAAAGGGGTTTACCGTCTCCGTTAATTTATACCTTGATCTTATAAAAGGCTTTATAAGAAAGAAACGGTATGCAGAGGCGAGGGAACTTTTTGGAAAAATGAGGGAGGAAGGATTGCATGGGGATCCAGCAATATATGGCACCTTTTTAGATATGAAGTACAAAGAAGGAGACGTTAATGCCACCCTCCAGCTTTGTGACGAGTCGATTGAAAACTGTCTGGTTAGTAAGAGCAGTAGTGGTGTCACATAATTTGAGGATATCCCATCATTGTATAATGTATAGCATGATTTTGTAACAAACTTCAGGATCTACATTGCATTTCAATGATCTTTACAAAAGGAGTTCTAAAGTTGTACCCAGTTGGTCAATGGCTACTTACATCTCATCTCAAAAATCAGCCTTCTAAATCTATGAATGGCTTCCATCACTTGATGGGTCCATTTTGGATTTGCGGTATAATCAGAAAGCTAACCTTTTTCCCTGGCCTGACTACAGCAAAATTTGACTACGAAACAAAATTTGGTTTGCCTGTACAATTTTTGTTCTTGTTTCCTAACAGCTCAAGTTTCACTGGGTTTCTATAGGGCACCGAAGTTACAGAGCGGTTAAACTTCTTTCGAGTTACTGTCATTGACATAATTGCAGTTTGCAGTTTTGATATCAGAACCTTAACATTGGCCACTGTCAACTAAAGCAGAATTTTGCAGCAAAATCTACAGATCTGTCACTTGATTCTCCTCACTTGCATTCTCGAATTTTTCCAGCAACAGTTTTCGTATGGTCTTCCTCAGACGTGAAGCATCTGCCGGGTTGAACCAGTGCCTTCCAAACTGCAATTAAAGCGACCATCATGCAAGCACATTAAGTAACCAATATTAATTGGCATGAGGAAGAATGAAGAACCAACTAAATAGAAGAGATAAGAGATGTGAAATTTTGCAGAAAATCTACCTTTTCCAAATCGTTCCTCTTCAGCCTCCCTGGAGCATCTTCAATGAACCGTTCCATGAAGAACAAAACAAAAAGACCACAATCATATTCATTTCTTTGCTGCGGCACCTGCTCACAAAAAATAAATAAAATTAAGAAAAGCCGGAGAAGAAGAGGGAGGACAAAATTTGTACGTGATTACAACTTATATAGTTCACTTCCTTCATAAGGCTGCCAATTTATAAACTAAAGTTCATCCCGAGAAACCGTGAATGATTCTGCAAAGCATTTTGGAATACCTAAAGTTACCTCAATTGTTTGGCCAAAAATTCTCCGAGGAAGGTTTTCCCATATAGAGTCTGCAACAGGAGGCTCAAAAATAACTTCTCCTTGCCTCAAGAATTTCCACTCCTCTTTTAAGAAACTGCAAAGTGCAAATTGAGCAGTTTAGCAAAGGACTTGCATTTTTGCTCAGTGATCAAGTTTTATGCATTATACATAGCAACTTATTTGAGTGATAGATTACAAAGGATTACGCAAATTAACAGGATACAACACGAGGCCAATCAAATGAATAAAAACAGCAGCACATAAAGCCTCTACCTCAGTGATAAAGATCAAATAATAAAAACAGCAGCAGATAAAGCTTCTACCTCAGTGACAAAATGAACTATCACCTTTTTATGTTTTTAAAAATTGAGCTGCTTTGGTGAAGTCCAAGAGAATCTAAGTGAAGGAGAAGTATTTCTGAATCAACTTCCTTCTGTGGCATACATACGATCACCAAGCTCCAATGAAGCCTATAACCAAAAGGTAAAGGGGGAAAAAAAAAAGTACTCAACACAGTAGGAAGATGAGTTCCGAACAAGGTTAAGCAAGAAAGAAAACTAAAACAAAGCACCAACTTTCTACCAGAGAAAGCACATGAAACCAGGGAGAAGGAACCAAAACTTTGAGAGGGTGGCAAAGGTTGGATAAATTGAAAACCAGATGACAAATTCTATTCACGTTCAAGAAAATACACGAATCAAAAATCGAGAATCGAAAAGTGAGAAACACAATGTCACTATTATTCCAGAACAAACTCCAGCTAGATATGGAATATATTCTCTTCCACTACAGCAGGTGGCTAGCTTAAAGAATTTTTTGCTCTACAACTAGAATGTTTAGTATGAGGAACTATGGTTACGAAAAAGGGTAATCAACTTTTGAGTTTTGACATGCTGGCATTCAAGTTACACATCTGGCAAGGATGCCTTGTTCAATATGTATCTATCACTTAATGGTGAGCAAAACCCGCACTACACATGACCACTTCACCGTTACAGCTTCATATCCATCCAAGCAAAAGAAACAAGTCCTAAGGGTTGTCATCCAAATAAGAAACAATTTCAAATTATATAATAGTTCATGGCAATGATACCAATAAGGAAAACCTGATATTTACATCATATGCAGGACATTTCGATATGCCACACTAAGATGTACACAATAGGATTTCGAAACTTACTGCTCATGAATTGGAAGAAATATATAAGCTTTCTCATATAGATTGACACCTCTCCACCACCTCCGGAGCTTGGCAAATGGGTTATCGTTGATGTTCTGCCACATATGGAGGGTCAGGGAAAAAAAAATAGATAAATGGATTGAGTACAGAGGTCAAAGAAGCTACTATATTATCTTTGATATGAGCTTATTTTTAAACAAAATATAGCATTAATACGAATAGCTATGTGACAGTGGATATATCAATCATTTCTCATCTTTCATCAAATTACACGTTCTCAATTATGTTTTGAAGAAGACAGCCTCATGGCATGGAAAAAGGAGAAAATTGAGCCCTAAAGTAGTTCATGTAGTGAACAAGAAGAAGGATTGATTTCAATTGCCAAAATTGATCAGGAAGAAGATAAAATAACCTTGTTATCCACAGCCTCTTTCAGTTTATCATAGAAGTAGGTATTAAAAAAATAATAACTGCGGTTTTCCTCGACTGCAGTTTTCAATTTTATCCCCTCCTCCTCCAGATACCTGCCCATCAAAAGAATAACAATAACATACTGATAAACAAAAAGAATCTCAGAAAGGGAAAGTTAGTTTTAGTCTAGTAATTTAGTGGCTTCTTGTTCATCCTGGGAAAATGGACAAATCAAGTCTATGATGTGAAAGAACTTTTAGAGCATAAGATGGAAACAAGTTGGTTTCCGAAGCCCCTTTTCCAAACCCCAAAAGATTACTAAAATCGATAAAACTGCCCTAGAGCACCTTCCTCTCTCTTCTAACCCCCTCCCAATCACCTCTTTCATTTTGCTTTAAAGGGGACCGTCACCACTCCCGATCATTTCCAATAATGAATTTTGAAAACCTTCCTCAAATTAACCAAGATTTACATTAACTCACCTTATGTAAAAATTCATTACAGGTGATGACAAATATGCCTCAGGTGCAAGACATTTTATGTCTGAGTAACCAATTTCAACCGATCCAGGATCTTTCCTGATTACAAATATAAAAAAGAAGGTTATTATAGTGAAAATAAATAAGAAAGAAGTTGCTCAACATTGACAAGAGTTTTCGAAAATCAAACTGTTTAAGCTTTACCTTGACGGATAGTATATGATGGTGTTCTCGCTGAAACTGAAATGCAGAAATTAGTAGTTGCAAAGAGACAATCAGAAAAAGTACTAACATTAATCACTAGAACACTACCGTTCATGTACTTCAATTTCCTGGGGTGTTACTTCTTCAACATCAGGTTCCTCCTCCTCATCAACAAGTACAACAGTTTCCCCCTGTTAAAGTCCAAATATATAAATTTATCAGACCTCTCCAAAAGAAAGCAATCTTTCATATAATTTGAGCTTCTGAGAAAATTACAAACCTCCTTTTGCAGGAAGGTAATATAATTCCGCTACAGTTATTAGCACTAAATGCGAGAAAAGATGGACTCAAAGAAATAAAGAGTTAATAATTTCCACAAAATCAGTTTCATGTTTCCAAGATGAATAATTGACAAACGAGGGCAACGCTACAAAAGCAACACATAAGGCTGTATAAAGTGACTGGGTTCATGATTAACCCTCTTTTTCTATGTTACTGTGTCCGGGATAAGAAATAGCACATCTCACCATCCATGCACTGCCAATTATCCTCAAAAAATGACGATGCACCATCTCAAAGCATGTCTAAAATTGGTGCACTACCAGACATTAAATAAAAGCTTTTTTTTTTCCCCTCTTCTTCTTAATATAACAGCTTTAAAATACTGCAGCTGATACCTCTGCAGCATAAAAATAAACTGTTACCTGGTATTTGTCTGACATGGTATCGCAGTCTTTAACCAAACCATTTTTTCAGTTAATGAGTCAGAAAATCTTACAGATCCTACAACAAATCTAATTGTCCCACAATTAAAAGCTAAAGTAAATACGGCTGAACATGTTTACTATTTGAAGTAATAATATAGTAAATCGGCTCAAGATGCTTTATTATACAGCAGTACCAAGGTTTTCAATAAAAGTACACTCAAGGCCAGAAGGCACAAAATCATACGACTTAAAACTGATGTAAATGAGAATAAAAGAAGTGCCAACAGAAATGCCAGAGCAAGCTACAAATAACTTTGCGCCCACGCCCACCCGCACCCCCAACAAAAAAAACATATAACTAACCTTTGTGTGCCTTAAGCGAGTGAAATATTGACGCCCCTGGGGAGCAGAGTTCCTACAGGGAAAGAGATAATAGACATTACCATAATGTAACCCATAACGGAGAAGAGGTAAATACACTATCAAATGTGAGGGTTGCATTTATTTTCTTTATTGACCACAATTCAAGAAGAAGAGAGAACGAAGCAAACTAATGGATCAGAACCAAGTAAAACACTACACAAAAAAGAAATCTAATAACTGGTATAAGAACAACACAGTAAGTCCAGATATCAAAGGAAAGGATACTGAAACTGGAATACGAATATACCACTCATAAATTAATGCTCTGGTCCATGACTTAAATACAGAATGATATAGAGGTTGGCATCCGATCGTCCATATCCAACAGAAACTTAAAACAAGAACATTGTCACCTCAGTAGTCTCTCCTCTCATGAATCACAACAATTTACCAAACTGAATGATTTGCAACTATACTCAGAAGACAGGACGAATTGACAAATAACATGATCATTCCAAATTGGGAACAACATAAAAAAAAAAAGCATAGCATTCCAAATGTTCAATGCAGGGAACAACTAATTTGGGTCAATAGATTAACTAAAGAGAAAACCACTGTTGCCAATGACAGAAAATTTAGCACAATTCAAACTCAAAACTACCCCCACCACCAGGCAGAAAATGCATTGAAGGTACGAATAGTTATAATGATACTGGCAGCAAAGGGGAAAAACTAGACTATCCCATTATTTGAGGAAAAGATCAGCAACAACTATGAAAAAGTTTTTTTTTTTTTTTTTAAAAAAGTCTTTTAAGCAGAAAAGTACAATAACTGCAACATGAAAATAAAACCTTTGGCCAAAAAATTCTAGCTTACACAGAAAGATGTGGAGAACGAGCGGGACGAATTCTATCCTTTTGATAGCCACTTGACAGGGGTTTTTCATCAATATTTAAGGAAGCATGCCCCGGAGATCGAAAAGGTACATCCCTTAAAGAAAGCCTTCTCTTCTTTCTACCATTGGGAGTTGATTGCTTATCAGACTGCATTTTATGTCTATTACAGCGGTTTAATGTAGATAACTCCTTGTCAAACGCATTTGCTGTGGTTGAACCTGTCTGGTAGAGAAATGAATAACAGGTCAGGTAATTGTAATTTGTGGGTTGGGGACAGGGGGGACATCACATGAAAAAAACAGAATTATCCCTAAATAAAGCAATCATAAACTGAGCGATGTACAGAAATTTTTTTGGCTTCCAAAGAGGCGAACCAAAAATTATTTATGGCATCAGGGTGCACAGATAGATGTGTCCATTAACTTTGGAACCAATAAATTCCCAAGACTAAAACGAGAAACCAAAACCCGAGGAAAGGAAAACAAGAAAACAGTCGGAGAACATAAAACCTAAAAAAAAAGGCACAAGACTTTTGTGTTTCCAACCTTAACTGACCCTCACGGCTGAGGCACTCAATGAATACAATGGCCAGTACACTTGTGACGGCTCCTGCCCTAGTCGCCAGGAGATAGAAAAATGGTAGGATTTGTAGAGACGATTAAGGTAAAGTTCTATTTATGTGATAAGAAATTTGACCCAACCTCCACAAAAATAAGATTTCCAAAATCTTCCATTTACTCTTTTCTAATTACGCAAAAACTACGGTTATAAACCAGAGTTTCTTTTTCCAACTTTGACCAACCCAAGGTTATTAAATATTAATAGATCTCTATAGCTGGATACCAAATATATCAACTAAAACGTTTATCAAATCGCACATGGTGCGACATTGAACCTTTTGAAATAATTCTCTAATTCATTAGTTAATGGTTTCTACATTTGTGTTTCATGGTCCAATACACCATTACAGAAGACCCTGGCTTCTATCCTTGCAATAAAAGACAGCTCCATTCATCCCACATTTTCAAGATACTGGCACTGATAATTAAAAGGCCAATTAGAAACACATATGGTAATCAGCAAGAACTTTTGAAGGGTAGAAACCGTACTTTCCCATCCAAGTGGTTGCAGAAGAGCGAGCCAAATCTAGACTGAGCAGGTGACACAGCTGAAGATGCTCGATTCAGGACACCATGAGATAGACCTGTGCAGAACAAGGAAAAAAAACTGTCTGAATCCCATCCAAAGCTGACACAAAAGATTAAATGATTGTGGATATTAAGCAAAAGTCACGTATTAAGCAATAAAAAGTAGAATAAAAGCAATTCCTCCCTCTAAAATTAGCAGCAGTAGCGGAAACAACAGCCCACCCCCTCAGCTCGAAAGGAAAAATAAAAGATAAGATACTGTGATTGTTGCAGAGACTTGAGAATATATGCCTGACCACACAAACATACATTGGAAAATGTAGAGCGATACATCCTTTTGTACTGAATAACCTAAGTGAGGGAAATCAATCATAGCATCTTTCTTTTAGTTGTGTAATATCTCTGAATTGGGTAAAATGTATATTCATTGTACAAAACGTGACCTTCATTCCTAGTAAAAGGTAACCAAATGCACGATACTTGTGAATCGTAGAAAGTAAAAGCTTCGCAGTCACCACAACTCTCAAAAAAAAGAAAGAAAAGAGAAAGAAAAGAGAAAAAAAACCTTACCATCTGCATTTCCATTCTGATTCTGTAGATGAAGGGGCTTCGTCAATCCATCATCAACATTCTGTCAAGTAAATAACCCCAAAATAAGGTCCAAAAGATATTTATGCGCTCAAGAAAGCTAAAAAACTTCCACTTAATCGACATTCCAAATCAGCAGTACCCAGTTTTGAACTAATTGAATTTTATAAAGCTCTAATCATCAATCAGCTGTAACCTTACTACCCTCCCTTGAACATGCATTCTTCCAAAACCCCCAACCAAAATAGATTACATAAATACATCCAACTCAAACAGATATGCACAGATATTTTCCTTACAGAACTTACACTAAAGGTAGAAAAAAAAAAGACGCAAAATTGAACCTTTAACCGTCGTCGCTTCAGTTCGTTCTCATACTTCTTAATACTGATTTCTAATTTCTCGCCACCATCCTTCAGTTTTGGAAAGAGTCCCGATTTATACTTCTTCGTCCTCTCCAAAAAATCGATAAGTTTGTCATCCGTCAAGTTCTGCAACTCACTCGACGCAGTCTGCTCGTCCATGAGTGATGATCGCTGCGACTTGGAGATAACAACCGGCGGTTGTGGCTCACCGTCGTCGTCGCCGTCGACCAGCTTTGCCAAGTCTAGGTCACTTAGCATTAGCCCCTTTCTGTTGCACCCGTCTTCACCCATGCATCCGTAATCAGGAACGACTATACATACACGGATGGGGTGTATGTATAGGTTGAGCGTGATTATGTCAATATGCTTCTCCGTTACGGCGAATTCCCTCTTTCCTTTTTCTTACTTACTGTGAACGGAGGAATATCGGTGGACTGTTAAGTATGAGTGGGAAACATGAAATTTCTATTCATTCCCCTTCTCGGTGGAGACCTTGAGAGTTGCGAAAAACCATGGGTGGAAATTGGAAAGGAATTGGGTCTAATTTTCGGTGTTGTCTATTTTGATTGGAATTAATAATACAGGTCCGGAGCCTGGACATTCTAATGAGCTGCATATCCAATTACCGATCAAAAAATTGATAATAATTCTGTAATTAATATATTACTACTACTATTAATTAGGGAAAACCAAAGAAAAAACTACAGACTTTTGATGTTATACTACTGTTCTACTCATTCTTTATACTGTTGTATATAAATCCTCATAATACCAAAATTGATGCGGATTAGGGATTGAAGTAAAAAGGAAATGTGAATAAAAACTAGCTTAGGCTGAATTTGATGCTTTGCAGTGTGACGACATCAGTTCTCTTAAGAAAACAACGTTACAGAAAAAACAGTCAGGCTGTGTGCGCTTGATGAGGCTGTTTTCCTGTATTCGTCATTCAAATCTCTTTCATCTTTTATGAACTAAAGGATAATTCAGATGCCAGTGCAGTGCAGTACAAACAGCCACATTTGCCAACATTTGCAGCACAAAGAATGAAACTTTCGTACAAAGGCACCATAAAGTGTTACCGACTATCAATACAATTGAGGCACATCCGTCTAAGGTTTGTATAAGAATCGGATGGCTTTCTGCTCGGACTAGAACTAGACATTCCTAAAAAAGGTATCAATTCTCATAATAAACAAAACTGTGCCTTACCCCCCAAAAAAAAAACAATAAAATCATGCCCTAGTCCTCAAAGCAAGGCCGGTTTCGACTTTTTTAATCTCAAAGATAAGCATCCTCCACATCTTTAGCACAAACATCTCAGCTTCATCATCCAAGATACCCTGCAGCCTATCCAGCATCTCAGCTGCTGCTACATGTTCCCTGGTGCTGGACATAATGTAGTCTACCAAAGAGGGTTCTTCCTCTCCCAAAAATTCTGTTATCTTCTTAGAGATCCAAGGTTTCATCCGCTCGTCCAACGCATTCTGTCAAAGAGAAAACCAGGTCATACAAAAATTTAAAGAAGCATGGTGCTTTAATGTTTTCAATGTTTTTCACTTTTTCGAGGCAGAATCTGGCAGATGATGACACAAACTAAAGAACCAAGTTGACAGAACCTCCGGCAGCTCTTACTTAAATTTATGAAATGAATATGGGCAATGAAAGTTCCGCCACAGAAAGGATAAGCTATCGTAGGTCAACAGGCACAAAGACAACCAATGAAGTTTTAACTCTAAACATTCAACATGGACTTAAGAATTAAAAGGGGTCCCATAAAGTTTATGCAATTCATTGAGCAAGCTGAACCTACAACTTAAACACATCAACGAGTGGCTTACCTGATCATATGTTGCCCAGTTAATCGCGTATGAAAATAACTCATCTTTGGTCTTTGGAATCATATCAATCAACTGTTTTGCATCCAGAAGTTTCTGATTATCATTTGTCTTTACTTTATCAACTCCTGAGTCTCGAGGCCTGTCATGGTCTAAACTCTCTTTCCTGCTCTCAACTCTGTTACGTGTTACCTCATCACTACTTCTTTCTCTATCACGCAGGCCAGATCGATCATTCAACCTCCTACTACTTCTATCCTTATCCTTGTCAGCTCTGTCATCTTTTTGAGTAGAACTTGATACACGTCTCGCAAGTTCTGTATCAACCATTGCCTCAGACGTTGAAGGCTGGATAGCTAGCTGTTCCTCGGTTGAGTAATCAATAGGAACCAGAGGCCTCATCTTCTTCAGCTTCTGCATATCCTCATCCTCATCTTGGTTAAACACAGAAGGTACTGAGGCTTTCTTTCCGGATCCCTGCAGCCCAAAACCCAATTTTTTGGCTGGTACACTACTGTTTTGCCGGCCATCGGTGGCAGAAAGAGAGGCATTCATGATCTCATCACCACTACCATTTTGAATGTCCCCAGCACCTGCACCCAAATTACATCTAGAAGCCTGCTCATCGACATCCATGTCATTGCTTCTGAGATTATTTTCTTCAGGGAGAACGTTTCCATTAGGCCGACTGCCTGATAACAATTTTAATTCCTCCTGTTGTTTCCTCTTTTGCTCTTCCTCTGCCCTCCTCCTTTCAGCCTCAGCAGCAACCTCCTCCTCTTCTTTTACTCTGTCAGCCAAGTCTTCATCCTTCTCCCTTTGTATCCTCCTCCTTTCTTCGTCACTACTCCTATATTTCCTCTTTTTGCTATAACCACCATCAGTCTCACGCTCATGTGCTAATATTTCCTCCCTGCGCGCCTTTGCTCTTTCCTTCTCCCTCTCTTTCTCTCGCTGCCGCCAGTGCTCTTTCTCTTTTTCTCTGGATTCCCACTCCTTTTCCCGTGCCTTAAACCTACGCTCATCATCGCGTAGCCTATATTCTCTTTCTTTCTCTCGCTTGGCCCGTTCCTGCTCACGTTCTCTTTCATACCTTTCCAATTCCCTTTCCTTTTCTCGCTTCATATCTCGCTCACGGTCTCTGCCTTTCCTGTCAAGCCTCCTGTCACGATCAGGGGAGCTTGTTTCTGACCTGTCCTGTTCACCTGAGGGTTTACTTTCACTGTTCGTCTCATTTGCATGTGCAGGTTCTGACAAATGTGCACGGTGTCAAACACAACTTTATGTATGCAAATTTAAAGTTTACTTGAATATAATAACAAAACTACCTTTTCCATCAATATCCATCTCCCCATCTCTCGGCTTAGCAGGACCTTCCAAGTTTGAAGATCCAGGAGCAGAAGGATGAGGAGGTGGAGGAGGTAATGGTTTATTCTTCAACCTCTCCTCCATCATCTCTGTAAGCTTCTCCAAAGCCTCTTTGTCAGCTTGTCGATCTTCATCATTTACAACGCCAAAGCTGGAAGCATCACTATTCTCTTTATCCGTGGTTTCATTTCCATCTTTTGCAGATTCTTCCGTCACGGGCTTTGGCAATTCCACAGATGCAGTCTCAATCTTTTTATCACCAGATCCACCTACTTCATCCATCTTATTATTCTCAGTTTCAGTTTCAGCTCCAACTTCTTTGTTCTTCAAGCCTTCCTTTTTCTTTTCAACAAATTGCTCTAAATATTCTTGAGTTGCTTGATTAACTTTCAGCTGAGAGAGCAAGAAATTTAGAAAACCAGATAAATATGCCATACACTAAATGCATAATTGAATTTATCCAAGAAAGTAAAACTATTCCAAGGTTAGGGATTAACAAAATGGGAAGAAAGAGTTTCTTAAAAGGCAATTAACATAAGTTCATGTGTTGGGTTTCATCTTATAGCCCACTCCGTTCAAATGGATTTACATTTTTCCATAAAAATCCATTTTCCCATAAAGCATTAAACAAAAAGAGATAGTCTTACCATTAACTCTTGTCCATCAATATTTAATTTACAGAGTAGCCGTAGCGCACGAAGTACCCCTTCAGCAGAATCAAACTCACAAAACCCAAAACCTTTGAAGGTTCCATCTGTTGGATTCTGAGGACGTTTCCAACTCTTGACAGGCCCACAAAGCTAGAAACATTAAAAACATGTCAGAAGTTCATTCAATGAGCAGAAGGAAAACTATGGATCCACTAGTCATAGGTTCTCTATATTTAATCTAAAATTGGGGCAGTTCAACTCATATAACTTAACTTACTTGCAAGAGAGCGAGTATGAAATCATTTTCCACTGATGGTGCTATTTTTCCAACATAAACTGTCGTCTGTTTCTCAGGCGCTGCAACATTCGGGACTGGTGGGCGAACAACAGGAGGAACTATTGGAGGACGCAGCCCAAGAATTGGAGGGCGTGGCAGCGGAGGAATGACACCACCATGAACAACTGGTCGCGAAGGATATGCCGGTCGAATCATAGGGGAATATGGAGTAGGATAACGCAAAATCCCTGCACCAATCATCAAAACATCTATGCAAATTGATTAGAAACGGAGCGTGGTCAATATAAATATTAAAGTTCATACCTAGAATCAGAGACAGGAATAAAAAGAATTTACAAGTATAATCAAATGCTGTTACCAAACAGTACAAGCAATAAGAGGGCAGCACAGGCATGACAACACTCACCAGCTGAACAGATTACCTGAAGGAAAAATCAACGCAAAGGCATTGAATTTACAAAATATAAATGTATAAGCTGTGCTTGCCTTATGCTTCCACAAGTAAACAGAAGCCTTCCCAAACTATTCCAAGCAGCAATAGTCACAGATTTGAATCGAGTAAGATAAGACTTCTTGCATCTCATTGACACCAAAGCAATAGATGAAAAAACTGAATCTTATGATTCACCGATCTTAAGTATAACAATCATTATTAACCTTGTAGAAACCAGACTAAATATTACAAAAAGAAAGCCAAATCATGTAAATGGAGAGATTGCGATACCTTGGTATCCAAAGGCAAGTAGCATTCAGTTGTTAACATGGTCTGCTGGCGGGAATTCATGAATCAAATCCCATGAAAAGAAACACAGTATCCTCACATCTAAAAATGTTTATATAGCCTAGCAGAGCAAAGAGAGCAATAAACCAGACATTATTCAACATAACACGCATTGGTTACATCACATTCTTCCCGTTCGTTTGAAATAGAGGAAACATTCTTCTTCAACAAAATCTGTTAACTGAAGCCTAAGAAATAAATATCGGAAAAAAAAACAAGCAAAATGCAACCGTACCAAAAGAAGTAGATGGAGATTGGGGTAGTCAACACTCTCTAAAGAACTGGAATTGAAGCCTTCACCCTTTCCCACCATGAAATCAATCAATACACTGTAGGAGAAAACATCCTGTCATCGATTACCCTTTATCCAACTAACACCAATCCCACCCCTTAGTCTTCTCACTTACTGAAAATCCAATTCTCATAAAAAACTACACTTTCAAGCATAACAAGAAAGATGAACGAAACTATTCATAAATATTAGCAGAGAAAAAAACTCAAGCTAAACCAATAACATAATTACATAACAAGACAAGTGGGTGCCTTTATCACTCTTTTCTGCTCCTTAATACCTTACACTTCCTTTTGACCCAAAGCAAACTCCCATCTCTCTAATTTTATTTCTGTTTCTAAGTTTTGTGTGTACCAACACCTGTACCTTCACACTAGAACAAAACAGAAGCATACCCGGAGTAACATGATTAAGAATTTCTTCAGAACAAAAAATATGATGCAACTTGCACCTAATTAACATGAACATTGAAAAACGCCCGAAGGGTATAAGCATAGAAAAAACAGAACAAAATTTGTGTAAGGTCTAATAATTCATCACAAGAAAGTAAGTAGTAAACTATGCATTCAGAAAGGGACCCACCGGGAGGAGGAACGGAGCCCGGAGGAGCTGTCTGGGGCATTGGATAGCCATTGGGCATAGGCGCAAATGGAGCCCTAATAGGCTGGCCGGGCTGAGCATACGGCAACGTCTGAACGACAGGCGAAACTGAAGACCCCAAAGGAACTTGCCCAGCCACGCTCACATTAGGCGGTGGCGGAGGCAACACAACACCCGGCGGCGGGACACTTAAGGGACCCGAAGCCGGAGGCAGGTAACTCATCGGCTGGGGCAAACTAGGGTTCGGAGGAAGCGCTGAGAACTGCACAACGGTCTGCGTTGCAGGGCGAAAGGAAGGAACAACGGCGCCGCCAGCGTAGGTGGGAATGGACGGCGGCGCAAGGAGCGGAGCCGGTTGTGGAGGTACAATTGAGGTTGGATTGGTAAGGTTTGGAGGTGGAGTGGATGATTGTTGAGGTAGTGATGATGATGGATCGGGATGGGGTTCCTTATTTTCGGGTTCGGATTGAATCGAATTGGGCTCTCCCATTGTTGTGGTTGTAGAGGTTTTAGATGGAGTCGAAGGCGATTGTTCCGCCATCAAAATTCCGGCTAGAAGATCCGATGGGTTTTATATAAAGCTCCTTCTTCAGTTTGAAGGGCGAAATTTTCTTCGCCGGAGTTCTTTATCTTTGCTATTTGAGCCCTAAGAATTAAAAGGTGCAGCTATACATAAGTTTGCTGCAAACGTCTCTCTCTATATATATATACGGATGCAAAATACTAATAGTGGCAGGCCGCAATGTATTTTTTGGCAGGAGAGGATTTAGTTGGTACTTAGTAGTCTTAATTAACCAAGAGGACCAAATTGCTGACTTTTTATCCATAATAATTTTTTTTATAATTGGCCGGATTTTATTATTCTTACCGAATTGAAAGATGTCACAAATAATGTGTTTGGCCTGATTTTTTTTATTCAACAACCAGATCAAAAGATTTTAATGCAAAAAAGTTCAAACCAAATAGTAGGAAGAAAGGCACATTTTTAAACCACAAAAAGCAGAGGCCACCGAACTCCTTCCACTGAAAATTTTAGGAGGAGAGTTTTCGGAGGAGTGTGAGTATCCAATTACTTAAACTTACAAAGGACTAAACAGCAGTTACAGGATCTCACATATGTACACACACTACACCTATTCAACATTCCTCTTTATGTACATTACATCTAATTTCTGTTCCTAGGCTATGCTCCACTCTTCTTTAAGCTCTCTCGTTTTATATTTGATCCTGTTTCTCTACTTTTGTTCTTTACTATGGCTACAATGCACCTCGTTCAGGGGCAGCAAAATAATACACTTCTAAGGAAGCAATGCCATGTTCCAAGCCAGATTCCCAGATAAAAACAAGTATCTTTTACCCCCCCGAAAGCACAGACAAGGAGAACAGAGGCTGTGTGGTTCCTTCCAACCTCCATTTCATAATTCAGTACCCTAATAACTGCAGACAGCAGGCCTGTAAATAATTGCAGTAGATGGACAAGGTACTCAGAAGTTACAAGGAGAGCTCTTCCTGCTTCCTGACGTAACACCAAGACAGGTGTGAATACGTCTTCCTGCTACCCATACAATCAGCAAGATTTACACCCCGACAAAAATGAAGCAACACGCTATGAATCAGCCCTCCAGGTCTCTCTTCCGCTTGCTTGCTCTGGTCCTTGGTTTTGAATTCTCACCGGAATCTGACTCAGGTGTCTTTTGTGCAAGTTGCGTGTTATGCTTCGAGTTATCGGCTGGGACTGATTTTATTTGAGCTTCTTTTTCGGATTTGCAATCAGGAGTAGACATTTCTGTGGTATCATCAGCCGGAGATTTCTCATACAAGATGGCAGAATCCAAGGTGTATATGCGAAGAGAAAGGGCAGAGAGGGTAGAGATATTAGCTGCAGCTGAAGGAGATGACCAGTACCACCAGTCATTCTTCAAGTAATTGGCTTTTAATGCATCCTCAAATATGATTGTTGCTTGGACCATCTGAAAAATAAAGAATAATCCTCAGAACCAAAAGGCTGATAGTGAAAACAAAGATGCTATGATGTCTGAGATCTATGTAAAATGCTAGCAATTTTCAGGATATGTTCACAAACAATGTTCATCAATTGTTTCACTGCTACGAAACCAAAGCAACCTTTAAAGAAAACAAAGCCCACAAAAAACGAATGTACGATCCCAAATCATTTTAACGATGGCTAGTAGCATTGTAAAACTACAAAACTGAGTTTTAGCCATCCAGATATATGCTCCTCATTTTTTTTGAATCTGGGCTCCAACAATATTTACTATCTAATGACAGATGTCAGACGCGCTGATAATGGTGATACCCATAACATATAGGTGTAATTTATAGCGTGCACCCAGATTCAGGAGCTCGCTTCCACTTTTCGACAAAGCTCTTTCATTAAAAATATATTGTATCTAAAGCTCTGGTTAAACTAAAATTTAAATGCTTAACGTTAACTCACACAGACACATCCTATTGAACCTACGTATATCAGATCAATACAATAAATGCTGGATACAAACACAGCATCCACAGAATCCAGAAGATATTGTGATTTGTGACTACAAGCATAGGTCATGATCTTCAAGATAAACATGTGTTGCCTACACCACAAAAACTGATTTACTGGCACAAAAATTGGTGAAGAGGGAAGTGTTACTAACCTCATAGATAGTATTCGCAGATTTTACAAAAGCCCTCCAGGCACATCGCCGATCTGAACTTGATCTTGATGGTTTCAGAGAAGCTTCAGGAAGAGCAGCATCCATATCAAGCAAGTTGATCTTCAGGCACCGAAGAATTTCATAAGCTTTACCTACTTTGGGCACTAATGCTGATTTGCGAACGATAGAACTCTTAATTACAGCAAAAGGAAATTGAAACCATTTCTTCGATGACGCGGGTTTCACAAACTCAGATTTTGCTGCGTCTTGTACCTTATCGATCCTACTATTCTTAGCACATGCTGATATGCCATTATTTTTACCTACACTGTCACGAACTCCATGCTCGGATTGTCGTCGCTGGCTTTCTAGATTCGAAGGCACATCTCCAATGGTTTCCACATTATTCGCAGACCGAGACAAGGACAGCAACGGGTCATCATGATAAGATCTGCTAGGCACAAAAGATACTACACCATTAGAACCAATTAAGCCTACTTCCTTCACGAGCTCCTTAAGTGATGTTTCCAGTTTAAATCTGGAAAGAATTTCCTGAAAGTTGAATGGGCAATCTGGTTCAAGTGGACGATCAAAGCAGCTAAACCCATTGTCTTGCTTCTCACTCATAGAAGTAAGAACAGCACCACTACTAGTACATTTTTCTGCCGGTTTTTCAGATCTATACATCTTTTTGTGCATTGAATCTTCATTTTTCTGGATACTTGGACAAATAGCAGAAGTTGGCTTGCACTTTCCATCAGCGTGCTGTGCTAATTCTTCATCAGTAGGAAAACTACTGTGACAGGACAAGCAATGAAAGCAAGAAGCCCACAACATTTCAAGGCACTCACACCGACGCATTTCACCCTGGCGAGGGACTTCAATTTTAAGATTCTTGTTGATGTCATTTGCCCATATGTCAAAGCAAGGACCAAATTTTTTTTCCAAAGACCTCACGGCCTTTGTGACCAAAAGATTATAATCTCCTGCATTCCCCTCCATAGAGTTACTACTGGAAATTTGTTTTCCAGTAATGAGGACATCATTATCAGTATCATAGGCGTCCATGGATTTGTTACATTGCCAGTGTAAAATGCATTCTTTCAATTCTCGATCCCTTGAATCTCCCTCACCTAGCCAATTCACAAGTTCTTCCACTTCAGCTCGAGTACGGTAACATGTCCACAAATTGAAATTGAGAAAAAGCTTATCTGGTTCAAAAACATCTTCCGTATTTGAAGACCCATTGACCAGTATCCAGGGACAAGAACCAGGCCTTGCATAAATCCAGTACACCCTCCCATCTGTATCCCTTCCCAAACATTCCTTCCGTACAGCTAACTGAAGGAGTTCTGACTCAAGCTTATCTATAGAGTCTTGTAAAAGAGTTATTTCGCTCTTAAGGTAGCTCAGTTCCTCATTGCACTCTTGAGGTGAACTTCCATTGACTTGGGTGGAATTCTGTAGACACTGAGAAGCGGATAGGTGGTCAACTGAATGCTGATCGGCCAGGTCAGAGGATATTTGTCCTGACATACATGGCAAAGATGCACTCGAATCACCACCTACAGATAAATCAACACTACTCTGATCCTTCTCATACTTGTGTTGCGAATCAGATTCTAATAACTCATTCTTGCACCTGGATCCTTCAGTATGTCTTGATTGGATGCCATCCTTGCCAGACGGAACACTCATGTTGTTGGTACTGGAGCTCTCGGAAACCAGCACTTTCCCTATGCTTGCATGTCGACCGTCCTCCATCTGATTCAAATAGACAGGGGAAGGTGGCATTGCCTTGCTGACATCAGAGATGTTAGACTTCAACTTGGGATCGTCAGAGGCCAGGGAAGCCAACTCTCCCCCACCAATTTGCACAGGGCCCTTCGTTTTTGCAATGTTTAGAGCCAAGCTTTCTTCCTTGAATTTCAAAAGCTTCCGTTCAGAGTTGAGTGAACGTAATTTCTGCTGCATATCAGCAAACTTTATGCTACATTGGCCTATATGGTCTCGAAGAACAGCTGAATTCAAGGCCTCATCGCAGAGGAACTTCATGAGGAAAACTCTCTGTAACAAGGAGAGAAAGCTACTTAGTTCAAAAAATAACACAAGTAATGATGGATTAACCTCAAAAAAATGGCAATAGTAAACTACACTGGAAAATGATAACATAAAACAGCTACCAGTAATGTTTTCCTGAGTTCAGCATGCACAAACCAACTGAAACATCATAGGCTAAATAAAGACCACAAAAACAAGAATAGAAAATGGTAAGAACACACTTTTGCAACAAGAAAAAGGTGGAAAATGAGATTAACAGCACACACACACTGATTTTGGCTTTCCAAAATGGGACAATTCTTAGGTGCTCTTCCTATTGTCCAATTTACATTTATTTTCATCATAAGAGAAATAATGATGCATATGAGCTCAAATCAACCTCCATCAGAAACTACAACGTAATTCAAATTTAAAGCAGCAGACAAGATATTACGCCAATTAGTTAACACAAATAATGAGAATACATTCAACAAAAGGATAATTATATAACTTATATCCATGAAATCATTGTTCAAAACATAATTAATCATAAGTTGCAACCATTCATAAAAAATAAAATGAAAGCCAAAGTAATAGTAAAATACAGCAGGAAGAGTGACAATCATGAGAATGGAACAAGTTATATATACACAGACAACAAAAACAGAGGCCTGACCTCCTCAACACGAAGATCCCAATATTCACTTGATTCCATTGCGTTTCCCAGTTGAGCCAGCATCTCCATATTCTTGTGTAAGTATTTCCTCTGACGCCTTCCTTTCCAGTATCGCTTAACCACTTGAGAGCCATAAGGTGCACCCTGGGACATGGGCTGACCAGCAACACACGATGGGCAATACCAGTTTCCTTCAGGAATTCTTATCAGTGGAGGATTCAAGCAGTAAGTATGATACTCCGAATCACAGGTATCACATAGTAAAACGTTGTCATCATCTTTATCCATGCCACATACTTTGCAAATGCCCTCCTCCCAAGAAGCTTTCGGAATTAAGCTCTCACTTACACGAGCAAATATATCTTCTCTCTCTTTTTCAAATTCAGAGCTAGCATCAGGAGGTAACATGATTTTATGAACAAAGCTGACAACCTGAAGTTAGAGGAAAAAACCTATCTCAAATACAAGAATCAAAATAATCAAAAACAGGTCTAAAATAGAATATTGTATAGATGCAGATTGTTAACTCTGTTTATTTCCTTTTTCATAGTTTTTCCGTAATTTTTTAATCATAACATATGGCCTTCCCAATACACCCTTTTACATTTCCAAAACAGGAAAACACACGTACGGGCACACACACACGAGAACACAAGCTGAAAAAACGACATAAACAGAGTACTGCTGTGGGAACCAAGTTGAACGCAAGAGTGTCTACAACAGAGGTCGGGACTTTGATCCTCATTGGCTGCACAACAAACAAGAGAGAACCCCCGGGCCTCTCTTCTGGGTGAAAGAGTACAGGTGTAGGAACCAAGTTTGATTGGTGAGAGTAGTTAGTTGTCTAAGGTAGATATCAGGACTTTAACCCTCACTGGCTGCACTTATGCACCAAAAGCCGACCTGCCCAGAGAAAGAAACCAGAAACAAGACCCCCTTCTCCAAACACACAAAAGGATGAACTACGACATACTTGTTCAAGATGGCACATTAGTTCCTAACTGAATCAGACAAGAGTGCAAGGTCAAACTTCAGAGCCAGAAGAAGTCCATCGACAGAGGTTTAGCATTGGAACTTAAATAGAACTAAGGTAAAGATGCAGCCTACCTCTTTTTCATAGAGAACTTCGAATTGCTCGGAAAGAGTTTCAGCCAAATCAACAAAATCACTTTGCTCTTTATATGCAACACGTATGTTGTGCCAAACCTGCCAATACAACAATCTCCAATGAACAAAAATGACTACTAACACAAAGAAACATTCAGATACTCAAAATGAGAAAATGGCAGTCTTGGACAAATTAAGATCTCACACACTCAGGTTAACAAGTCTTGGACAAGTTAAGAGTCCTCTGCCACAAAAATTTAATCACAATAAAATCTTTGAGTTCCAGGGTTTCAGAAGTAGCCTTGTTTACTTTAAATTACCATCAAAGGAAATAGCAGGCTTCTGAAAGTAAACTTTTCAATTACACAAACTGTTTGCAACCACAAAGCTTTTAACGAGTGTGACAATCATTAAAGAAATGAATAATACCTCCCGGACGTCATCAATGAAAGCTTCATGTGATCCCCCATAGGCACCGGCAGCCAACCTCAAATCAATTGTCCTAAAATCCAAAGGACGAGAGACCATTGCGGGATAACCAAGAAGTCCCTCATCATCATTATCGTCAGGATTCAAATATGTTCTTCCTAGCAGGTTACAAAAGACTCTATCTTCATCTGCTGCTGCTGCTCGCCGGAGTACTATCTGACATTGTTTTGTTATAAGATCAGGAACAGAATAAACAATCTTTGGCTTCTCTTGTTTTTCAGGTTTTGGCTGCGGTTTCTCGCGATTCAAATCTTCTAGAACTGATATTACTGCTCTCTGTACATGTTAAAAGTACACCGATGATAAGTCCAGCACACACACAAACAAAATGTAATAGAAAAGACACATCACATTCTGATAATGACCAATATAACGACGATAGTAAACAAGACAAAAGAAGAATGAACTGTCTTCTTGAGAGAAAATATGAAATGCACAAAAATAACACAAATCAAACCAGAAGGAAAAATTAGTAACATAAATAAATAAAACACCTTTGTTGGCCCTGATGCATTTCCCTTGTACACTTCCTTACTGATAGAATGCTCCAAAACCTTTCTTGCCCACTCAGGTGGATCATTAGCCAGAGCTTCATTCACACACTTCCTAATCCGGGCTCCAACATTTGTCGGAAGCTTTCTTACAGGTTCCAACAGTTGTGCCCAATGAGGAACTTCACCATTATTCATCTCATTTTTTTCTGTAATATCCATTGCAACAACATCACTTGCATTGATGCTTCCTGATTCACTATTATTATTCGGTGAACCAAAAATTTGCTTTGTTGCCTCTGCAAGAAGCTGAATACCACATAAATCCAATTTCTCTTAGTAAACATGCTAAAAGATAACTCCAAATCATGAAATTACATTAATGAAAAGTAGCCCATGAAAAGACAACTATATTTCACAAAAGGAAAATGAAAAACCAGCTAATAAGCAGGATAAGATAAGACAGGAACCGCTTCCACTTATCCTCTCTAGGGTTAAATATGGCCAATGTCAAAACCTATATCTTTGTCTCAAAATCATAGAATCACTAAAGCAAATAATGGTATTTTAAGAAGCAACATATGGAGCAGATAAACAGTTCACCAGTACTTACTGTAAGCAAGATCTAACCTGACAAAGAGCCTGGGCAATTTTTTAATCAGAAGCAAAAACCCCTGATAGCACCGTTCTAATGCATTATATAATTCTCAACAATGGAACACCTCTACTTTACAAAGGAACACATAAGAAATGCATTAAAATGGGAAATGATCCTAGCCTGTGGTACAAGGCCCCAGTTGAACCATTTGAGGTTCTGAGATCAAATCCATCTGGGGTGGGGTGACGTTTATGGGTTTGGAGAAAAGAAAAGGGAATGTACTGAGACTCGCCGTACAGCAATTGACCACACCAACATATAAAATGCAGAAAGCATGTCCAATCACAAAAGACATTGAAACTGTAACATTACCAACCAAAAAAAACTAAGTTAATAAACATATACTCAAACAAATTATCAAATATTTCTTGAACAAGTTTATAAAATTAATTCCAGATGCCAACAATATCGAAATCATTCTTACTAATGCATCTGCCTCCAGTGCCGCCACTCCAGTCAGAGAGCCACAAACAGTCCCACCATCACCCCGCAAGCAATGGAAAACTCTACCACTCTCACGGCAAGCTATCTCTGCTGACTCAAGATTACCATCCATTGACAAAACAGATAAAATGTATCTCCGAGCAATTTCAGGCCAAGTTAGATCATTGATAGGAATCATATCAAGCTTCATCTTCTTGGCAATAGCTGAGTACTCAGCATCTTTTTTTCTCCCTCGTCTGGATTTGGATTCCCCGGCATCAAAATTGGGATCCACATATCCTGCAACTTTCGAAAGCAGCTCTCCAACTAAAACTTTTAGCAATGAACTATGAGTCTTAGCCAAAACTACACCAGTACATCTACAACTACATGATCTACTATCAGATACATCTCTATCTATTCCAAAGAAGACATCTCTAGAATCATGAATCTGCTTTCTAGACTTTCCAAGCAAACTTGAGCCATCTAACCATGGATCTAGTAGCTCATCTTCAAGTTTCTCAAAAGAAACAGCTTCTTGCAGCCCCAGAACTTCAGAAAAACGCCACGAGAATTCCCAAGCCTAGATTCCAGATAAAGATTAGTCCCAAGCAATAGAAATACAAATATTCAAATAATATTGAGTATTCCATTTTACCTGCAAGGTGTCACCGATCAAATAACTAGGAAGTTTTGAGCTAAATGCCCTACCAACCGGAAACGGCACTCTTGATGTGGAGTACCTGCGCTCTTTGGGTCCTTTAAAATTTCTAAAGTAGACATCAGCCGCCATCCGAGAATAGTTATTATTCCTCCTTTTTGCCTGAAGGAACCCATTTTTGACAGTTTGTTGCCTAGAATGATGCTTGCGTTTACTCAAAAGCTTATATTCTGAACATCCAGAAACACCCGGAAGCTGCTCTATGATCTCCTGCACGAATTCGGCATCAAGTCCAAATCTTTCCTCTTCCAACCATTTTGCCACCAATTGACAGGTGGACTGAAACTCTTTATCACTTTGAACTAAGTGTGGTACATTGATCAGTCCAGCACAAGGGGAAAACTTGGACAGAGAATCCACCTTGCCAAGTCGACTTGCATTTGTTCCACATAAATCATGGTCACAGCCAAACCGAATCACACCTTTTTGTTTATACACTTCACGGCAAGTATGCAAAAATGTTTCAGACACCATTTGCCACACAGACAATGTCGACCTTCCCTCTACCCGAAATTCACCAATATCATCTCTCCGTCCAAGAATATTGGGCGTGAAGTTTCCAGGAAGTTTCGAAAAGGAATCAGATGAAAGAGGATTTTCCTTATGAGAATCAATATCTTCACTTCGCATCTTATTAGAAGAGATATCATCTTCCATGTCTGGTGGACTACTTTCAGCGAGCATCATTAAAATCGAAGCACTTTCCTCATCTATTGTACTCGATGCTGCTGAGTGGGTCCCAGCATCCTCATCCCCATTTAGACCGACCGATTTTGTGTTAGTGAGGACTATTGAGCCAGTCGGCATCGGCTGCATGGTGCAGGGACATCTTCTAACCATAAACACTGGGCCCGAATCGCCCCCATCACTAATATCGAATAGAAAGAGGGAACCAGTAATCTTATCATGCCAGGTAGATCTATAACCTACAGGCCAAATCTGGTGAGCATTGTGGTAAGGTGGGCGTAAATCAACGGCTCCTGCTGAAATAAGATAAAAGTCCTCAAACTGCACAGGGAATCCTTCCTGTTATTACAATAAAATAAGATCTGAGATGAACTTTCTCAAAATAAATGGGACAAATACATAGAAACAGATTACTCCTAAATAAAGGATCAGGAGACTGTTAATCAAAGGTAGATTCACAGTAGTCAACCCCAGAGCTGGTGCTCCAGTTTACCTGGCAAGTATTCAGACTCTCCACATCTAATGTTGAGACCCTCGGGGAGCTGCTCGTCCTCGAAAGATTCTGACGCTGACAGGAGTTATTAGCATTCCTGGGTCCAGATGATTCTTTCCTCTGGCTAGAATAGGATGCATTCTGCACAGCGCCAAAACCATTTTCTGCACTCTCAGATCGCAATGGATGAGAATTTGGCAACCCTAAATGTTGAGCAACATCGGACATAGACTCGAACCTATTTCCATCAGGAGCAATATAAATAGCACAGGTTTTAAGCCTTTTATCACAAAACTCAAACTCCACATTCCAACCATCAGGTAAGACACCCTTTCTTTCAGCAATATACTCACGAAGGCCCTCAAGGTAGATACCAATTGGAATCTGAGAATGACGATCCGTTGGTGTAGTATGAGTGCCCTGGAGTCCTTCAGGAGTAGCCCCTTTTACAATGTCATTTGAACTAGTATTAGGGAGTCCTCTCTGATTCATTATATCACTGTAACCTGAATTAACAATATCTGTTGAAGTACGTGGAGCCTTCAGAAGATCATAACTTCTCTCTGAAGAAAAAATATGCTGAAATGCTGGAAAAAGACTACGGGCAGAAAATGGAGAATTGCTAACAATCTGCACTCTAAAGAGAGCAACGGTTATTAGGAAAAATACTACAAAGCTCATAAATACAAAGAATACACATACAAAAATCCATCTAAACTACTATAACATCGGGGTCTCTGATTCAAGAAGCATTTGGGTAACATCAAACAAAGTAACCTCGTCTTCAATAAAAAAAAGGCCGTAGTAATTCTTAGCAGTTTGGCTAATAACCTCTTATTCAATCATATTCAATCACTTCTTTGAACAGCTTCTCATCAAATTTATTTCAAACCATGACAACTTTTCACTAACCGCATCAAATCAAATTAGTCTCACTATTCTCACTATGGTAAACTGAAAAGAAAAACACAATGCTTGTTCAAAAATGATGTCAGAGAATAAAGTTTATGGCCAAAATTTAACAATGAATAAAACACTGGAGAATAGTTTCTTCTTCTTTCAGTGCCACCTCAAGAACTTATTGTCTTCTAGACTTCAATTACAAGGGGAAATATTTTCAACAACTTAAATTATATAACAGGACCCTCAACATTTTGCCACTCAACTTTTGCAGCACCAACAACAGCAACACCTATATACCCAATCAAATTAATGAGGATTGTATTACAAGTTAATAAAAGAAGCATAGTCCTTCCTTCTTTTGCCCAATGCATGTATATTATTATCCTGCTCTTCAATCAGAGATCTCTTTTGTGGAATCTTAAGAAAGGCCACCGTGCACTTCTAGTTAACTGACAATCCCATGGTCAGCCAATTTATAAGTAAACAAAGATGGGTGTGTTTCATTTTCCAAGCCCAACAACAACATTTTGCTAATATAGTCTTTGATTATTTCACCAATTTTCCATTGTTTGAAAGATATACTTGCTTGATGATGGCCTTTCTAACTTACTGGGGTAATTGTGGTATCAATTAAACGGAGATCATAATGATCAATCCAGATTTACCTTCAAGGTCCCAATCCATCAAGGTTGCCCCCCTTGAAGGTTTGTTTGATGGATTAAATGCTGTAATTGAAGACTATAGTCATAATTTTGCTATCTGCGTTCCTATATTCATTGCTTTGCTTTAATGCACACAAAGTCCACCGTTGATTAAAGAGTAAGAATCTAAAAATCATCCTTGCGAGCAGAACATAAAATATAACCAAGCAACTGAAACAGAAAGAGCTCAAATTAAATCAATTAAAGAACCAAAAACACCCCAACTTTCAGCTCAAGAAGAAAAAGCATTATCTGAATAAACCCAAAACTAATATCAAAGATGTAAGCAGAAACGAGTAATATTGCAAAAATAAATCTCATACTTGCTGCCGCCGTGGCTTCTGTCCCCATATGGCTTAGCCAAGTCAAAACGAGGGCCCACGCCCACGGGAATCCCTTCTATCTCCCCCTCCCCGTCCACCTCCATCGGAGGCGAAGCATTTATATCCAAAAGCGCCACCCCTCCCCCTCCACCGCCACTACCAGCGCGGCTGCCGCCGCCGCCGCCGCCATTCCGTGCTCCTCTATCGCCGTCCTCATTCTTTAGCAAACATTTAAAACACTTCCAATTCTTCATCTCCTCGCTGTTCCCGACAATCTTCCCCTTAAACCCACTCCCACACGCAATACACGCCACCCCAATCACATCCTTCTCCTTCTTCACCTCGCGAACAGCCGCAAAAGGGCGCTCGATTATAACGACGTCGTCATCGTCGTCTTTATCTTCCATAACCGTGTCCCGCGGAGACGACAACGGCGTCTCGTTAAGGTCAATAACGAAACCCCCAAACTTCGCGTCCATTTCTATCACTAAAACTAGACAGGCCCAATAAGAACTGTTATTTTATTATACAAAAACTAAACTCAATTTTTCCGCCAACGGAACCACAAGGCATATCCAAACCTTTTGGGTAGCAAAAATGCCGGGAAAGATCAAAGAGAAGAGGGTTTTGTTGAGGGATCTCTAAGGGCGGCGGTGGGAAACGGGAATGTGGATTTTTGTAGATCGAAAGTGCGCTGCGGATGAAAAACGGGAGGAAAACAAGGTCGACGAGTAACGTATGTAATAGAACGCTGCGGGGTGAGTGAAACTGTGTGAGTGTGTGAGAGAGAAAGTGACGGAGAGGGAAAAATTGGTCAGGGGTTTTTCATTTTTGTTCTTCCCTTTCTGGAGATTTGAGAGACTAAATTCGAGAGTCCAATGTCCAATGTTTTGGACAATTGGTTTTTTTTTCCTTCTACTTTTCTCCACATTCTTTGGTTGGGGGATTTCGGTAGTTGATGTAATGACAAAAACAACCTTGTCTGAAATTGAGAGATTTTAGTACTAAATTACTCTCTCTCTCATCCTTATTATAACTCATTTTGATTTCGTCTTAGATTTACCTTAAAACTAGATGTTTGGCCCAAGCAGATGCTCGGGCGCCCCTTCTAAATTACTATTTTATTAAAATCTAATTGAATTACTATTTTTTGAGAAATTAATTTGGCGTATATATCATTTATGCTATGATTTGAGACTTAAAAAAATATACCTATAAATCCGAGGTTATAAGGGAATAATAAATAATTAGTTTATAAGGCATTATTCTTAATTGCTAGATTTAGGTATTTTTATTTTTTGTTTATATTAAGCTTGCAAAACTATACGATTGGACATTTGAATTTGAATTAATATATCCATTCGTTTGAAATGTAACTGATCCTTTTTTGTAGTAAAGCATGTGTTTTTTTTAAAAAAAAAATTATATAACTTCTAATTAAAAGAGACTTACACGTGGCAAAAAGACTCCTGAAATCTGAAATATGGTGCATTGGAGCCAAAACAGATGCATACTTAGTTGCCACATAATCTTCATGTCTTCTGCTTTAATAGGGTAAAAGGGATGTCTTTTTAATTGAAAAATATATATTAAAAATATTAAAAATATATTTTTAACATTCGTTGTGTTTTCCTAATTATTATGAAACATTTTTAAGGTTTTTATTCCAATTAAAAGACATTCTAGGTGAAATCTAAGACGAAATCAAAATGTCTTACAATAAGAACCGGAGGGAATATTTATTATGGAACCCTACCTCGCAAATTATATGGGGCACCCGGAGCTCCCAAGTTAGGGAGCTTGGGAGCTCCGGGACGGGCACGTTCAAAGTATGCTTAAAAAATTGCGTGGAACGATTTTTATGTTTTACGTTTTTTTCTTTCTCTCTCCTTCTCACACATGCATCTTCCTCCTCTTGAACCCTTCCTCTGATGGCTTCATATTTCAGATCTACAATAATTTGTATATTTAAAATCAAATCCAACACGTCTATACTTAGAATCAAAGATAATTTGTATCATCTTAGAAACCTTCGTCATCTTTCTCTTCATGGAAAATCTCCTCAATATTCAACATCTGTGGCTGGAATTTTTAATTTCTTCACCAAATGTTCACAAACTCAATTTCTTTGGTTGCAATTTTGCTTGCAAGTTTTGATTTCTCTGGCCAACCTCCATAGATTCAAATTCTACCGTGTGGTTTTTGTCTCAAGTTTTTAATTTCTCTTTCATGTTTGGTTTATGTTTTCTGGCTAATATCATTAATCAAGTTAATCACACGTCTCTAGTATTAATGAATAATACATTGGAATGATTTTGGTTCTTGGTGAACCACATATGATACATTCGGTAGTTTTACAGGATTGACGATTGATATGTGGCACTGAACAATGACAGCTTCGAAATGAACATTGGGGTATAAGAAAGTTTAAATAGAGTTGGTTATATAAGATACACTTAATAGTTTTGCAGGATGAACAATGGAAATGTGAAAATGAACAATGCAAGCATGGTAATGAACATTGAGGTGTAAGAGAGTTTAAATAGATTTGGTTACATAAGATGTAGTTGGTAATTTTGCAAAATGAATAATCAAAATGTGAAAATGAACAATACAAGCATGGGAATGAACATATAGTATAAATGGTATAATATGATTAACTTATATTTTTGTAATTTAATTAGACTTGAGATTTATGATTTGGTATGGTTTAAGCATTTCAATTAGGTTAGGGTCTAGTGTGTGACGAAAAATAATTAACTTATAAATTTTTTAAATTCAATTAGGCTAGGGTCTCGTCATAGCTTAATTGAATTAAAAAAATTTAAACCGAATAAAAAGTATTGTGTATTTGGTGTAGGGTTTAGGGGGATTTAAGCATTTCTGTGTCGATTAGGATCTAGTTGTTTAGGGTTCAGGGGTTTAAGCATTTTAATTAGGTTAGGGTCTAGTGTGTGACGTAACATGATTAACTTATAAATTTTTTTAATTTAATTGGTTTCAAAAAATTTAAACAAAAAAAAAGAGAGATTATTTGTTTAGGGTTTAGGGGGATTTAATCATTTTTGTGTAGGTTAGGGACTAGTTTGTGAAACCCCCCAAAAAAGAGAGATTAATTGTTTAGGGTTTAGGGGGTTTAAGCATTTTCGTGTTGTTTAGGGACTAGTTTGTGCCGTAAGACAATTATCTTTTAAATTTTTTTAAACCCATAACGAGACCCTAGCCTAATTGGTTTGAAAAAATTTAAACCAAAAAAAATTATTTATTTAAGGTTTAGGGGGATTTAAGCATTTCCGTGTCGGTTAGAGACTAGTTTGTGCCCTACGACAATTACCTTTTAATTTTTTTCAAACCACTTAGGTTAGGGTCTCGTTAGCCTAATTGATTTGAAAAAATTTAAATAAAAAAAAAGAGAAATTATTTGTTTAGGTTTTAGGGGGTTTAAGCATTTCCGTGTTGATTAGGGACTAATTTCTGATGTTATTTTGTTACTATATTATACACTATTTTTTTTCGCTGACTAACAAAATTGCAGGTCAACATGCACGTCAAAGTGTTAAAGAATGAGCACTGTCCAAAACAAAATAAACATCGCAGCTCCTGATATAAGATGCACTTTGAAAGCTTCTCAGGATGAGCAATGATTGCATGGAGATGGATGATAGTTGCTAGAGATACGCAATATTGTATTTATGCAGGAATTTTTTCACATAGAAAGATGTTTTAATTTAGATAAACATCCTTGTTTTATAGGATGCATATTGTAATTTCTTCAGTGAACAACAGAAAAATTTTAATGAATTATCAAGATTTGTTTTTGAATTATTATCAAGATGTTTAACAATTGTGCTTTCTATCTGTTGATACAATTTAGGATTGTACTTCAATAAATTACGTATTATTTCCGCGTCGACCAAGATATAACATTGTTGTTCAAATTGGTCATTGTGTTTAACAGGATGAGCATTGTAGTTTAATAAGATGAACATACATGATTTTTTTTTACAAACAAGACTGGTTTTTAGATGAACATTGGAGTTAAACATGATGCTCACTGTATCTTGTGTAATGAACAATAGGAAATCGTAAATGAACTTTTAGTTCGCTATTTGCAAAAAAAATATTTCAGTGATTAATAATGAATTTTCAACTTTCAAAATGATTGAGAACATCTCAAACATTTTAGCAGGGCTCACATTGTCATTTTTCAACAACTATCTAGTTAATTATCTATAAACTCCTATTCTGATAAGTCAAAAAAATTCAGCAGGTTTCATATTAGCCTTTTTGCCCTATACATTTTCTAGATAAAATTCATTGATCTTTTCTTCAAGCTCTGAATACAAGATGTTGGTTCTTGATTGCATGATCTCAGCTAGATATCTCATCATCAATCTGTTAAGGTGATCACTAAGGCTATCTTTTCTCCTTTGTTTAAAAGGATCGAAAAAAGAAAGAGAAAACTGAACAAACACAACGTGAGACCAACTAAATGTTGAAAACAATAGTAAAGGTTTCAAATGAAATAATTTTACCCCTGTTGAGGCAGCAGGCAGAAGGCCACAATTGTAACCATTTGTTGTTCATAATGGACCGGAAAGAATAACTGCAAATACAGGATGAGCATTGTATCAAATAGGATGAGAATCGTATAAAACAGGATAAATATTGTATTTAACAGGCTGGTAAAACACTCTCAGAGGATAAACATCACAGGTTGAACAATAATCCATATGAAATGAGCAAGATACTCTCTAAGGATGAATAATAATTCATATGAAATGAGCAAGACACTCTCAGAGGATGAACAATAATCCATATGAAAGGAGCAAGACACTCTTAGATGATGAACAATCATATATTTGAAATGAACAACTAATCATCACAGGATGAACATCACCTGTCGGATCGTTTGAGTCTGACAATTCATTTCTTATAGGTTTGACTCTCATTCTTCTGCTGTAACAATTGATGGGTGAACATCAATAATCTTAAAATTCATATATGCACAAGAATAAGTCCCAAATCACAAAAACTATTATGTCAATAGAATCCTAGGCACTTTAAACAATGTTCGAGTTACTTCAACAATTGAAAATAACAAATATAGGTGAAACTACAAATATTTGCTGGAGAATTATACAGCAAGCAACTTCACACCGAAGAAGTTTAGATCTACGAATAATCGACGGAAAAATAAAAATAGAAAAAAAATCACCGGAGTCCATGGATTTTGCAGTGATATACCGCGGAAATGATGATATGTGATGAAGATATGCGGATTTGAACGCAGTGATTCGCCCGAATGAGGTTTCGAAGATTTTGGGTGAATTTCGCCGGAAGAAATAATGACACCGTGACACCGAGAGAAGATTTGGAAAGAAAAACCTGAATTATTTTTTTCTTCAAAAAATCATGCCTATTTATATTTTTCTGTGCGGTGCCATTTTTGTAATTTACAGGAAGTTGGATGCAAATGGAGCGCGTGATATTAAAACCCGGAGCTCCCTAATTAAGGAACTCTGGGTGTCAAGTATATTAATTGTATCTTACCTTTTTGACCAATGACTGCTTAAGCTGCTCTAGGTCAAAGAATCCCCTCACACTTTTTTTTCCTTTTTTATTCTTTGTGCTATGATTACATTAATTTTCTCTTTATTTAAAATTAAGATTAACTAGCTAAGATAGATAACTAACCTACTTTATCTTTCTACTTTGAACTATATTTTTTTATGTTCAAAAACCTTCAGAAAAAAAGAATTTTGTTTAATTATCACGTCTACGATCATACTTTACTACTTTGAACCTATAATATTTCAATTGCAATCATATATGATTTGTTTATATAATCAGATATTCTGTATTTTCTTCTTAACTACAATGAAACATATAAATCACCAATAAATTAAGGATAAAAATGTGTA